TTAGATCGTATACAACAACAACAACAACAACAGTAGCAACAGCTGTTTATAAATTGTCGAGCGTTAAGCCTATATAAATATAAATATGAACGATTATTGTTCGTAATTTTCACAGCTTTTATATTATGGCATAGAATTTGCTTGATGTATGTATTTATAATGCTTTTTTATGCTAATGAGCTAGTTTAAAGGCGTCTCGAAAATGAGCTCAGCTTTTTGAATTTGAAATCGACACACGACGCGGCTGATGACAACAACAACAACAACAGCAAGAAGAAGAGCAGCAGCAACAAAATTCGGTTGTCAAATTACAATTTCGAGGCAATTTAATGTATTTATTTATATATACGTGAGCATATATGTATTTATAGGTGTGTATGGCACATATATCTTCACGTTCACATCGCACACAAAACACAATTTCTGTCGGCTAAAACAAAAACACAATTGTATTTATATATACATATATATGGTGTACATATATATCTCAATACGCAAACGTAGCAAACGTAAAATGCTAAATGCGAGGCGAACTCTGGCGACGACTAATTTCGACTGCGGCGAAAACGCGCGCGCGCCTCGCAGCCCAAAAAGTTCCAAGCAGCGGCAGCAGCAGCAGCAGCAGCGCCAGCGAAAGGCAGCAAGAAACACAAGCAATAAGTAATACAAATAAAAAAAAAAGCCAGCGTAAAGCAAAAACAAAAAATAAACTGAGCACAAATCGCGCGCGCTCGCAAATTGAAAGCACAAAATCAAAACAAACGTTAATTGTATAGTTAAAATTATGATTAAACAGCAAAAGTCGAGAGAGAGAGAGAAAGAGAGAGAGCGATAGCAGCAAGTGTCACAAACAGCGAGAGCGAGAGAGAGAGTGAGAGTGGGGTAAGTGTGAAACAGCTGTTAACCGCGGCGAATTGGAAATAAGCCGCACCGCAATAAAAACTAACAACAACTCAATCAGCTGTGCAAGTGGCGTCGATGTTGGCACTCGTACAGCACAATGATTAGCATTATTTGTTGTTTTTGTTGTTGTTGTTGTTTTTCACTAATATCTGAGACATTAACATAAATTAGTTGAAACGAAATAAGGCAACATTGCAAATAGCTTAGAACAAGTCGTTTGGGGGGCTTTTAGCACGTAAATATTCGCACTTTTGTACCACGCTGCGTATGCGTAATCGCACAGGCACACACACACACACAGCGAGACACACACACACAAGAACAAAGCCTAAGAAGCGTCGCGCTGCGGCTTACATTGTATAACCCGTTCTCGGTTGCGTCCTCAACTATGCCGCACGCCATTTGTTTATGCATTGGGTTATTACATAAATCATCTTTAAGTGTATTTATTATTTTTATCGTATTCGTATTTGTTATTGAGTGCGCAAATTTCTAAACAAATATTTGCAATTTTTTTTTGTTTGTTTTCAATTTGTTGTCGATTTGCTTTGTTGCCTTATTTCGCAAAGCTTTGCTAATCATGCGAGCTACACAATTTTTGTAACAATAAACAACGAAGTTGATTATTAACTGTGGAAGCCATAAAAAATAAAAATCATGCACAAATGTTTTTACAACACACAAAAAGGAAAATGGTTTGGGAATTAGCACATTTTGTATTTGCCTCTCTCACTCTCTCTCTCTCTCTCTCTCTCTCTCTCGCTCCTCCATACAACTCTCTTTCGCTCTTGTAAGTGTTAGTTAACGGCTTTTATTGCAAATTACATCACGCCCACGCCAAATAAATTGGCAAAAGCAAAAGCAAAGACAGCAACAACAAAACACACGCGATGACGAACACGCGACCGGAACGCGCCGTTACACACGAAACAGTTAAGAAGGAAGAAGAGGAGCAGACCCGAGAACGCACTGCAACTTGACACTTGGCGCGTTGGCAAACAAATGAGCTTTGGAGCTTCAGGACTGCGACGGCTACGGCGACGGCAACTGAAACGGAGACTGAGCAAGAATCGCACAACTTATGCAATTGGCTCAGGTGCCGCACATAGCTCACTCGACATTTGACTTTTGGTGAGCAGCGGTGAATTTTTGTTTTCCTTCTAATTTTGCACTGCCACCAGCAGAGAAAATCCGTTGGATAAGTGCCAAAGGTTGTGACCACACTGACTGACGTTCTTGCTTATTGTGAATGTCATTATCAAGGTTTATGTTTTCTGCGCCCGTTGTCTGTCATTTTTTTTGTGAATGAATGTGCGAAGGAGAAATTGAGTGAGGAGAGCGAGAGTAGGAGAGAGAACACACCCACTGAAAGCTCTCGTCTAGGTCTAGGTCAATGCAGCGCCGAAATGCGTTTGTATTGGTGATCATCCGTGACATGCCATTTTACTCTTTCGCTCTCAACGGTGGACCATATGGCTGTGTATGTGTGTGTGTGTGTAGAAATGGGAGCACTGTGTCTGTGCGCTCATCTCCAAATGTACGCTGCAACGGTAAATGGCAGCCCCTAATGTCGCCGTGCAATAATAAATTGCGTCGCACAAACTTGAGCAGACCCATCAATTATGGCGGAGTCAAAGAACAATGGCCATAAAAGATACACAAACACACTGACAGAGGCAAATGCAAACGGTCTGGCCATTCGGACATAATCAAAGTGAATCATCACTTAAGAAACGAGGAAGCAAACAGGCAGAATTCGTCAGACACAAAAGCGCCGACGCAGAGTGCTTAACACTGCGAACAAGAGGGCGCATGTTAGGAGGCCAGATGGTTAATACACACGCACGTACGCACACACACGTGCACAAAACAGATAAAATGCACACTTGATAGGTGGGCGTAAACAATTAGCAGCGACGTCAGCGGCAATTAAGTACAAAAAATAAAAATAAAAGAAAGGGGCTGCGCCCAGGCAGAGCTAATTGAGTCGTACCAAAATAGAACTCACCTGCAACGCCGGCACTGAGGCCATCCAGAAATGCCTCCGGCTGTGCATGCAGCTCCAATGATTGTTCCATGCCTGCTTTTCTGCTCCAAAACACTTGCGTACACACTTAATACATCAAGTGTCCGTGCGGACGCTTTGCAGCCATTTTGGTTTTCAATATGTGCGTTCAGTTTTGCACGCACTACCGGGTGTCGCCGGCGAACAGTACACTTGCACTTAATATTAATCGAACACAATTGATAGCACTTATTGGCGAATTTGCAAATAAATTTGAGAAAATTGCCAAACGACTAATTGTAGAATACGTGAGTGGTAAGAAGAAGCAGAATATACAGCAGTGACGCCCAGCTGTTTTTTGTTTAGCATGCAGCGTTGCCACCTGGCGGAGGCCTTGCCAGCCTGCCGTGACATCACAAACTATTGCAACTGTACGAAATGTGTTAATAAATTAAATAAATGCTAGAATTTTAAAATAATATAATGTGATGATTATATGCTTTCCATGCTATACATTTTTTAGTCTACCATTGGCATTTTTTTTATTTATTTTTAAGTTATAACCAATTTGTTTTGGTATAGTGCGTCTTGGCAACCCTAAGCGAAAGAAACAGCTGATACTGAAACTTTTGTTTTGTACGCTGTGCATGCTATTGTTATCTTTTATCGGCAAATCAGTGTTTACTTAATTTAAAAGCGCAAAATACCCGTGTGCTTATCAGGGATATTGACTATCAATGTTGTATTAATAGCTGTTGAGCTAGTCCAACAATGGCATCGCCGCCTATAGCCGTACATCCGCTGACCGGCGACCCGACCGCCGCCTGGAATGAGATCAGCAAAAGCCAGCGGGTCATCAAGGTGGTCATGAAGCCACCGACGACGACGGTGGCACCGAACAAGGCGCGCGTCGTATGCATGTCGGACACGCACTCGCTGACGCCGTACATCAAGTTCGATATACCCGATGGTGATATATTTATACATGCCGGCGACTTCACCAAGTGCGGCCAGCTGCAGGAGGTGGTCGAGTTTAACAATTGGATTGGCGCCCTGCCGCACAGGCACAAAATTGTGATAGCCGGCAATCACGAGCTTAGCTTCGATCGCACCTTCACGCATCCGTTTCAGAGCAAGGGCCAGACACATGCCGAACGGTTGGTTGAATATCCTTATTGCCAAGCTCAAGTCACATGTATATTTGGTCTTTGGCAGCTCCAAGCACACGGGCATGACAATACTGGACGATTTGCCCACGTTGGGCAACGACAAGGAGAGCATGGAGAGCGCCGTTAAGACGCCCAACATACGCGAGGCCTTAACCAATTGCACATACTTGGAGGACGAGCTGCTGGAGCTGTGGGGCGTGCGCATTTACGGCTCGCCCTGGCAGCCGGAATTCTGTCGCTGGGCATTCAATGTGCCGCGCGGCGCCGCCTGCCTGGACAAATGGAATCAAATACCCGCTGGCGTCGATATACTCGTCACACACACACCGCCCGTGGGCCACGGTGATCTCTGCTGTTCGGGCGTGCGTGCCGGCTGCGTGGAGTTGCTGAGCACCGTCCAGCAGCGTGTGAAGCCCAAATATCATGTATTCGGACATGTGCACGAGGGCTATGGCATAACCAGCGACGGGCGCATCATCTATGTGAATGCCTCCACGTGCGACATCAACTATTTGCCCAACAATGCGCCCATTGTGTTTGATGTGACGCTGCCGCCAGGTGTGCGCAAGGACTAGGATCGCAGATGCCGCAACCCACAAACCTTCCGTCTTGTATTTATTAAATCTAAACTTAAGTTGCCATTCAACCCAAACAAGGAATTTATTTTATGCCCCACCTCAGGTTATTTTAAGTTAGTGTTTACAAGAACCACAAAAAAATGCTCATTAAATGTCCTGCAAGCTGCAACACTGTCTTAGTCAAGTTTCGCACCAGCTGCCGATCGCGATTGCAACTCTGCAGCGAATTGGGCTTTTGACAGTTCGCTTTGCGCTATCCGGTATAACGGCATCCATCCAGTCGCCGCAAAAGTTCCACAGCTTCAGCCATTTTGTTCTGCAACGTGGCCCAAGAAGAAAAAGTGGAATTTGTTGCCGGCAGTACAGGAAATTATTATTTTAAATTGTTTTGCACATTCTAATTAGCTGTAATTGGCACACAAATTATGGTGAGCGGCTTCTCTCAAATAAAGCGTTGGCAAATTTACAACCCCTTTTTGTCTATCCGACTGCATTAAAGCGCGAAGTCATCTCCATACAAATCGGCCAATGCGGCACGCAGATCGGCAACGCCTGCTGGGAGCTGTATCTGCTGGAGCATGGCATCAATCTGGATGGCAGTCGCAAGACCGACGAGCAGCAGGTGGAGAGCGGCCGTGGCGCCAGCGTTGGCCAAGGCGCCACCGAGAACGATGCGCACACATTCTTCATGGAGGCGGGCAACGGGAAGCAGGTGCCGCGCTCGATATTTGTGGATCTGGAGCCGTCGGTGATCGACAGCGTGCGCACGGGCCCCACACGGCATCTGTATCATCCGGAGCAGTTGATCTCCGGCAAGGAGGATGCGGCCAATAATTTTGCGCGCGGACGCTACTCGATTGGCAAGGATGTGATCGACAAGGTGACCTCACGGCTGCAAAAGATTGTGGAACAGTGCGAAGGTCTGCAGGGTTTCCTCATCTTCAATTCAATGGGCGGCGGCACCGGCTCCGGCTTCACCTCGCTGCTGATGGAGGCGCTGTCCAATGATTTTAGCAAAAAGTGTAAGCTAAACTTTGGCGTCTATCCGTCGCCCAAGGTGTCCACGGCCGTGGTGGAGCCGTACAATGCGCTGCTGACCACACACTCGACCATGGAGCATGCGGACTGCGTCTTTATGGTGGACAACGAGGCCATCTACGATATATGCAAAAGTAAGCTGGGCGTGGACAGGCCGGCATATAACAATCTGAACCGGCTGATTGCCCAGATTGTCAGCTCGACGACTGCCTCGCTGCGCTTTAGCGGCTCGATGAACGTGGATCTGAATGAGTTCCAAACGAATCTGGTGCCCTTTCCGCGCATCCATTTCCCGCTCGTCGCCTATGCGCCGCTCATGTCCGCGGATCGTGCCGCCCACGAGCAGCACGCGATCACCACGCTGACGAACGCCTGCTTCGAGTCCTCGAACATGATGGTTAAGTGCGATCCGCGTGCCGGCAAGTACATGGCCTGCTGCATGCTCTTCCGCGGCGATGTGGTGCCCAAGGATGTGAACGCCGCCATCTCGGCGATCAAATCGAAACGGCATATACAATTCGTTGACTGGTGTCCCACGGGCTTCAAGATCGGCATCAACTACGAGAAGCCCGCCTTTGTCCAGGACGGCGATCTGGCGCCCACCTCACGCGCCTGCTGCATGCTCTCCAACACGACGGCCATATCGGTGGCCTTCTCCAATCTGGCCTACAAATTCGATCTGATGTTCAAGAAGCGCGCCTTCGTCCACTGGTACGTGGGCGAGGGCATGGAGGAGGGCGAGTTCAACGAGGCGCGCGAGGATATCGCTGTGCTCGAACGGGATTTCGATGAAGTCGGCCTGAACAATGATGAGGAGGAGGAGGAGTTCGCCGAGTTTTAAGCAACCTCTGTAACTGCCGTCAATAAACTATTGTATTAAAATTCAATTGGATCAAATGATGGATCTTATATGGTCAGAGCCAGATGAGCTCTGCCCATCCAGTCCGTTTCCAGAAAGGGGCATCTGTTTTAAATTGTACCTTGCTAGCTAAGTTATTATGTAATAGTATATATCATCACTCGGCTGGTTCCCTAAGCAGCATCCATTTCCATAATGGGCAAGTCCCATATCTCCTGTACTCCAATATACGTAAGTTCTATGTATTATGTAGATCTGTGGATCTTTAAAGGAACTCTATTAAATGAAGGAAATAGTAAGGATAACAAAAAAATAACCAATAAGCAATCCTCTTGGCAGGCATTCCAAGTTTTCTTTTAGCATTAACCGGATAAGTTGCTTAAAAAGAACCCAACTTCATATATGAATAAAGTATTGGAAAAACTTTTTCAAACATAAACTTATTTTTCTAAATTTAAAATATGGGAATATACAATTCCTAATTGTTCCTTTTAAATCTGGAGAAATGTGAAGAACTAAGATTCAAACTTCGAATTATGAAGCTGTTTTTGCAGCTGGATCAAAGCGAATTCACAAACCTAAAGAAAAAGCGCTAGTTCGAACCCTAAACCGAACCAGCTAAAGGCTTACAGTCATGTCTGATCTCCCTACTATATCTACACTATCTTACCAAAGTTTGGTTCCCAGCTCTTCACATTTCCTTTAACTCTAGAATTAACGATCAAGAAAAGTTTTTCAGTCTCTTTTTAAATTTTTTTTTATTTTTATTTTTGTTTTGTAAGTTTTTGTTGTTGTTTTTGTTGTTGTTTATTTTAAACGCCTAAATTTCTTTTCAATTGTGTTTCTTTTTTGTATACTTATTTACTTAAATTTACTAAAATTTTTGTTTGTTTTGAACTTGCAAGCATTTTCGCATCAAAACTTATGTTAAGGAAACATCAAAAAGTTCTTGTTGCACAGTGTAAAATTACAATTCTTGTGTGTGGTTGTGTGTGCATGTGTGTGTGTGTCGGTGTGTGTGTGTGTGTGTGTGTGTGTGTGTGTGTGTAGTTGTGTATCTTTTACTACATAATCTATACAACTAACTTTCTCTCTAAGAGCTGATAATCTTTTACAAAATGCGATATTCAATTAATTTACGAAAAAAATTTAACAAATCAAAAATGTGGCTCATTTTTTTTTTAGTTTTTGTTTCTAGACAAAAAGAAGGCAATTAAGTGTGCAATTGTTGTTGTTGTTGTTGTTGTTATGTACTTTATGCTACTTTATATAATTACATAATGACGATTAGTGTTTTGTTGTTGTTGTTGTTGTTGTTGTTGTTGTTTATCTGATAGTAGATAATACAAAATATATAACGATGAATGATGGCAAAAGATGCTGCGAATTGAAAATTGATTGGTTTGTTGTTGTTGTTTGTTGTTTATGCTAATGTTGTTGTTGTTGTTTTTGTTATGGTGGTTGTTGTTGTTGTTGTATTAGTTGTTGCTGCATTTGGATTTAACGCTTAATATGGAACATTTGAGAAGAGATACGAGACACTCTCGCCATTGTGTGTCCGTCTAACTGCCTCGGCGAACATCATGGACACATCAATGCACTGCAAATCAAGAGAGAGATTGATTGAGTATTGTTTATAGAGAGAGAGGGAGAGAGAGAGAGAGAGAGAGAGAGAGAGCGAGTGGGTGGTCTTACCTGTATTTTGGGACAATCACGCATATGCCCATCCTGTGGTATGGTATTGGTCACAACGACCGCCTCGAAGCAGGCATTGTTAATGCGTGAAATCGCCGGACCCGAGAAAATGCCGTGCGTCAGTATGGCATACACCTGTATAGGAATCGTTCATGTGAGCAGAAGTTTTCATTTCATTTTAGGCACACCCACCTTGGTAGCGCCTGCTTCGACGAGACGATCGGCGGCATGGACAATGGTGCCGCATGTATCGGCCATATCGTCGACCAATATGGCAATCTTATCCTTAACATCACCGACGAGCACCATGGAGGCCACCTCGTTGGCCTTCTTGCGCTCCTTGTGTATCAGCGCGAACTCCACGTTCAAGCGATCCGCTATGGAGGTGACACTGTATGGGACATAAACGGATATCAATATATATATATATATATATAGAGACTGGGTTCAGTCAAAGATGAATCGCAAAGTATTTACCGCTTGGCGCCGCCGGCATCTGGCGATACGATAATCGAATTTTTCCATTCGGGAATGTTCTCTTTGATCCATTTTAGTACCGCCGGCTCGGCATAGAGATTATCAACTGGTATATCGAAGAAACCCTATATATATATGTAGAACAATATATATATGTTTAGTTTTATAAAGCATATAGCAACTGTGCACAGTTCTGTCATAGAATTTGCCATCACAAATTTATTCTGAAACTAATTCCTATTCCCCCAAAAAACTTTTAGTTCCTTTATCTCTCTATTGCTTCTAAAATAGAAGGAAAAAAATTGAACGTTTCTCTTTTATTTTGATATACAAAAGTTAATTTGCGAACAGCGACTGCTTTAGATGGCCGAAAGGATGTTGAACTCGCGCAATTTATCGGCCGAGGAGCACAAGGAGCTGGACGACTGGCTAAATACCAAAGAGATTTCACTTAACCATCGCACACGACGCGATCTCTCCGATGTTGTCAATATGGCGCTGCTCTTCAAGAATGTCGATGCCAAGTTGGTGAACATGAAAAACTATACGTCTCACGGCAATTTGGCCCTCAAGCTGCTCAATTGGGAGACCTTCAATCTGAAGGTATTGCGAAAAACGGGCCTGATACTGATGCGTCCGGCCTTGGAGCAGCTCGCCTCGGGCGATCTGAATGCCATACGATCTTTGCTCTTTCATTTGATGCGCATCGAACGGGATGGCATACAGTTGAGCTCACGTCGAGCATCTCCGACCAAGGGACAGCGGCAACAGTCCGACAATCGGGATGATGCCCACGAGGAGGCCCGAACTCAGACGCTGATACCAACAGAGCCACCGACACCGAACCAAAAACAGTCGCAGACCCAGAGCCCGACACAGAACGAAACGGAGACAAACGCACTATTATCGCACAATCTGAGAGTAACCTATGCCAATTATGAGGAACTGAAGCGTATCAACGAGAAGAAGGAGCAATATATCGGATCTCTTAGCCAAAAGGTGCAATATCTAGAGAAGGTCATACTGGAGAAGGAGAAGCGCATCAATGAGCTCGTCGATCACTTGTCCACATTATCGGTACGCATTATATCCATGCAGACGTCTCTAACAGATGATGCACTGGCCCAGTCCCAACCCCAGCCTCAGCCAGAGTAGCCCAGGACGCTGAGCGACAAGAATTTTAATTGGGTCTCAAACGCTTTGACATTAACATTAACATTGACATTAACATTAATTAACCATTAATCATTCCTAGTTTTTCGACTTTCTCCTACGATATTTTGTCTTCTTAATTTCTTAATTTCTTCTTTATTTTTGGCATTTATAAAGTAGTACGATTAATGAAATGTAAAATAAAACAAAATTGTTGTGTTATGCCCCCTTAAATAGGAGTTTTACAAAGTATCTATATATAAACTTGATCAGTAAATCCGTCTGTCTATATGCTGGGCTCTAACATATCAAATGAAGGATAAAGAAACTCTCCTTATTCAAGATTTATATAATGCTTACTGTATAGGAACAATCCTATCAACATCCACATACTATACATTCTATTACTAATTGAGGAAAGATCTATAACAAAATGTTTGTCTATAGAAAACGGCTTAGTTCTTCAAAGTATCTTAAATGTCCTCAAAATGATATTCCTCCCTCTTAACATATCTGCCAATTATTATCAAATCGGAACAACTTCTAGACGAGCAATCTTTCGGATATAAAGCTTTGACATATCAGAACTTGCGTTCTTTGTTTTCCTTATTATAGATCATATGATAAGGGGAAACGCTTACCTGAATCTGTGAGGCATGTAGATCCATGGTTATAATATGATCCGCACCGGCCACTGATAGCATATTAGCGACCAATTTCGCCGAGATGGGCGCACGGCTCTGTGCATGGGCCAGCGTAGAAAAATTAAGAATATATCATGTATCATTAGCGTAGTTAGTAATTAATTGAAATCTTATGATTGTACTATATACATGGTATATAGATATAGTTGCTTAAGGCTAGGCATTATGAGAGAGTTAACCATGGATACAAAATTAATAATACATATACATAACATATATATACACACAGAAAATCGTAACAATCCAATAAGTAATAAATATCATAGACAAGAACTTCGATTTTTGACAAACACAAAGGACAACAATGAGCAACTGTTGAGCGCGATCAAGAGAGAGATTGAGATTGTGAGAAAGAGAGAGAGAGAGATATGGGAGTGCGCACCAGTTACAAATAGAGAGAGAGAGAGAGAGAGAGAGAGAGAGAGAGAGAGAGTATGTAAGTGCGAGTTACAATTTTAGCAAATATATATAGATATATTCACTTTCGATTGTGCAAGAGTATTAAAAACGGGATTTTTTAATATATTTTTTTAAACAGATTTTCGAATCGTTTTACAACTGAAGAACAGAACTAAAAAACCAGTTGAAACTAACATGCATTGGGATTTCAAAAAGAAAACGTGTTTGTTAGTTAAACTTTTGAGGGAAAGGAAACTCAAGAAATGCAATAAAAAAATGTAAATGAATATAACAAAAACTGCAACTGTTTCAGTTAAAGAAAATGTGAAAATTGTTTAAGCTGTATTTTTTTTTTTTTTTTTTAGTTTAGTTTAAAGATACTTCGCTCGAAGCTGTATAAAAATAAAAGCTCAGACCCGCCGCCAGCTACTCACAGTATATTGTCTGGGTGAAAACTCCTAAGCACATATTAAGAGATATATTTTTGGTTTTTTTTGTTTTTTTGGTTTTGGTAATTGGTTTTGGTTAAACATTGTCGATAAGAGTCGAATAAAAAGAAAAGAAAAAGAAGAAACGAAAAGTTGAGTGAAATGTTCGCTTCAAGTTTTATAGAAACAAAAAAAGAAAAAGTCAGAGCAAAAGTAAAAGTAAAAATAAAAGAAAATTGATATTGAGACAAAACAAAATGCTGGAATTGGGATTGTGCTATATCTTTGAAGTTAGTATCACATTAACAAATTCTTGTACAGAGTTAGGAATTTTGTGGGAAAAATGGGCAGCGCACTTGCGAATAAATCAGGTATACAAAGCTTAGGAGGATTACAAAACAAATTGAGCCTATGAGCGACCATGTTGCATATACAAATATTTAATATAGCATAATCTAATATTATCAGACAAGAGTCACAGTCGATTGAGTTCGATGTCAAGAAACGCATTTCGAGTTCAAAGTAAGCCACGTTTCCTATAGATAATGCGACTCGAACACAAATTATGGAAAAATATTTGTGCAATTACAAATGTAAGAGCCGGGTTCAAGCGCAGTCGGAGATAGATAATGCCGGACCCCCAATGTAACGGAAGAATCCGAGAGCTGACGTCAGAATAAATAAATGACGTGCCTAATGGGTTATCAATTGAATTGAATATAAGTCTATATAATAATTAAAATCTATGAAAAACACAAACAGAAATTCTACAAATATATTAAAACTCTTTTTATACCCTGAACCCATTCAAAATGGGTATAAGGGTATATTGTATTTGTGCGAAAGCCAAATGTATGTAACAGGCAGAAGGAAGCATCTCCGACCCCATTAAGTATATATATTCTTGATCAGCATCAATAGTCGAATCGATCTAGCCATGTCCGTCTGTCTGTCCGTCCGTCCGTCCGTCCGTCCGTCTGTATGAACGCAAGGATCTCAGAATCTATAAGAGCCTCTAGCTCTTGAAATTTCAGATGTAGATGCTCCTAGCTCCCGCGCAGATCGAGTTTGTTTCCGATAATCGATAACTTACTCCGTTTCCAAGCAATCGATATCGATATCCTGTTTTTTGGGCAATTTTGGTAAATAATAAGAGCTAGAGTCACCAAACTTGACATATAGCTTCTAAAATAGAATATATATGTATATGCATTTGATGTTGGAAGAAGAGGGTTCAGGGTATCCCCTAGTCGGGAGCTCCCGACTAGAACCTCTTACTTGTTTTGGTTGCTAAGCAACAAAGTCTTATCAGCGTCAAAGGTTGGATTTGAACCCGGTTTTTGTTTTTTTACGGGGGGGGATGGGGGAAAAACTTGGTGCGCAAGTTGGTTGGAACACAAGTGCAAAGATGCAACAACAAAAAATAAATAAATATATATATATGTTTATATATATGTACTATAAAGTACAAGTAGCATACTATATGGCATCAACGAGACATGACAAAATACACGAGCAACGTTTATAGATATAAATAATGTGTTAATATAAGTATTAAATCATATATTTTTGTTGCAATGAAGCGCCGCCGCAGTCGACGTCGACGTCGACGTCGCCGCCGTCGCCAGGAAACAAACCGAATTCAAATGCAAGAAAACAGAAAGAAAAAAAAATGTGGAAATTTTTGTATTTTTCTTAACCAATTGAGCAAATTTCACAAATATAATTGCTTAAAATATATATAGTTAGAATTTTGCGCTTTTCATTGCATTTGTTTATAAATTTGCGTATTTTTTGCAATATTTTCATCAGTTAATTTTCTTTTTCTTAGTTAGTTTAACATGCAGCACGTGTATTAAACATAAAAGACAAAAGCTGAAAAAACCTTTTTGAATTTCAAATTTGGAAATTTGTATTTAAAGATATTAAAGCAACATACTATTGTTATTATTATAATTGTATTTTATTTTTTTTAGGTACCCGAAGCCCAGAGGTGAGAATAGTTTTGCAAAGTTGTTTGGCATTTGAGTTTCTTGAATGAGTTTGATGAGATTTTTGTTTGCCCTTAGTACATTTGGTAGAAAAACAAAAACAAATTGAAAATTAAGTATTTTCAGAGCATGAAATATGTGAGTTTGAGTTTGAGTTTGAGTTGTTTAACTAAATGTAAATACCCTAAATTTCCAATCGAAGTTTTTCTTGGCAAGTTTCTTGCTTTCGTCTTTCTCCTCACTGCCCGACAACTAGTGTGAAGATTGTTATATAGATCGTAGCATATACACCGCGACAATTGGGCAGATAGAGTGAGCGAGAGAGAGAGAGAGAGAGAGTGGCAGACAGAGAGAGAGAGAGCGCACCAAAAGTCGTTGCAAACAGCGGCATTAACATAATTAATTGAAGAAAAAATACATAGTTATATATATAGATAAGTAAAGTGTACAATATTATATTAAAATTTAAGTTTTTTTTTTTTAATTATTTATAGAGCTACAAATTTTCCACATTTTTATGATTTTCTTTACAGCTTGACTTCCTTGCAACCATTTTTTTTTCGTAGTTGTTTTAAATAAACGCAAAAATATTGAAATTCAATTACAAAATGCAAAAAAGAAAGAAACAGATTAACTAACAATATATATATATATATATATATATATATATCAACATCAATATATATGCAGGTATAGGTATAGATATGTGGGTTATTAACATTGGACAGTTATATGCTTTACTGTCTAGAATTCTTGCTGATTAAACGAAATCCGAACTAGTTTTGCATTGCGTGTGTGTGTTTAAAGAATCATAAGAAATAATATAATATCCTATATATATATAGGAGAGTGGAGAGCGGGCATATGCACATATATCCCTATAAGGCAAACCTACCTTATCTTTTTTGTCTTGGCGGGCATATGGAAAGCAAGGAATCACAGCTGTAACACGAGAGGCTGATGCTATTTTGCATGCATTTATCATGATCAGCAGCTCCATTAAATTATCATTGATCTCCCCGGAACCGGACTGCACGATATAAACATCTTCGCCGCGCACCGATTCTCCGATCTCGACGCTGAAATTGGAGAAAACAGTTTATATACGATTTGATTTTCATAAACAGAAATTTCCAACATATGATATGCTGGCAAATAAATGTACAAGCAAACAAATATAGTTATCGTATCGTTTATGCGTATTTATAGTGTATATCGAGTGTCGCCTTGCCTAGCCAGAAATATGTCGTCTGACAAGTGTTTACACATTGCTATTTGAGTCCGGTTAACATAAACTTATGGCCCTCTTAAAGTCTCCTCATTTGCCCAGATTTACTTCAATAATGACCTCTGATTTGGGCCAAAACAATCCAACGCCTCATCAAGATCTAATGTCTGATGTCCATATATACCCATTTCTTGCATACGTCATTCTGTATACTCTTTCCCCACCTGAGCTTATACAAACATGTCGCAGACTTCGTAGCATATGTTTCTTACCTTTCAGCAGGCTGAATGCATATGGATATATAATACATGCATGACTCCATTGTAAAAGTAAACATTTCCTCTAAATAAACTCAAGCTATTAGCTTGAAGCTCTCGATAAATAACAATTGTTTGGCATTTCTAAATTTGATATATGCAGTAACAATAGTCGGGCGCTACTATCTAATATTTTAGAGCACATATATCATGTGTGGCTGACAGAGGTTTGGTTTGTGTGTGGGCGGCTTTCTCTTTGCGTTCAAATGACTTAGAAATACAATAAACAATGTAGCTAAAGTTTGTTTCTTTTAATGGATTCTTTGTGGAATTATATAGAAATTGAATGCAAGGTTCTATCTTATTATATTATATAGCTGACATGGCATTATATTGTTTGGTCTAGTCGTGGGTTTTTAAACATTCTCGTTTATTGTCTTGTTTACGTTCTGATTTCCTTTCTTTGCATTTCTTCGCGCTCGCTCACACACACACACACACACACACACACACTTATTTTGGTCATTGCCATTGTTATTTGCATTGAAGGTTAATTGAATTACGTGTCGAGAACTACGCCCAGAATATCGAACGTAACGTCCATCGATTGACATATTTGAGCATACTAGGCTGCCCCCTGTCAGTGCCACGCCCACTGTTCGTGCCACAAAATTGATGGCCTGTCTGTGTGTGTGTCTAATGGACACTAGCGCCAGCTAATCGTCCGTTTTTTAGGAATTATGAGCGCTTGCCCGGCTGATAGCCGCTCGGTCAGCTGTTGTTGGGCCTTGCGGCATATTACGCATACGCCGCATTGTTTGGCTTCGATTTGGCAAAAAGATTTCATTAGCAGCCAATGCTGGCTCTTGTGTGCCCGCTGCAGTTGCAGTTGACGTTGCATGAAATGAATGCATTTTTCTGCACTTTTTTTTCTTTTCCCAAACGTTTTTTCTGTTGTTGATAGACAAGCTAGAAAAACACTTTCGCCGCTGGCATTGCTGGCGTGCCAAACGCTAGGCGGACGTTTCTGTGGCTGGGCGCGCAGCTCTTCGGGATCTCTGTTGGCCGAGGGCCAAGCACCTGCACCTGCTCCTGCCCCGGCAGCTGTCACTGGGGGCCGAACGTTGTCTAGGAGCAGCAGCTGGCCGCCTGCTCGGCTCTTTCTTTTGTTTTGCTTCTTTTTTGTTATGCATGTATTTTTAACTAGCTGTTTGACTTTTATTTCTGTCAGTCAACTGACAAGCACATGTGTGTGTGTGCGTGTGTGTGCGTGTGTGTGCGTGTGATAATGTAATCTATAACAATCACCGACTTGGCACATGTAGGCATATACTAGATGCTCTTAAACCGTATCTTGGCATCTAAATCGCTTACGCCTGGCTGGGCATTTGCCTCCACCGGTTATCAGCAGCCGGCTGAGCTTAGCCCTTGCTCCCATTCGAAGCGCCCCCCCCCCCCCCCCCCTTCCACTGCATACCCCTTGATGGCGGACACGCAAATTCCTTATCGATCAAACTTTTCAATTTGTTATTGTAATCGACTGTTTTATAGAATTTGTATTTTGTTGCGTGTTGCGACCTTTAGAGCTGGTGACCATTGAGAAATTGCATTGGCGGTTGGATTTGGGTTGCCTTTAGCAAGGTCATTTGTGGCGAACCCCTGCTTTGGGTGTGAATAACAGCCCCGAACTAAAATGTCATTAAAATTGAAATACTTAATATAGAAAAAACGTGTGTGCCTTTCATATTTTTCCTCAATTTAATGGCATTTCCCCAAGCGCCTCATATTACAATTATCATACAATCAATCATACGATTCGTATTAGAAAATAAATAAATTTTGATGACGTTATCTGAGCTCCCTTCAAGCAGAGTCTTCTTTATAACCCAGGCCGATGTGCGTCTAATAGAGACAACAATAACAAATTTCATTGTCCATCAGCACATAAAGCACGCTCCAATCAAGTCAAAGTGCAACAAGAAGAAGAAAAACAGTGCGAGTAACCTAACTGTCAACATATTAGTTACACTGTTGCTGTCAGCGTTCGGCGAGAGCAAAGCAGAAAGAGCCACAACAAGCCGACAAGTGCGCAGCACAAATAACAACAACAATTAGGACAACCACCGTGTTGTTGTGTCTGCGTTTACGACACACACGTGGGGGCCGTCGCAGCGCTGTCGAGAACGAAAGAGCAAAAGAGCAAGCAACCGCGTGAGCACAACGCAGCAGAAACATGAAGATGTGGGGGCGGCGTTGACGTAGTCGTCGCCTGACTTATGAGTGTCTCTCTTTTGGGCGCTCTCTCTCCGGCTCTCGCTCTCGCTCTCTCTCACTCTCTTTCTCTTTGGCCAGCTCAGTGGATGGCGAAAAAAACGTGACAGTGTCGTGTTGTGGTTTGCTTTTGCTTTTGCTGTCTGCGTCTGTCGTTTCTTCTGTTTTGGAGTTTACCTTTGTGTGAGTTGCGTATCGCTGCGTATGTGTGTGCGTGTGCGGGAGCATAACAAAATACATGCATGTATGCAATACATATACACAAACGGAATACTCACGCTCATTTGGCAAGCGCGTATCATGTCAAAAAGCTTAGCGCGCATTATTTATATTATAACCTCTAATTTTTCTTGCCATTGCCTCACTTCTTTCGCCTGCTTTTGCCTTACACTCTAATTGTTTGCTAATTTACCTTTGTATCATTTTTCAACGTTTATTTAATTCCATTAAAATTCTTTTAGGCCCCTTTGCATGTGTATTGGGCATTTGTGTGTAGCTGTGTGCGTTGATAAGGCGCCAGCCCAGAGACACTTTATTATTATTTGTTGTTGATGCAGCAGCAGCTGACTTGCTCTGTTGTAAGCATGTGTGCGTGTATGTTTGTCTGTTTGTGTGTTTGTGTAAAGCAAAGCTGAAGCTGGGCCGCTAGCCGAGTCGCGATTGCGACTAGGAAAAAGCACATGTGCTAATTTAATTATGCATTAAATAAATTTTGTAAAATTTATGTGCTGCCTTAATTTATTTTTTGTTAATTTTTTTTACTGTCGGCTACAAATTGCACGCGACATTGGCGGTGTTGCCAGAGCGCATTCGTCTTGGTGTTTGTGAGTTCGATTGTCTGTGTTTGTGTTTCTGTGCCGCCGTATGTGTGTGCGTGCGTGAGTGTGTGTGTGCGTGAGTCGCACATACATACATACATACATACACAAACACACGGCAAGCAGCAACCAATGACTACGGTGTACAGTCCACTTGTTAAATCAATAAAAATAAAAAGTACAAAACAAAATGTTTTAAGAAATCCATTAAACAAAATGCACAAAAAAACACTAAAATGCAGCCGCACACGAGTAAATAACAGGAGGCAGAAGCCAGACGGGCAGAGAGGCAGACAGGCAGGCAGAAGAAACACATGGTACACGTATCAAGAGCAACCTTCGGCGAATGTTAAGGAACGCGTTGACTGGACGGACACTCGAGCACAGTTAAAAGTTTATTTCGTGCACTTTAGCCACATTTTGTGGTGTCACATTTCACACAACTTGTTTGTTGATTTTCATTAAAATTAACGGCTTTGCTTGGTACTTACCATGTTTCCAAATTGCTAAACTTCTTGGTGACCACTTTGCCCAGGTCGATGCCAAGGCGATCGACAATACGCTGCGCCAAATCCGGATGCGAGGTGCCCGAAAACACTTTAATGTTTGGCATTCTGGAGTGTATTAGATTTAGACAACCAGCCTGTTTCTCCAAATTGTCTCGGATCAAACTTCTAGCGCGTATCGGATTAGCAGAACGTACTGGCATCACACAATCTACGAGTACAAGTTTTTATTATAAAAATTTTTTTGCAAAAGCAGCGGCAGCGACGTCGCCGCATTCGCTCTGGCATGGCTATGTGTATGTGGATTTGTATGGGGGAATAGAGATAGAGAGTGGGAGAGCGCGTGTAAGAGAGCGAAATGTGTACATGTAAGCAGGCGATGGCAGCAGCAGCAGCAGCAGCCGCAGCAGTGGCAGCAGCAACAGCAGCAGCAGTAATACTTTCGTTGGCGCTCTCTCACACTCACGCGCCAAATATTCATTCATACATCTGTCGCAGGCAGAGAAAAAGCTTGTTTGTATTTAACATGCAACAGTATGTGTATGGGCCTGTGTGTATAAGAGAGAGAGAGAGAGAGAAAGAGAGTGCCGCAGCAAAGCCACCCCAAGCAGCCATGTGATTATTTGATATATTGCTGTCGCAACCTGTGTGAGTGAGCAATTGCTGTATTGTGGCCAGATCGAGGCGAATACACATGATTTATTTAAAAGTTCAAGCAAAAATATTCAAAGCTTTTCGAAGGCAGGCAATATTAACTATTTACATGAATGAGTAAATACAATTTAAATTAAATGCACGTCTTAAAGCAATATTTTCAATTGTTGTGCATTAAGAGAGATCCTTTGTCCGGAAATGCAGTCTGGCAACATTGTCTGCTCTCTTGCGTTCAGAGTGCCAACAACAATAATTAAAAGCTTACGTTGCCTGATAAAGCCTTACGCGACGCTCTCTCTGAGCGCGACTGTGCTGGTGTACCTAACCAAAATAGTCTAGCGTGCAAGCAGGCGCGTGCCAAAAGCTTTTATCACGACACAAGCCGAACAGCTGTTCATATAGTTGGTGGTTTTTGCAATGGCCGTGAAATGACTATTCAGCCTTGCAGTCAAAATGCGCGACGACACACACACACACACACACACACACAGTGGGGATGCCGCATATAACAGCTAACAATACGCACCCTCCTTGTCGCCTGAGCATTTTGTATTTGGCATGATGTAAAATTAGCGAAACTCTGATATGATGTTAAACACGACGCGCGCTTTTTACCGCTTGTCAGATGCTAACGGTACACACGACTGAGAAACGGCCAGCGGATTTATAAAGCGAAGAGCGCGCGCACGTAAAATTCGCACAGCTTTATACTATGTTATTGTGATTTATAATAATATATTTATTAGAGTGCCTATGACAGTAGATTAGACTTTGACAGCAGCAGGGAGAACAACAGAATTGAGCGAGCGCAGCGCCGCCAGCAGCCAGTGAGCAATTGGAAGTACTGAGCGTACGCGGCGTATGCGTTTCGCACACACATGCATTAAAACACACACACACGCGCACACCGATGCTAGCGCCAGAAGCTTTTGACGCAACTATGACTATTGTTGTGCTCTCTCTTTCTCTCGCTTACTCTCCCTTTTCTTTGTCGGACAGCTGTTCTGCTGCAAATACGAGGGCTGCGTGAAATGCATTTTAATTTGCATGGCTAATTTACTTAGGCTAGCCTTAGGTAATGATCCGCACAGCAACCATTTTGAGGGGCTCGTCATTGCTTCTTTGTTGTAGTACAACTGTACTTGATGCTGTCTACAAGACAAACGGAATGTCTCCGACGAGATTTGTCAAATTGTTTTCGTGTCTAAATTTAAATGAACTAAAGCTAAAGCTAAAATGTCAGGTTAAGTGTATTTGCCAAAGGAAGGCGCTGACGTAGTCTGTGTGTGTGTGTGTGTGTGTGTGTGTGTGTGCATGCATGCATGCATGTGAGTTTGTATGTATTGTTGACGCAAATACAAATGGCGTCGCTGCAATCATAAAAAGTGGTGGGGGGAAGCGACCACGTGTCGGCTTCAAATGTGCTGAGAACGCACGTTTTCTATGCCATTCAAAATAGCTAAACACAAATAAACATGCGCACACCCACACACACACACACACAAACGCACACACATATATACGTACACATAGCATATGCAAAAACGTGTCGGCAATAAATATCAACTTACTTGAAACATGTGCAAAGGCAAATCGGTCGCAAGTAACTTTAACAGCTTAGAACAAAAACAACAGTTCTCGACTTAGTCACGTTTCACTTATCTTTCTTTTTACTAGTTTCTGCAGCACTTCAGAATGCAGCCGCTTCAATGGAAATGCAAAAGCTGAATGATTCCATCGGCGTCGAAGTCATGAAGTTTTTGACTGTCGGAGCACAAGAGAGCGCGTAGAAGACGCACGATACAAGCAGAGCATAGGACAGAGAGAGAGAGAGAGAGAGCCAGAATCGGAATCGGAATCGGAGAGCGCATGGAAGAGAAGTCGCGCCGGCAACTCGCTTTGTTTTTTTTATTTTTTTTATTTGGAGCTTGGGGCCGACGATCGTCTGTGTATGGAGACACGTGCCCAGCAAACAAACGGATCGCCAATCTAAACAAAAACTGTTAAAGTTGTCTCCAGCTGCATTTCTATTACTATTCACCAGCCAATAAGAACTTAGATATGATGTATGCCAGGCTAGGTTTGAAAAGAATTGGAGCATACAATTTCAGGGTATTTTCAATGCCCACAAAAATGTTCACTGGGTTAACTTTCAAGTCCAGCGCGTGTTGTGCTGTGCGGCCCCACGCATAATTTTGAACACGTTTTTTATTTCGATTGCTGTGTTTTTGTTTGTATGCCGCAAAGTGAAACGTGAACGCGCAAAATAGCCAGACGCTGATTGTACTTAAATTAATGAGTCGCAAAATTGAAGAGCTGTGTTTTATTTTGCTGCTGTTGCCAAGCGGCCCACCCTATTATAAACTAGACTTGTGTTTGGGTTTTTTTTTGTTGTTGTTTATAAGAGACCAAACGAGTTTTGAATGAATGGCTGCCAAGGCGTAATAGAAGTGTCTACCTGAGGTCAAATCAAGTTCGTTTGTGTGTATGTTGTAGGGATCAAGCTGAAACCTTGAAAATGTTGTGGAAAAATACCATGCTGCTCTGTGGCGCGGGCCTCTAGTTTTTACAAGCTCAAAGCATGTAACATTAGAAGAAGAAAAAAACGAGTACAAGGTGTATATGGGTAATTGAAATGGCGCCCAAATTTTAAAATGTCGAAATTTTGCAGCACTGAAATGTAACATTAAAATCGGTTAACAGTAAGCTCCACCGCCTAACAGAACTCCACCGCGCAAAATTATCGATAACATGTTAGATTACATTTCGTGTATTCTTACGATCTATGTTATGGGTCACACTGGCCAGCAGCTGACTGCCATTATTTATCGATAGTCTAGCAGCCCTGGCTGACGTGCATAATGTGTTGAGAAAAAAGTCAGTTTAATATAATTGAAATACAGAAGCGTTTCATATTGTTTTTGTATGCTGCCGCCGCTTAGCTGCAATCTAAATATATAAATATCATTAATATAGCCCAGCGTCATTGAACTGCGCGTTATTTACGCAACAACAACAGCACAAACTAACAACAATCAACAACTAGAATCCAGCAACCAAACAACAACAACAAATCCTACAATCATGGCGAACATGGCCGTATCACGTATCAAGCGCGAATTCAAAGAAGTTATGCGCAGCGAGGAGGTGAGTACGCCAGCCAACTATATATAATGCATCGTCCATGACTAGCCTGAGAGCGCTCCCAGCCCTGGTCCCCAAATGGGACTCAAGGACGCACTGCATCGCATTTTGTTACCGAGCTTTTTTGGCGCGCGCAGCGAGTCAGCAATATAAAAACATACAAGACTAGCAAATTGAATGCATGTACTAATCGTGTGCCTAATCAACCGTAGATTGTTCAGTGCTCGATCAAAATTGAGCTGGTCAACGACAGCTGGACAGAACTGCGCGGCGAGATCGCCGGCCCGCCAGACACACCCTACGAGGGCGGCAAGTTTGTGCTGGAAATCAAAGTACCCGAAACATACCCATTCAATCCACCAAAAGTAAGTGCAAGCCCCGCTTTACCCAAAGGCAACTGCTCATTATGGAATGCATATTAATCCTTGGTTGGCGTCGTCGACAGGTTCGTTTTATAACACGTATATGGCATCCGAACATCTCGTCGGTGACCGGAGCCATTTGCCTGGACATACTGAAGGACAATTGGGCCGCTGCGATGACATTGCGCACCGTGCTATTGTCGCTGCAGGCGCTGCTGGCCGCCGCCGAGCCAGACGATCCGCAGGACGCCGTCGTCGCCTACCAGTTCAAGGATAAGCACGAGCTGTTTGTGCTCACCGCCCGACACTGGACCAATGCGTACGCCGGCGGTCCGCACACGTTTCCCGATTGTGATTCAAAGATACAGCGTCTCAAGGACATGGGCATCGATGAGCACGATGCGCGCGCCGTGCTCTCCAAGGAGAACTGGAATCTGGAGAAGGCGACCGAGTGCCTATTCAGTTAGCTTCGCAGTCAACCGAACGCAGCAGCAGCAGCAACAATAACAAGAAGAAGAACAACAACAACAACTAAATCAGAAGCCGCAGCAAAACACCAGCAACAAGAACTTCAAGTTAAGGAGCAGCAGTAGCAAATTCAATAAGAGCATTCTCAATTCAATCAATCAGTTCGTTTAGGATCAATCAATCAATCAATCAGCAAATCACAGCAATCCAAATTTTAGTACTGTTAGCAAAAGCTGCCCCCCCCCTCCCCTCCCCTCCACTAACCACCCGCTAATCACAATCACAACATTGATATACGAAAATAATTGGCAAATAGAGTCCAACACACACACACACACACACAGCCAGACACACACACACAGCCAGACATTATTTATTGAAATTTTTAATTTGTTTTGTTAATTTCCAAATCCATTTACTGTGTAATTTGAAAGTTTTGCGCCCAAGCCGGTTCTCACTTGCCAACAATAATCCCAATTTCAACTAAGTTTTTCTTTCTCCCAAAAAACAAAAGAATGCGATTCATTAAATAAAAGTGAGTACCGGTAATGGCCCCCACAGTTCTTTATTACCTTTTTTTGTTTGTTTGTTTTGATGTGCACTACATTTAAATATAATAATAGTGTTGCGTTTCCTGCTACAGGCTGAGCCTAGGGCCCAGCCCCACCCTCTCGACATTTGATTATGTTTTGTAATAGAACCCAGGGTTCCGTTTGCGCAGCCGCATTTATTGTTAAGCAAGGACAACAACAACAAATGAGAGTAACAAAATTAAAAAAAATATATATACAATTTACTTGCTAAACTTAAAATATGCATACGAAACATTTTTTGTCATCTTTAACTGGTTTAATTTAAGTCGAAAGGCGAAACGAAAAGCAAAGTGAAAATTAATTTTAAAGTTTAAAACAAAATGAAACCAAGCTATAAGAAAAATCTTTGTAAATTGCGTTAAGTTAATAATAATAAACAACTATTAAGAAATGCATGAGAATCTGTTAAAGCCAACACGCCAGGGATCAATTACGAGCATTTGTCAATGTTTCTGTATTATTTTGTTGATGCATTTCTGTTGAATCTTCACACATATGTAATTTTGATGCTTTTGTTGCACAGTGTTAAAACTTGTTGGCTAATCCAAACATTTGTCTACATTGTCTAATGCTAATATTGTCCTACATTTCGCTAATCGATTCGAGCGTCTACTTGTGCTTTTGCTTGGACATCGGGGCTGCGCCAGGACCGCATGCCATGGCTCCAACTGTGGCGCCCAGGCTGCTGTACAGATTTAGATTGCTGTTGCTGCTTCCCAGAGTGCCGCCCAAATTGCTGGCATTGCTGTTTAGCAAATTGTGTGTGCTGTGCCGCTGCTTGAGCATCTCCTTCCACTCGGACTCGAGGCGCACGTAGGTGCCGCCCAGCGGCTGGGCATTGTGCACCAGATTTTGATCGGAGCCCGTTTTCTTGGTCACATAGCTGGCCACCTGTTTCATGATCTTCTCCTCGAAGTCGCGCTGATGATCCTGATTGCTGCGCGCCGACAGCTCACCCGACCAGAAGCGGCCAGAGACGGCGGCGGGCCTAACCAAAAGATTAGCAAAAGATTTCGCTCACACACCTGAATCGCGACTTACCGCTTGCGTTTCTTCTTGGCGCGCGCATTTCGCGGCGGCGGCGGTCGATGATCCGATTCGCAGCCATCGCTGCTGGACGAGTAGTCCTCATCGAGCAGCGTGTTGCGTATGCGCGCACGCTGCCTGCACGCATCCTCCGAGCTGGTTGAGGTCGTCTCCGACTCGGTGCTGGTTTCCATTTCATAGCGACAGCGGCGACTAACCCGATGATTGGTCACTGGGCGAGAGATTTACAAAAGCTTAGCAAAAGTTACTTATTAACCAGACCCAAATACCCACTGTCCATGCAGAGCTGCGGCAAGAGGCCTTGGCGGCAGCGTTGCGGCGTCAACGAGATGCCCAGCCAATTGGGACTGATCTCGCCGGCGGCGGCCAGCTCCTGGGTTTGCATTGGCGGCTGCTCACACAGCGCATAGTTCTCGGCGACCAGCTGGGCAATGGTCAGAATGGCGCGCTCACGATCCGTGTCCACCAACACGCTGTGCTCGCGGAACTGACAGCCCTTCACAGAGAGAGAGAGAGAGAGAGAAATATGGTTAATAGATAGCTCGAGAGTAATAAATCATTTTTACATTTGGACCGGGTAATGTTTCAAAGCGGAAGGCTTGCTGATTGCAGCAGGCGTAACGTCCAGCTGGTCCGGCAATGCGTCCCTCGGTTTCGGGACCCAGAAAGTTGGGCGGCTCGGGATGATAGCGACACCAGGTCATTTGGTAAGCCGGAAAGTGCGCCTCGCACGTGCAGCAATACAGATAATGACAATGGCCCCACAACTTCCAGTAGACCTTGCGCCACGACTTGAGCTCCTTGAACAGTTGCATCACGTACACATTGAGATCCCAGTTCGTGTCGCGGACATGGCTGCTGACCAGCTGGCCCCAACGATTCAGACGTATATTGCTGGGTATGCAGTTCACGTGGGACTTCATAGTGTTTGTCACACAGCGACAGCAGCGCGCACAGCGAAACAGTCCGGAAATGCTGTAGAAGTGTCCGCGCAGCACTTCGGGATCAGGCTCGCAGAGGCTTTGTATAAGCTTTGTCCATAGCCGGGGCGTAACACGCTCCTTCTTATCGCGCACCATTTCGAGCTCCAGATTGGTGAACATGGCAGCCAGGCGCGTGACCAGCGCATCATTGAGGCACGACAGATTCGTGGAGGTGCGCACCACCTCGCTGAGATGGGCGTGACAGAAGGTCAGGCACTCGAGCAGCAACGGCTCCATTTGCAGAAAGCTGGCCGAGACCAGTATGGGCACCACATTGTTGCCATCCAGCAGTGGACCGGCCGCAGCAGGGTTCTGGCTCGGAGCAGCAGGCAGTTCCTGACTCTGGGCACTGTGCTTGATCCACTTCATCAGCCAGTCAAAGATTTGTATGTCGCAGTGCACCGATATGTCCATCTCCTCCAGACGCTGTCCAGCCGTCACATCCGCAAAGTAGCCCATCTTGCTGACCAGCAGACTCTGCGGGCAGCTAAAGTCGCGCGAGGTGTTCTTCACCTCGTCGCACACGTGAATGACGACCTCGGGTCTAAAAGGGGAGCATTAAATAACGCAACTAACTCGCTTCAATATACTCACTCCTTCTTCTCCTGGCGCGCATGTTTACTGTCCTTGACCAGCAACAAGGATTTGCGACGCGTCGTTGTAGTTGACGAGGTTTTGCTCAGCGCCTCCTTGACTGAGGTGCGCACCATGCTATTGACGCTATTGTTCTCTGTCAGCGCTGCTCCTGGGCTATCGCTGGGTGAGCTAACGCTGGCCGAGCTCGAGGTGGGCGTCACCAAACAGGATGTTACGTTTGGGCTGAGCTCCGACTTGAGCAGCAGCGACGGCTGTGGCGGCTGCAACGGCTGCGGCTGCGACTGCGGCGGCTGCGGCTGTGGTTTCGTCAACTTGCTGCGCCCGCTGTTGTTGGTGGAGAGTGCAACGGGCAATGGCATAGGACATATAAAGGGTAGCACAGAGTCCAGAACTCCCTCGTTGATGACATAGTCCAGTTGCTCGCTTAGTTTCGGATGCAGCCCTTGGCCCGAATGTACGTGCCCGGTGCGCATCGATGCCTTGTGCTCCGTCAGCAGCAGGCTGCTGCGGTTGCCGTCGTCGCGGCTGCTGTTGCTGCCCAGGTGGCGAAAGGGACGCTTCAGGGTAAGAAGTTTGTTGACCAATTCATTTTCAGCCAAACTATCGAAATCGAATTCATCTTTTTTGGAATTTCGCTTTGCGAAAGGACCAGCGAGACTCTCAACGGGGGGCACTGGCTCCCGATTATATGGTTTGCCCTCAACTTTTGTTATCATATCGTTAACGTGACAGGAAAGTTTGAGAAAATCGAGAAAATCATTTAAACTGATTTGAAAATCAGAACCGTTGTTGTTGTTGTTGTTGTTGCTGCCCGCTTGCTGTTGTTCCTCCGTATTTGAGTTGGATGCTGCAGCAGCTCCTTCTTCATCGTTATTTGACTTTTCCATTTTTCCATTTTCCATTTTACTGACCCACTTTAGAAAAATTGCGAATCAAATAAATTCGCACTTTTTTCCGTTACTTTGGTTACCGTGCTTCTTCTTCTTCCCATCTCCATTCACAGTGGCTAACATTATGCTTCCTCTTTCATTTCGTCCGTTAACATCACATGCAACCCTGGGCATGCAATTCACACAAAAGATATAATTTTGACAGCTGCTCTTTTCTGTTCTTTTCCGGTAACAACGTTCGCAATGGTGGGTGTCCAAATGTCAAAAATCGAATAAAAAACCTTAAATATAAATGCAATCATCGCATGTTAAGCACTAATATGTGTAGAAAAGTGTAGATAAATATGTGCAGCGTTCGCGCTCTATGAAATTTCATACAATGCAGCCATTGAATTGGCCCAAAAAGTTAATTGTTTATGTGACCAGAGCCGCCAACTAATCCTGTGTTTTCAACCAACTCCCAACTCTAGGGTCGCGTCAGAACCAAGACTGTGAAGAAGGCCGCCAAGGTCATCATTGAGAAGTACTACACACGCCTGACGTTGGATTTCCACACCAACAAGCGTATCTGCGAGGAGGTTGCCATCATTCCCACCAAGCCCCTCCGCAACAAGATTGCCGGGTAAGTTGCCGACAAGAAGCTGCTAAAACCGAGGTTGTAATACTTATGGGGAATGTGTCCACAGCTATGTTACCCACTTGATGGGCCGTCTGCGTCACTCCCAAGTGCGCGGTATCTCGATCAAGCTGCAGGAAGAGGAGCGCGAGCGTCGTGACAACTACGTTCCGGCTGTCTCTGCTCTGGAGCAGGACATCATCGATGTCGATGCCGACACCAAGGAGATGTTGAAGCTGTTGGACTTCCACAACATTCGTGGCCTGCAGCTCACCCAGCCCAACACCAACAACTTTGGACGTCGCAATTAGGTTTTAATCGGAAGGACAGTAGATGATGGTGTTCCTTAAGTTCTACAAAGGCGCCTGTTTTTTTGCTAAATATCTAACGGTTGCATGGACAACACAATAAACATCGTGTGTGAAATGCAAAAATAGAAACAATTGCCTTGTTTATGGTGTGAAAGCGACAAATTGTTGAATTTGTGAATGGAATGGATAGTAAAATGCATCGTTTGGTTTATTTTCATTTTAATGAAAAATACTGTAGACATGCACATATAAATGTGTATACATTCGATCCATAAATAAATGGGTTTGTTTTTATACAATGGTAGACGATATATAAAAGATATTCTCTACAAGTGCACATATGTAAATCTAAGTGTGTACACGAATATATATATATATATATAGATAATGGTATATGAAGAGTTGTATATGGTTTGTGTATTTATGCGCTGTCGGCCGCCTGATCCAGATTGGGCCTGCGCACCGGATTACGCAAGACCAGCTCCGAATCCTCCGATATGATGGGCAGTGCATGAACCCAATGATAGTTGATCAGATGGCTGATGCTGTCGAATATGCGATCTTTGGTTCGCACCACGCCCTCGGGATCGATGAGCAGCAAGTGCTTGGGTGTTTTGCCCTCAAGACCGGTCAGCACATACTGGCCACGCTTGCCCTGGGATTCGCGCACCAGGAAGTCGCCATCCTGCTGCAAAAGACGCTCGGCAATTGGGCGAGAGATCGCAGCATGGAACCATATTTCGGCAGTGAGTGGGCACTGTGGCCCATCGAAGACATCGCGTATGGAACTGGGGGCGGGGCCAGCGACGGAAGCTGCCTGCAGCGGATCGAAGTTGCCAAGGGCCAGTTTGTTGGTGGTTTGATCGGGGGGCGGGGAGTTAAGATCGATGAGATTGCTGCTCAAGCGATCGCGCGGTTTCTTTAAATTCAATTGGGCCACACGCGGTGCGTGCGGATTAAACGGCAATTGTGCCAGTGGCTGTGGCTGCTCCTCGCAAGGCAAATCCGGAGGCAGCTTGTTCGGCAAATCGTTGTAATACTCCTTGACGTTCTCCTTGCAGCTCTGATTCAGGTTATCTGCCGCGGCGTTTGCTGCATGCTCGTTTTGCCTGCTGAGCGCATTGAAGCGCAGCACAAATGCCTTGCCTATGGTCACGATCAGGTCCTCGCTCTGGCCGCCAGCGCACTCCAGGACATAGCAGGCGCGCCACTCGTCGCCCTCGCGCTTGGCGATGTAGGCCAGAAAGTCGAGGGTGTCGTTGTCGCCGCCCGAAGCAAACGAAATCCTGGGCATATTGTGATTGGCAATCACTTCGCCCGTTTCCACATTGCTGAGAGTCAGCGCACGGCTGGACACGTTGATAATGATGTTTGTGCCCGCATGCTGCATGCTCGGACGATCCGATATAAAGTTGTGCAACTTTTTGTCCAGACGCCGTTTGCTGGCAGACTTCAGGCCAGCTGCTTCGCACACACGATTAATACACTCACTAAAATTAGATGCTGTAGCAGCTAGCGGAGATTGATTTTGGGTATTTCTATCACCTACCGTGCGAGCAGCGTGCGCGTCTCAAAGTCCAGCGATTTCATGGAGGTCTTGACCTCAACGCAGCCCGTGTAACGCACATTGAATGTTACGCCCTTTTCCAATATGACGTCGTCGGGATATATGCAGCCATCGCTAGTGGCACTGGCGCCTGTGCCACCGTTGCCGGCATCGCCGCCATTCCGTGGCATTTCGTTTGTGTATGCGTATTTTGGGCGTCCTGTCTGTGTCCTTTGTTTGTAGTGTTGTATCGGGTCGTCGAATGACTCACTTGAGAGAATGAACGAACCTGAGTTATTGCATGTCGTTCATTTGGTTCGTTGCAGTTGCCGATAACAGCTGTTAAATAACAGAATCCATAATGTACAAAACGCTCGAATTCGGCTGCCTTAAGCCTGTCTTCGTGTGTAATGCAGAGTTCTGGCCACAGTCAAGACCTTTTAATAATGTGGTATATCGCAAATTATACATTTATTTATTTAACAGTTCTTCTGCCAGTGTGCCCACCATGACTTCAAGCCATATCGACCGACCGCCACAGTTTCTTTAGCAGAAATCACACTCGAACAATCAGCTGCTGTAAGCGACCTCTCGGTTCAGCTTGTTGCTAGTTAAAAAGCTTGTGGCAAGTTAAAGCTTCAACATAACGCTTATATCTTATTTGACTGTCGTGCATACAACAACGCTTGGTCGGACGCTATATCGTGCGTGTCGGTTTTCTGTGTGTTTTCAAGCGGGGCATATACATACATACACAGTTGTTCTCAGAGTCGATGCGCCATCGTCAAAGCTGGCAAAAGAAGTAATATATCAAATTAAAAAAAAAAACCAAAAAATATATTTACAAATCAATTCGTGCTTAAGCCATTAAGCTATATCTTTTGCTGTTCTTGCAATTTGCTGCAACAAGAGCAACAACAGTAGACAATAAAAACTTGTTCAATAAATACAACAAATTTTAGGGTGTAGTTCAAAACAGAAAAATTAGAAAATATTTTTATTTTGGCCACAGAAATATAAATTAACAATCGATAAAGCACCAAAGGCAGCATACAAAACCTGACGGACACACCCCCGCGCCGGAGTCGCAACTGCAGCCAACCCCCACAAGCAAACGCAAATCTGTGCAACGGTTACGCCAACGCAGCAGCCGTGCAATTGGAATCTGATTGGAACGCTGACGCGTCGGCTGATTACTATAACTATATATAAAATAAAATCAACGTTTTCTGCAGTTTCTTATTGTTGTGGTAAGTTAATTGCTCCTTCTGCCATTTTATCATCAAACTTTCTGTTGCCTGTTTCTTAACATTGTCTGTGTGCGTGTGTGTGTATGTGTGCGTCTGTTGCTGTTTTGGATGCGGCTCAGTGAGCATAAAACCATTTTTACGTCATTTACAGGTTGAAATAAGTTTTATATCAACCGCACACAGATACATGCATACGAACACACATATTCAAAAACGGTATTCGTGCGTCATTTGAATGAGACTTCTGTAGCCACAGGCACTGCGTCATAGCGGTAGTCCCTTGCAGTCTTTATTCTTACACACATTCTAACCTACACAGGCAGGCATACGCGCGCACACACACACATACGCACTTACACTTGTATTTAAGCCACTCTGAAACATAATTATGTTTTTTACTCAGTTTTTGTTGTTGGTGATCTCATCGTTTGGTGCCTTCCGCTAATTGCCGCTCTAAGCGCTTCAGGCCTGGCCGCCCAACGGTCCAGACATTTAATTTGGCCTTAATTCACGCCTCTGCCGCTTTGCACAGCAGCCGCGTCGCTCCTAATATGGCCTAGACTAGAGCAAGCTCCGATTTAAGCTGATGACGTTGACCCTCAAACAACAACTCTTGCCGGTTAACATTTATCGGTTATTCTATCGATAACACCCACGCGAGCGCGACCTTGGCTGCTTCTTGCTTAGCTAAATGCTGCGGAAACAGTTGTTAAATATTTAACAGCGACAAATTTGTGCCTTAATTACATTTAGAAAGTGTGCCCAATGGCTTTAACCTTTGTGTCAGTTTTTAATAGTAAGCTATGAAAAAGAGCGCAACGAACTCTCGTTTCCATTTCACGCTCTGTATCTTATGCTGGAATGATACTCTTAAGCAGGCACATACAAGTAGCAAATGGAAAGTGTCATCGCAGCATTGCGTTGCTAGTTAACAGCTCTGTTAAATGCGCTTGGAAGGGGAAATAAACTACATATATATACACACATACATATATTTACAGTGGGGCAAATGGTGTTTTTTCTAGAATAATCTTGGCTTGCCAGTAATTGATTAAATTGTATAAATCTCTACTAACGGGCAGCTCCTTTGGGCAGACATGTCCTTTAATTAGCTAAGTCTTCTGAAAAAAATAACGCTTTAACATTTTGTAACTTTAATTTTACTATTGTTTTTATTGTTTACCAAGTGGCTATAAACTTATGCACACGCATGTACATATTTCATTATATATATATATTTTAATATGTAGGTTTATACTTAAATTAGTTGCCTATAAACTATAACACGCCGATTTGGAATACTAAATTCGCTGTGGTGACAAAGCGCCCCTTCTTGTGCTTCTCCTGTCCCCCAACTCCCGCTGCCCACTGTGCGGCACACTCACATCAGCTGCTCAAAGTCTGTTATATAATACTGGGCGCGTCTGTAGACCTCTGTGCGCACCACATTGCCGCCGTAGCCAATGAAATTGTTGGCCGGCGGCACAGCCTCCAAATCGGTGGCACCATCGCCAATCATGGTGATGAGCGCGTCGGCTGGCTGCCGTTTCCTAATCATGCCAATGGCATCCGCCTTGCCGCCGGAGCGCGATGTCGGCTGGTTGACATCGAAGCTGTCGTAGGCGCCGTTGTAGTCGAACAGTATTTTGTTGGCATACATGTTGGTCAGTGGAATGCCCAGCTCGGCGGCAACGGGGGCTATCAGGCAATCAAAGCCGCCGGATATGAGATATACCTGTTTGCCGTCCGCCTTCAATTGTGCCACAAAACGCTTCACATTGCGGCTGAGAGTGCTGGGACGCTGCTTGATGAAGTCGGCTACCTGCTGCTGTGAGGGGCGTATGATATTGAGCCGTATCTTGAGCGCATCCTGAAAGGTCATGCTGCCGCCCATGGCCTCCTTGGTTACACGCGCCACCTCGCTGCCCTTGCCGCAGAATTCGGCCAGCTCGTCGATGCCCTCCTCACAGATGACGGTCGAGTCCACATCGAAGCAGACAATCTGCGACTGCTGTATGATCTTGGCTGCCTGCAGCGGCTGTTTCGGTGGCGTCGTGGTTACCGTGGGCGTGGTAGATACCGTTTTGCCATTGGCCAGCGCCGCATTCAGCTGCTGGGCGAGCAGCGTGGCCGTCGCCGCGGTCGCCGTGGCGCCTGCACAGCCGTTGGTGGCGGCGGTGGCACTGGGACGTGCCATGCTCAGCACGGAGCTGCTCATCTTTCGAATGGATTGCACGTTGTCTATGGATTCTACAAATTACGTAAAAGCTGCTGTGCCGCTGCTCTGGTACGTTTCGATTTTGATTTTGATTTCGCTTTGTTCGCAGCACGCCGTTGCCGTTTGCCTCTAAAATTTTCCGTTGTCAGCGTGTATGTATGCGTGTATGTTTGTATGTATTCTTTTTCTCCTTTATTTTGCACACGCGCGTTTCTTTCTGCTCAGCTGTTTATTGTTTTTGTTTTGGATATGAAACAGTGTTTGTCAGCTTGGCATAACTTGCTTTTTGGTTTTCAGCTATTGAAAATTCTATGCACTTAATGGACGATCGTCACGATCTGTACGCGTTGACTGGCCTTTTACAACTGAATTACCAGCAGTCACTGGTCGCCCTTATAAGAAAACTCGAGCAAACAGACACAAATGCAGCGTGCTGTTAGTTTGCTCGCTTGCTCTCTCGTTCTCTCTCGCAGCTGTCAGACGCAATGTCTCGACGCTGACCAGCGCGCGCACATGCCTCTGTTAGTGTGTGTGTGTGTGTGGCGATCATACGATAACTACCAATAACAACTTAGCATGTTTACGAGTGTGTGTAGTGTTTTGCTGTTACATTTACAATGTTTGTCGATAAACAGCTGCCGTAGATATCGTTTCTACACCGACTATCAGTTCACCTACATCGAACGTCCCAAATAAGTCGCTAGTGAACCTTTGCCCAGTCATGCGTGAGCCGGACGTACATATATGTTTGTTTGTCTTAATCAAATCTTAAACGGCTGAAGAATTAAAAAGTGTCATTTGTCGCTCGAGTGCTTACTAGAACCGCTTTTTACCGGTTTTGCGACCCATTCATGTCTGGTGGTCGCCGCTTATCATAAGCGGGCCAATAAAACATAGCTATACTGATTAAAGTGTAGGGTATCGGTTGCTAAATTGGTGTTATGTATTTGTCTGACTTTTCCAGTCGTTTGGAAACCTTGAGCACAGGAGTTCTTTGGAAACCGGAATATTGTCTTATCAGTTGATAATGTTTAGTGTTTTAAAAAATACAGGGTATTCGATGGCTAAATGAAAACAGTTTAAACCACTTTCCTTTTTTAAAGTTTTCATGGATGTGGAAAATATACATATGTGCATATAATAAACAGGGGCGCGTTTTAGGTGCTGATGCAATGCAGTCTCACGTTACGCGTTACGTCGCAACGTAACAGACCACTGATCGGGCGCTCACCACCAATTTTCTCTCTCTCTCTCTCTCTGGCCTCTCTGCTAGATAAAACTTACGTGTGGCGCGTGCAATGCAAACAACAAAAACAAGAATGGAAAATTGAACTGCACTCGCTGCGGCTTCAGTTGTTGTTATTGTTGTTTTGCGGAATAACAAGTTGTTTTGATCATCGTGCGGTTCGGTTGCGAGGCGTGTTAAAAACAACAACAGGCCTGAGACCGCAAATGTATTTCATTGCCAGCGATTATGCAGTTGGCGGCATCGATAACGATAAATTCAGCTGCGTGCACATTTAAAGCCCAAACAGCTAACGACTTAAATTGAACACAGTCATTAAAAAGCTTCGTTTTAATTGACGAGGCCGTCTCCTTGTTGCCTTGGACAACAAACACCTGTCAGAAATTCAACAGCACCGGTTGTTGGGCGTCAAGTTTTTCCCTTAGCTTGCCTTACATTTATCGATTGACCTTGTTGCTGCATAAATTCGACCCAAGTCGACTTTTGGCTAGCTAAATTTCTGTCGTGTCAAAGAAAAGAACCAGGCTCCATAAAACTGTTGTATGTATGTGTGTAAGTGAGCACACACGTATACATTGAAAACACTTCATTTTTATTGGCCTTTGACCAGCCACGTGTGTGTGACTAAGGTTCGATAATAGAATACGCCTATGTATATTATATTTTGGCTAGTCATTAGGAAATTTGTTGAGACAGTTGACGGTGACGTCTATTTGTTTAATTGCAATTGTAAGTACATACATACATACATACACAAAAACACAATATATTTACATATGTATGTGTGTACATACAATACGATATTGTATTTCATACACGCCCACAACACAAACGAATAAGCTATGGAAGGGGCTCTCCCGAACACGCATTGGCCCGGTGCTAACCTCAGACGAGGGCTTGTTTTTTTCCTCCAGTCGTCGCTCAATCAGCTGATAGACAAAAAAATAAAAAAAGGAAAAATAAAAATCTGTAGCCAGACCGAAGACCGTGTAATTGCTTTATTTAATTTCATCACTATGCATGAAAAAATAGAATTACATGTGAAAAAATATTTTTATTTGTGAACTGTCTGCTTCTAATTGATTTGTTTTCGATTAAATAGTGCTGCAAGTTGCCAAGCGTTTTGTTTCCAACTGCATTTATTGCTGATTAACGGTTAAATTGTAAGAGCTTTGATCGCACGCCGCCCTCTCGCTTGCACTCGTGTTCGCATGCTCTTTACACGCGATTTCAGCTCCTTAGCTTGCTCTCACGCTCTCTCACACACACTACATACTTGACATATTTACTTAGGCGCATGTATGTATGCATGCTCGAATTTAAGACGGATGAGCCAAAAGGGGAGCAACAACAAGAAATGCAGCCTGTACACCGCCCGCTCCTTTTGTGGTCGGTTGCTTTTGTTCTTGTTTTTGTTCCAGATCATGCGCTTTGGCTTATAAACAGTTATAAAACACTTCGTGGAGAGAGAGTCGGTGTATAGCAACGTCAACAGTTTGCTGTTGGGCAAATAAACAACAAGAACGACAACTGCAAGGCAACCCCCTCTGCTGGGGGCCACACGCTGTAAGCACGTCATTTGTGCGCTTGCTGTTGCTATCGCATTTTGACATTCGGACTGCGCTGCAGCGACGCCGACGGCGACTGCAGCGTTGACGGTGACTGCAGCTGCAGCCCGTTGTTTAACTTTGTCGCTGACAAAACTACTCAAAATAGCAACGGGAAAAGTTTTGCATGTGCTCGAAATGATTGCCTCGCCCCGCCCCATCCTGAAATGTAATTACAAAAGCGCTTATCGTTCTCTTTCTGCCGGCATCAGTTCGTTGCACTCGCAAATCAACAATAAACTATGACAGGAGTTTTGTAACCGCAATCTGCCCCACTTTCCACAAATGAGTTGAATGACACGATAACATTACACATATTAAACGTTTATCGTTATCGGATTAAATAAGGATCCACGCATAAGCTGGCAGCATTGCGCAAGAAGAAGCTGCCAGACTGTTATTTACTTTTCGCCATTTTGTCTGTCGGCACACCTACACGTGTTCAATGAATTGCTGAATCATGCATCGGCCACAACTACTATTCAGTGAATCGCATGTGCGGTGATTCCCACACAAAGTCGCACCCAAAACTGGATGCGACAAACTGACAAACTGACACACTGATAATCAAATTGAACGCGCCTTTTTGCAATGCTCTATTTAATTGGCATTCTAAATTGCAATTTCAGTTGTTCTATACGTTCATCAGCACCAGCAGCCGCAGCAATTATGGTGGATTTCCGTTTCGACATCAAACCGCTGTTTCCGCAGCCAATTATCAAAGTGACATCCAATCTATTGCCGCACACCTTTCGGGGTGATCGGCGTCAGTGCTTGTGAGTATTGAAATTGTACGCGGGCTGGTCGTTAACCCAATTTGATCCGTAAGTCAATTAACCGTTACGCTTTCCACACTCACACACGCACCCAGAGATGCCACCTCAAAGATGTCCGAGATAATTGATCGCCTGGGTCAGCTGTCGGCCACATCACAAGGCCTGAACAAACCGGTGACCACGGCTCAGCGCCTGCGCATGTCGGAGAACCAGACCATCTATCTGCTGGCGGATCCTGAGGCGGGCAACAAGTGAGCCAGCTCCCATTGACCTCGCCTGACATCCAGACCAACTTATGACTGTGCACGTTTCTTTGCAGCGGCTGTGTCATTGGCCTGCTTAAGGTCGGCACCAAAGATCTCTATTTGTTCGATGAGAAGGGCCAGACCCGCAAAATGGAGCAGTCGCCCTCAATTTTGGACTTTTACGTGCACGAGACACGTCAGCGCGCTGGACTAGGCAAGCGTTTGTTCGAAACCATGTTGAGTGAGGAGCAATGGACACCACCTAAGTGTTCCGTGGATCGGCCATCCGAGAAGCTGCTGGCCTTTCTGGGCAAGCACTATGGCCTGGTGCGCACCATACCCCAGGCCAATAACTTTGTGCTCTACGAGGGCTTCTTCAACGATGCGGCCTCCCAGAATGGCTCCAGAAATGGTCATGCCGATTCACCACAGCGCACCAAGAATGGCCTCCACATAACAAACAGGTGAGTTGGTTTTTCATTTTATTTAGTTTTCCACGCGATGGAGCGTTGATTGGCGCTGCGCTTCGTGGCGGGGCAGTAGGTTAATTAAGGCGTTGCGCCTTGCAGGAAACATTTCACTTGGCTTAGTTGCCCATTTCTTGGCCAAAACATTTGCATATCGCACGCAAACATCCGACCAGGTCATTTGTTTACTTGTGTGCGCTGTTTCCAGTGGGCGTGTGCGATAAAATTGATCGCCTGCGGAAAAGCACTTATCGATAAATAAAATTTAAGAAAAATGTATGCAATCTATTAACGGTGGCTTGTTGCTTGCGCTTTCACTTTATATGTATATGCTCCTATCTTTATGTATCATATTCATAACTGATGCGTTTTGCTCAACTTGTTATACACCTTGCAGGGCATATTATAAGCAGATATCCTCGGAGATATTATGATCAGGCTGAAGATATAGCCTTCCGTCCGTCTGTTTTATAGATTATACTATATCATACGATCCATATATAAATTTAAATTTTATATGAAAAACTCTTTGGTTTTCCAAGATATCTTAACATAACTAACTAATTACGATCGTCACCATGGCCCATTAACATACTTAAACGTGAAAAAGAAATTAACAGAAAAATGTTAACATCGGTTAACAGAAAATGTAGTGCTACAAAACCAGTTATGTATAGAACAAACCCAAGAAACTTATAAACTTTATGAAAAGTGAAAAAAATAACAGAAAAATGTTAACTTCGATTAACAGAAAACTTAGTGCTTTAAAAACCGTTATGTATAGAAATTTCCCTACCGAACAAACTTACAAACCACTAAACGTCAAAAAAGCTTTAACAGAAAAATGTTAGCTTCGGTTAACATAATATTCAGTTCTATAAAAACCGTTAGATATAAAAAATGTATCTGTGATCTGCAAGGGTATTTATTCTTCGGTATATACCAACAGAAACTTTTCTTTCTTGTTCAATATTAATATTAATTAGTTAATTTATGAGAGCTTAACACGATTTAAAGCTAACAAGTTGTGCGAACGCATCAAAAAGTAACTAATTATAATTGAAATATATATGCCCGTAATAATTAAGTGTAATAAATGTTAACTATTTTCAATCCACATGTTGCGCCTACTACTACTAACGATAATCAACAAACAACTACCAAAAATCCATGAATCAACCAATCAAGTCCTAACACACAACTCTTTGGTGCCACCTATTTGGGCGACGAGGCTGACCACCAAAAGCGCTTCGGTCGACGCAACAGCAACTTGCAGCAGCAGCACCAACATCTGCAGCAGCCGTCGCTGCTGCAGCAAATAACACAGATCTCACCAAATGGACGGTATGGTGCACCGCGTCCCACATGCAGCATGGCCGAGGTACTCAAACATTAAATGTTGAAAAGTTCAAGTTCAAGTTCCCAAGTTCCGTGCACTGCAAGCGCACAGTTTGAATGCCACTGATAGCCCAAGTGCAGTTTGAGTGTTATTGAGCTCTGCTAGCCCCTGTCTGTGTGTGTGCGAGAGTGTGTGTGGATTGCCTTATTTAACAGCCAGTGTATGTGTGATGTATTGTTTGCTTTTGTTTTATTTATTTAATTTATTGATTCGTTCCCAAGTATAATCTCAATTTTGGACTTAAAAACATTTAATTAAAGCTTGATCTTAGCATGCCTGTGGCTAAGTTTCCATTCGTTTAGTTGTTGGCATCATTTGGGGCTCTACGAATTGTTTAGTTAACATTTGTACTTCACACGATTCACAACGAATTCTTGTTTTATTTCTGAACAAAAAATACAAATTATTTCGCTTTGCGTAATTTTATAATATCCGAACTAGAATACAAAAGTAATCGTATACAATTTCGACGCGCTATTCCGTGCCAAAGTTTTACGTGCGGTTTTCGAATTTTAGCATTTAATCATTTGTTGTAAAAATTATGGATCCAAAACGTGGTGGTAATGTGGCAGCAACACGCCAAGGAGCGTCCAAGACGAGCGTTGCCGTAAGTTGATTTAAAGCGAAGCAGCAACTGTGCCTGTGTGCGTGTCCGTGTGTGTGTGTGCGTCTGTGTGTAGTTCTGTTTTGATTTGCAGTCACGTCACGGGATGGTGCCGCCTACCAACATGGCCCGCAAGTACGGCAGCGAGGTCAGCCTGACGCCCAGCCAGGCCAAGCAGGGTGTGGAAAATGTAAGCTGATCCAGCTTGGCCACATGGCGTCCATTCCAATAAAGCATCCTCTTCCGACAGCCGCGCAAGAGTCCGCTAGATGCGCTGAGCCGCATGAACTATCGCCAGGATCCCTTCCAGCGCCGTTCGGGCCTGCAGGATGTGGATGATTCGTTTATGGCAGCCAATGCCTTTGCGCGTCCCTCACGCCTGCGGCACTCGGGCCTGGAAGGCAACATGTCCGTGGCCAGCAACCAGCCGGCAACAAATGCCGCCGTGGCACCCATACGCGTTGCCTCGGGCCAGGAGGCGCCGCAGATGCAAATGCAATATCAGCCACAAATGCAGCAGCAGCTGCAGCAACAGCCGCCGCCGCAGGCTGCCCAGATACCACAGCAAGCCGTTTCCAACCTGGCTCCGGCGCAGATGCCGCTACAACAGCAGCCGCTGCCAGCACAACAACAGCAACAGTTGGCACCAGCAACTGTTGTGACCACACAGCAGTCGTTGCCGCAACAGCAGCAACAGCCGCAATACGTGCAGCAGCCGGCTGCTGGTCAACCCACGCGCCATGAGCCTTACCCCAGCGGACGCGCCCATGTGCAACATCAGCATCATCAACAGCAGCAGCAGCAGCAGCAGCAACATCAACAGCAGCTGCAACAGCAGCAACAGAATCCCCATGAGCAACAGCAGCTGGCACAGCAGGATGCACAGGCTCAAGCTCAAGCACAGATGCAGCAGCAGCAGCAGCAAATGCAAATGCAACAGCAGCAGCAGCAGCAGCAACCGCCCGCCCAGATGTCGCCGCGCAAGTACCAGCAACTGCAGCAGCAGCAACAGCAGCAACAATCTGGCTACGTAAATATGCGACAAGTTGCATGCATCCGAATTTAATGACACCTCAAACCCATAGCCCTCGCAGGCGACGGGCGCTGGAGGTGTGCCTCCAGCCGCCGAAATGTGCACCACATGCCCCAATTGCCAGACGACCATCTATTTGGTGCGCACGCCCGAGCTGGGTCACGGCGATGCTGGACTGCCGCTGCAATAGACGACCACATGCTTTTGTCAATCCCATACAGAAATTCACTCCAGAAAAGGAAAACAAACAAATCAATGAAAAAGTCGAAAAAAAATTTTATGGAAATGGAACTTTGGCGTACGAAATTCAAGCTCATATTTAGATGCGTGTGCGTGTGTGTGTATGGGGATTGCGCGCATGCCCCATACCCAGAAGGGAAGTGGTGCTTTGCTTGGTGATCACAATGCATCCAAATTTGAAGTAGAACCCGACGAACAGCGGCAACAGCAGCTAGTTGCAGCACCAAAAATAATACAAATACAAATCTAACCAAATTCTCGGTTCACCTTTCCGACTATATATACTGCCCAAGTCGAAACAAACGAAAGATGAATAACAAATTTGTTTTGCCAGAACAGCTCGAAACTTCCATGCTCTGACACGAAATTTCACTGTAAATAAAGACTCTAATTTTATTTTACTGAAAATTTGGTGTCGCAAGTGGTCGCAACTTTCGCTGCGGGTGCTTTGGCCCATTTTGTGGGTCAACCCCCAAGTGTGGCGAGATACCAACCCCTGCCTTGGCCGCGTGCCAAGGGGCTGTTTGTAAGGGCCAAAATAAAACTTTGCTTGACACTTGCGCTAGATTCTGGCAGGCGGAGGAGGGGTATGCGCTACTAGAACTGCGTCTTTTTGTTTACTTAGACGACATTCTGGCTGTTAATAAAGCAATTCATTTGGTTACCGCTGAGCTAAATCGTCCTTTTACTTTTCGTTTTGCTTCTCTAACAATTTTGGTTAAGGAAAGTAACTGCAAATTATATTCTAGCACTCGCTCATGAGTAACCCTAACACACACATATATATGACCTAAATGTTTAATATGTATGCTCATTTCCATCTTCTTTATTCTTCAACCCTCGTGCAGATAATTCACTCGGGCAGCGGCAGTTCCAGCAAGGGCGGCGGCGGAGGCAGCTCAGAGTCTAACAGGTAAATCCATGTGGCTAATTCTTGTTTTCAACTAACACCTGAGCATATTTGATCATTCGGTTTATATTTTGTCATTTTTGGTTTCATTTCTTTCTTTTGTTGTCTTTCAGAATCAAATAATTACGCATACGCACACACGGCTGCATTACATTGAAAAACAATTGTCAACTAATCAAGTGTACAAAGCTTTCTTTTTATAGAAGATTATTTATAATTTTGCATTATCATAGGCTTTAATTATGAGTGAATTTACTTAATGTACAATCAGCGAGGAGGCTGCACTCGCCGCACACCCACCCCCCCAAAATACACCTCTACCATCACTTAAACCTTCACATATACACACACACACACACACACACGGCACGGGTAGTCAGCTCGATCGGAACCGTTACACAAAATACCTGATAATTGTGATTACATTTGTATAAATTTTTATTTTAACTCTTTTAACATTATTGCATTGTTTTTTGTCGTAATTTATTTTCATTTGTCGTGCAATAAAATCAACAAGAAAATTAAATTAATAAACAATTAGTGTAGTGTATGTTATTTAACAGCCTCTGTTAACTTTTTCAACAGAGGCAGCGACATTGCCCAACTTACCGCACAATTCCAGAATTTGCAGGCGGTTGGTGATGCTATCGAGCTGTATCACTTGGAGCTAGAGCGTGAACCGGAACCGGAACCGGAACCAGAGCCTGTAACCGAGGAGGTGATCACTCCAGCATCGCCGCCGCCCAAGAGTTACACTCCAACTCCGCCAATGGTGCGTTCGCCGGAAGTGGTTGAGAGCATTATTGGCGAGAATCGTAAGCCGCCGGCTTTTCAGCTGAGCAAGCAGCACACTGGCATGAAGAATCGCTCCTCTGGCGTGGGCATGGCCGTTATGCCTAGCGACAAGATGGAGTTCAATCAGCCGGAGCGCGAGGATTTCGGCGTCGTTAAGATCAACCGTCCGTTGGGCAATGAGATCACCTCGCCCGGTCAGGACAACACAGATGCCATGTCCATTGTGTCGTCAACGGCCGGCCTGACCGATCAGGGCTTTAACGATCTAAAATTCTATCACAATAAGTTGTGGTAAAGCCATACAAGAGATATCAGCATATTTGCGAGCAATAGTTGCTAATGTGTTTACATTTTTTGTACGTGTCATAAACATAAAATATGCATAACAATTAATATGAAATTAGCATTTAAGATATACTTATTAACAAACTAGAGAAAAACACAACGGTTCCTGTTTGCTTTAGTTCACTTTTGTTGTTCGCTTTGTAGTTTTCTGTTATGTTAATTAGTTCATTTGTTACACCCACGCACTTGAAAGCGCAGTTGAATGTTAACAGCAACATTAACAGTCTGTAGTTCAATGCAGTTAACAGCAGTCAAGCAAAATGAAAAAAAAAAAAAATATTAGCGAATAGAATATTAATGATATTCAACAACTGTGCGTATCTTCCATTGCAGCAAACGCGATTATTACGAACAGATATATAGCGAATATATGCTATAAGTGGCCCACATACCTAATATACCAATTTCTCGAACCAAATCTCATGTATTCTGTAATATTTAGTTAAGCATTGCAATAATAGTCCAAAATAAAGTAAACTTTCGATTCTATTTATATATGCCAAGCACATGCCGCTTGGTCTTTTTCCATTTAATTTGCCATACAAATATGTACGTAACACACACACACATATACAAATGAAATGGAAATCATCTACATGCGACGCGCCCAGCTGAGGTGCTGTAAATTATAAAGTAGAGCTATCGTTGGTGATGCAGCCTATCTAGGGGGAAAGTGGGGGACAGCGACGTTAAATCTGCGCCTTTGCCTTACATATAGATAAAGTTGAATCTGTAATGAATGTGAAAGTTAGCAAGGAAAATCAAAGGATCTAAATAGGATCTGGTCGCTTACCTGCACAACGCCTGCGGCAGCGATGATATAATGGGTCCATAGCCTTGTGAATTGTCGTACAGCTCGAATAGGGGGGCAGCAACAAGTTTATAATTTTTGGGCACAGCAAATAGTGCTAGATTACAGAAAACGATAGAGACAGAATTTATGTATGTAGCAGAGAGCATTAGATATAATAAGGGGTTATGGTAATCACATGATTATTGCAATAACTAGATAATTACAATCGGTTATACAAAACAATTTACATAAGAAAGATTCGCTGCCGTAATTACGTATGATATATAAAAGTTTGTATTATGGTTGTTTTCTTGTTTGTTGTTTTACATTCACAGTTGTTGATACTTCGTTAAACTAAATTAATAGATTCTGTTCTTGATGCGCAAAATTCAAATCAATTCGGATACGACTTCAAAAAAGCCGTCAATTTTGGGCATCAAACAAAGTCTACTAATTATTGTGATAAGAACATAATTTCGATTACCATTAAGAGCAACATTCATTATACATTGTGCGTGTGAACGCGAGTGTTGCACAATGGATGATGTCAAGGAAGTACTAAACACAGAGTTATAATTGTTGTTACATAAACGAGTGCTTAAATTATTTAAGAAGCGACTGCGACTGCCTGCCTAATCCAGTTGCATTTGCCATATGCACGCAAATCAGCACAACACGCGAGATTTGTCCGCATTAACAGACGACAACCGGCAACTTTTACAATGCACTTTCAACTGTTGTTTACCTGCCTGCCCGATTAATAAAGGCTCAACACATAACAAAGAAAAAATGAGTATCGTGTGTAGGATTGCGCTCTCTGGGTTACAGAAGTGTCGACATATTTACAAAATTAATACAACAAGAACAATCAAAGAATTTCGGGATATGCGCAAAATATGCCAACAACTCTGAGAGCAACAAATACAATTTGAAGTAAGTTTTGTACAAAAAATTGAACTAGAATCGACAAACTAATTAAAATTGTATGCGCCTCGGGGCCATTATGCGATCTGTTTCTGATTCTTTTCATTTCTGTTTGTTCAGTTTGTTTGCACTCTTGAGTAGAGCGTTGAGGAAGAGCTCTATGCTTGGTTGGGCAGATGCCAGATGCGTGAGATTACACAACACAACACGGCGCTATTGGAACAGCTCAGGGTACATCGTAACTGGCGTTCCTGTCCGTATCTAAACAGCATTGAAAAGATATGACATGAGGTTTGTTAGCGTATCGGTTTGGCAATAACTTTACAAGGTTATATGTTTATAAAAGTATTTAGAAATGTACTTTTTTTTTTTGGCCGTCATTATAATACCTACGCTCTGGACAACACTTTTGGCTAGCGCATTGGATATTTACCCTTTTCATGCAATTGCACCAAAAACAGACGTTTGTGCTCCTTTGGTTTGGTTATGTGCGGTGGAATGTATGGATATTGTGGTGGTTCGAAATTCGGGCGCCACCAATTGCCAATGGTGTCCTCGACAATCCAATCCTGTTTAACGCCATCCTGACGGCCCAGCGTCTACAAACCAAACACATTGCATTACACTGAGATCTTAATGTCGTATGCGTCACTTGGACTCACCTCAGAGAGTAGACGCTTGAGACCTTCTACTTCATCCTCGCCCGCGTTCAGCTCCCCGCCTGGCAGCTTAAAAAATGTGGTGCCAAGTTGAAGCAGCAGCACATGCGGTAATCCATGCTCATGCACAAGCAGTACGCCCTCCACAGAGCGACGCATGCCAATCCGATCGAACTCCTCGCGCATACGCTGAAAGCGTGACGGCACTGAAGGATCCTTCTCAAACAGCGGCTCCTTGGTGCCGAATGTGTAGTTGGTTAGTGGGTAGCTGACGTAGCAGAGGTAAATAAATGTGTTTGAAGTTTCCCATTATATTGTACAGAAATTACTTACAGATTGATTGTGCGGTTTATGGTCAATGCTTGATTGGGCGCATATTTTTGTGTGCCATTATTACTGATGCTGGCGTCAGCCTGGCCTTGGCTGCCGCGCCGCGGCCAGCCGGAGCCCGATTTGTTTGAGACTTGCGAGGACGCCATCTTGTTATACACACAACGCCGCAATGGCAATGAAAAATCTACAATTTCGGCGCCAAATTCCAATTGGATACGCTAAAATTGATTTTCACACTCACGCACTTTGAATACTTTTTCAATCAGTTCGTTTCTTTATTAATAATATGCAGTGTATGTAGATTATTTCTTACTTTTAAACTCTGCTTTTCGATTGCAAAAAATTCACGCCGGCGGAGAATGCAGAATACACAAAACACGTGTACACACTGTAATGTGGGCCGGCGATGTGTGCACATTGGCGGATAGCGAATGGCCTATTTTTCAACCATCTGGCAGCACCGAACATCACATTTCGGCCGACTGGTCACTCTGAACACATTTACATTAGTTTTTTGTTTATGTTGGGAAGTCGTCGGAAAATTCGGCTGTTTTCTGTGTGCCGCAATGAAAAGCTGCTAAAAAGCTAAATATAAAAATCAGCGCAGTGCGCGGCCGTCTATCGGTGCATTGTTTTGTAAGTGCAGTCAGTAGGCAGCAGCAGCAGCAGCAGTCGTTGAAAAAAAATTATGTGAAGCAGAAACGCAGTTTTAGTTTGTGTATGTGTATGTACATTGTGTTTTGTATGTGTATTGTGCAATGAAACTGGAAAACCATTATTATAAATGAAAACGCGTGAAATGTGTAAGTGCAACATTGAAAACGCAACACACAGATGCGCTCGCTTTGAACTTTTTCATTTTCATGTTTTCTTTTTATTACATGCTGCCCCTACTCTTTCGCAGACAACGACCAACTCCTCCCACTTGTACGTGTGCTAGTGCGGGGTGCGCACTGAAGGGTGTTTGAGTGTCTGTGCCAGTGCTGCCTGTGCCTGTCGTGTGTGTGTGTGTGTTAGTGCGTGCACGATAGGACTTGTATTTGTAGACAATATATAAATGTATATTTATATATATGCATGTTAAATGTCAAAGAAGGCGACGCGTAATATGCACACACATTAATAACGGCAAAAGGTCAAAAGTTAAGCTGTAAACAGGACTCCAGGCATCGTAATGCTTTAAGACAGCAGCGGCAGAGAGCGAGAATGGGCGAATGTTAGTGTGAGTGCACACAATATAGGAACAAAGAGAAGAGAAGAGCAAGAAAAACGTCACCGAAGCGGGGCAATAGGCGACCGCAGCGAACAGCAGCAAGGGGAGGACGAAACAAAAGACTGCTAAAAGCTAACAAACAGCAAATAACGACAACAATAAATAACAACAACACCAATAACAAGCAAAAATGTCGGCAGCGGAGCTGGAGGCTGAAAGCTCCGCACAGGAGCAGCACCCGCAACAACAACAAACCCAACAACAACAACAACAACAAAACGAACACACGAGCAACAACATCAGCACTGCCAACGATGCTGAAGCCAATCCGTATGGCGCGGAGCTAGACGAAACCATTGAGACTATGACATCAAGCAACAGCTACAACATTAATGTGGAGCAACATCTGCAGCTTAATAATATGCAGCAGCATGCACAAATGCACCAGCAACAACATCAGCAACAACATCAGCAACATCAACAACAACAGCAACAACAGCAACAACAGCAACAACAGCAACAACAACAACAACAACTAGATCAACAGGGCGACTTGGGCCTTGGACTGACCATGATGCAATCCTCTCCACCACCCCACAGCTATCGACACTCGCGCGCCTACCGCCACTTTAAGAACCCGCCACAACCACACATGTGCATACGCACTACAACAGAAACCGGCGAGGAGTTATTCATAAATGTGCTCAGCTGGACACGTATTGTCATACCACAAGAGCCCAGTGATCCCATACCTTTGTATGGAGGCATGCGCGTAAGTAACCATTATTCATTATTATGCGGTCAACCTATTTTAATGGGTTTTTCACAGGTGCCGCCTGGCAGTCCGCGCAGTCCACCCATTGTCTTCGCTGTTATGGCCAATCCAGAGGTGCTCAAAGATTCTGGTCGCCATAGCAAGGATCCGGAAGAACGGCGCGCTATGGTGGAGCTAATGTGCGACTTTGTGGAGGCTATGAATCCCGGCGTGAAACTAGTCAGGTGCGTAGCGCCTCTGCGGCTTTCCATTTCAATATTCAAACAATCTGCTTCTTTTACAGAAACGCCGTCATACTCAAGGATCGTGACATTTCGGGCGAGCTTAAAGACGTCTGGAATGCTGTGCAGGCGCAGCGAGATCGTGAGCGCGAGGAGCAAATGCTGCAGCAGCGCCAACAGCAGCACTATCAGAATATCACCACACAGCAAATGTTTCCCAAGTCGCCGGATGCCGCGCGTGCCGGCAGCTCAGCACAGTCGAATGCTGCTGAGATCGGCTTGCCGCCAGCATACAATGCCGATCTCATGGCGGCGGATCATGGCAATGGCATAACCTTAGCCGTATTTGCTCAGCAGCTGGATAACAAGGTGGCCAGTGAGCAGCTGGAGGAGCAGCATCAGCCAGAACAACTGAGTGGCAATGAGACAGCGCCCGGCGAAGCCTGCACCGATCAAACGGATGCGGGTGGCGTTATTAATGGCATCAGCGGCTCGCCGCCTGCTGTGGAGAATCTATCAACGCCAGAGCAACCCACACAAGAGTCAGAGAACAAATCAGCTGCTTCCACTGCCAGCAACGGCACAAGTACGCCCACAAATACAGGTGCAGCGCCAACGCCAGTCGCTTCTGCTCAGCCCACACCCACACCCCCTGCAGCCGCAGCAACGCCCGCCCCACCAGCGCCGGTCAAGAAGGAGAAGCTAGGCGGCTTCTTGCCCAACGGTTGCATTTTCCCGCGTTTCAAGAACAACAAACACAAGGACAAGGACGGCAATCATAAGGAGAGCAAGAGCAAAGAGAAGACGCTGCTCAATGCGCTCAAGAAGAGCAAGGAAAAGAAAGTGGCGCCCAGCGAGCAAACGCCCAGTGACAAAACGGCCATCAGCTCTGATAATGGCACCTCACAGTACGAGAAGAATTGCATCAACAATCTCGAGTGCGAGGTGCAAAAGCTCGATCTGAATAGCAGCAACAACGACAACAACATGTTTATCAAGCTCAAAGTGGCGCCCAGTGCAACATCGGCAGCAGCCGCCGTCGCCAAGTAGTTGAGTATAAATGATAACAATGATAACAACAACAACAACTTTGGTAAGTAGGGAGAGTAGAGAATAACGGAAGAGTTAAGTATAACAGGCAAGAATGTAAGAGAGTAACGAGTAGGCAGAGAAAACTACCCAAAACTATCACTTCACTAGCACCTAGGCATATACATAGAGTCGTGGACGTTTAGCATATACAAGATTTACATATATATATATATGTATAAAAATCTAATATATATACAAGTACATATATATACAATATATACAGTTGTATCAGTCAATTTTTGAACGCAAATCGACAGACTCTCGAAAGTAATAATATCTGAAAGGACAAAAGAAAAAACCTTGTGCCATGTACCCATTCATACTTACATACATGCATACATATACAAGTACATATACATATACATATACAATACAGTGTATACTGCGTACAATGCCCAATTGTCTGGGTATTGTCGTCAATAGTTTTTCCAGAATTCTTCCCCGGCATACGTAAATTTAGAACAAAAAATAAAAAAAAATCAAGTATTTATATAGTTCAATATTTGTATGTTTCGCATACAGTTTGCCTTATATACAAATCCAAAAAAAGAGAGAGACAAAAAAAAATGAGAGAAAGTTGAAAACAAACAAATCTTAAAATAGGTCAATCGTCAAGAAACTCATGCGCCAAATTGTCATCAGACCACATTGAACTCTGCACTGAACACTGCACTCTAACCCCCTCCCCCCCCCTGCCCCCATCTGCTAACTAGACTAGCTCGTATACACTACACTTAGTCACATCAGCTAACGTATTGAATGTCAGACATATAACCCACATCGCTAAAGCAACAAAAAGAAAAGAAGAACAAGTATTACGAATTTTTCCTGTATCACGCTCAAAATGATCTCCACGTTTTTGAAGTTGAACTCGAGTGGACGACGCAGGCTCTAAAAAGTACCTTCTGTGCCAATGATAATTGGCATAACTATGAGACGCTATTTTTTGTTTATTTTTATTTTTATGCTCAATCTATATTTTATGCTTTCATTTCCCAACAACAATAACTTTAGTTATTAAAGAACAGTTCCAAATTACTTGAGTAATGCAAAAACAATGACCTGAACAAGTACTTAGCTTATCATAACATATGATAATAGAGCTCCTATGATATGCACTCGAATCGTATGCGTGCTAACTGGCTATATATTCTCAAAGAGCATAAATATTCTATTAGTTATTGTATTGTTTATTTACATTTATTTTGTTTTGTTTTATAACTTATTCACACGTCGTTCCCAGTAAACGAGTCAAAGATCAACTTCAAAACGCAACCATTTACGAATATGCCGACAATTTCGATAGAATCATTCACATTAACTGATTAGAAAGAACTTAACATAATATGCAACTGCAACAAGTGCAACAAAAAAACATAACTCAATATTGGACTGAACAAAGCTGCCATATATAGATCGCATACATATGTAACATATATATGCAAATACATATGTGTATGTGCATTTATGATGTTTGCTTTTCATTTAAACGAAATTCAATTGTGATTCATTTGAAAATCAAATTTTTGTTTTTAACATCGAAAACTATTTTCAACATTTTAAAGCATTTAGTATACACAATTTTTTTGTTTGTCTTTGTGCAAGTAATAAAAAGAAAACCCAAAATAAAAAAAACCTTAACTTTGGCATGCCGAAGATTGAATACCCTTCCAGAAACTTCTAGTAATCTCTTTAAATAACTTGAACCCTTTTACATGTGGCAGCTACAGGACTCAGTTCTGACTGATCCTGACTTCAAAACTGCCTGCATACATAAAGAGTAGCATCTGTATTAACTCCTAATTAGATATATATTTTTAAAAAATTGCATCTTTTCTGCAAGGGTATAATTTTTAAGTATTTTAGGCAGCACCCAAAAGCATGCAACAAAGTATTCTCAGACTCAATTTATGTTTTCCTTACGAGATATTCCTCGTCAGCCTCTCCAGTGCCATAAAAATATGGCATTTGAATAAAAGAAACGATTAAAAACGCAGGCTAAAGATAAATTTTAAAATCAAAAAATACATTTTAATTAATTGAATTACAAATATGTTTGTGAGTTGAAATGGAAATTAACACAAACCTAAAGCATTAATTGATTAATTATTTAATTAACGTAAATGTTAGTTTTAACTGGTTGTAAATGCAAAACAAACAAACAAAGTTGAAATAGGCGCACGACAGCAACAACAGCAAGAAAATACCTTGAATTAAGTAAAAAAAACTCCCAACACATTATGTTTAAAAAGTCGAATAATACTTAATTTAAGTTCAATTCGTGCAACTGAAGAGCAAAGCGAAAGCAATAATTTTACGCGAAAAAAAAACGGCAAAAAGAAAAAACAAAATAAAAACAAAAACAAAATGTAAATGTAATGCAACAAAAAACATATAACAACAAGAGAGAACAACAAACAACTAACGTGTTAAGATTAACAACAAATACAATTATACAAGTGGACGGGTTAAACAACAACAAAAACAAAATCAGAAAGAAAACAAAACAAAAAAAAAAAAACAAGAAGGAAACCAAACCACATTTTATATATATATGTAACAATAAAAAGATCGTATTTGAGAAATGTAATAGCTGCTGATTCATTTATTTAATATCATCGAATAAATATTTAGAGTTAAGATATTTCTATGTACGTAGGCTAATATCGAGCACAGCAAGGACTCTATTCGTCCTTGTTGTTGACGGCGCGCAGGCGTTCCAGCTCCTCGCGTTCCGCCTTGTTGCGCAGCAGCGGCACGTTATAGTCGAAGGCATAGAAGAAGCCCTTCGGCTCACCCGTCTCTTCGGGTCCGGGCACATATGGCTTCTCCTCGTGCACATACTCCCTGGTCTCGGCCTCGCTGGGCTGATAGGCGCCCTCGCCCTGCTGGTACTCGGCTGCATAGGGATCGGGATTGTGTCCGGCGGCGGCGGCCAGCTCACCCCACAGCTTGAAGTGTTCCTCCTCGGCCTTCAGCACCGCGGGCGTCTTAGTGGCTGGCTGTTTCAGATGCGCGGGACGATTGTCCTCCACATGGAAGCCACTTCTGTCCGCATAGTAGGTGGCGACGAAGTCGCGACCATGTGGCTGCACATACTTGTAGGAGCCGGTGACAGTGCCGGCATCGTCGCGCTTCTCGTTCTTGCCCTGATTCCAGTCCTTGTAGCCGTACACGTACTGGCCCAGACCGTCCTGGCCATGATACTGATGCGCATCATAGTGCTCCTCCACAAAGTCCTCGGGATGATCTATCACACGTCCCATGTACACAAACTCGCCACGTTCATTGCGCGCCTCCGGCAGTGGATTCTCGCCCGTCTTGGGCGCATACTCGATCTCATTGACGCCGCGCAGCTGCGCACTGTTCAAATACTGTTGTGCCTCCTCTGGCGTGATGTTGATCTTAAATATGTTCTCGGCGCTGGCGCAGCTGGCCTGTAAAAAGAGGAATATACATAAGAGCGCATGGATTAGTTATGGACAGGTTTTTTGGCTATCAATTGTGCCACGCTTCACAGCTTTGGCTGAACTTTAGTCTGGCTGCGAATGATGACGCTGATGAAGATGAGCATGGAGCTGATTGGTGATGATGTCATTGGGGCGACTTCCTCGATTCGTGTAACAAATTTGCAAATCTATAAGGCAAATAGTCGGCAGTATTCATATTTGCACTTGCCCGTCACACTTGACATTTTTACAACCCGGATTTCTAACTGTATAGATCTATAGATGTCCAATCATTATTCTAATGACATAAATTGTTGCCAATTAATATGCATAAAAAACAAGAACAACAACAACACGAACAACGGACACAATATTTTTTGGCTACTAACCAGCAAAAAGGCGGCTAAAATGAAGCACTTCATTACGAAACTTGATTATCACTCGGTGTCTATATAGTATATAGCTTTATCGTATAATGAACACTGTTCTGCTGCTGCTGATGCTGATGTTGGCGATCTACTAATAACTAAATAACTTAGGGCAACGCTTTTATACTAACTTTGCTTCGCAGTTTGTTTTTCAGTTGTGTGTGTTTTTTTTTTGCATAAAATTAGCAGCTGAGCTTTGAATGAAGATGTGCGGTGTTGCTGTCCGGTTTTTTACTCAGCAGCATCCCAACAACAACAACAGCAACAACAATAACAGCAACAATATCATGAGCTAAACAACAATTTGAACGCCGCTCAAATTCACACTTCTCACGCGTAGCTGCTGGCCGCATCATTAATTCTATGTATGTGAGCACTCCTATGCTCAATTAGTTATTTAATAATAATATTTATTTTACCTTTTTATTTTTTGTAGAATAATTCGCTGGCTGTAAGCGCACCCGCAAGTGTCTGTCGCAGTTTAAGTGGCATTTTGGTGAGCTCGTCCGCTGTCAAGTTATATCATAGATCTTTGTAATACCCTGTAAAAAATTGTGCAAAAGGGTAGCAGGAACTGTTTTTACTGTCAGTGCGTGCTGTGACTAAACTCTGGTAAGTCGCTTCCTGATGTCCGTTTCAATTTTTGCAATTCTTCTTTCTGTCGCATACGTAAACGTTTTACTGACCGCAAAAATGTCCTCGGTCGATGGGTTGACTAAGAAACTTAAGCATGTAGAGAACAGAAGAACTTAGACTCGAATACCAGGCTGAAAGAAGCCTATATAAAAATCTAGATGGATAGCTTGTAACTTTATCCTACACCTATAAAAATAATGAATACAAGATTTAGGAAGAGTTCCATTGGGTCCGCAAGTTCTTTAGACAAGCGACCCCCATAAGATATAGAGAATTTTATAGGTATCTGATATTAAAGCTTTTATCAAGATAAAGTAAGGCACGCATAAATAAAGTACTTTTAGGGTTAATAACTTTATGGGCTTAGGCAAAAAACTTTCCAGCGCAGCGAAGGTTGAGATTCGAACTTTAATGTAAACGTTTAATAACTTTTTAAATCGCATGAATATTATTATATATATTTAAGATTTAATCTAAGCAACTGGTTGAGTTTTTGACAACCGTCGAAACCTGTTCAGTTCTCTATGAAATATGTAAGATATGCCATATATTTATTATGATCCAGCTTTAAGCAGCTCTCATGGGAATTGGGTAGCACGTGGTCGAGCATTTTAGAGATTTTGTTTTTTTGCTGCCGTCGAGCAATGATTTATTTAGTATTAAACATTTTTTGAGCACTTCCATCAATTTTTACTTCTAATTAATGCAAAATGTACCGCTTCAGCGTTGGGTTCGGGTTTCCTGTAGAGAAGCCGCTCAGCGGAAGCTTTCTGTTCAGGCACTTGACTTGTCTGCTGATATATGCATAATTAGATGGATGGGTAATCATATCTCCATGTGCGCTATCAAGTGTCAGTTCGAGTGGGTACTTCGAGCAATGAGAACTAGTTGGCTACAATTCCGCAAGTTTGTTGCCTAAGTCTTTTGTATAGATTGAATTTTTACTTTTTGTATTTGTTTTGTGTGTGTGTGTTTTTTTTTTGGGATTTGTAGATCGTGTAAGGGCTCAGCATTTAACTGCGCAGTTTCTCAATTACAAAAATTACAAAATGATATTGCTATTTAAGTAATAGGTAAGCTGCACGCCTTGATCGGCGCATCGAGACCTTGCGACTGTTACAAGCATTTCAAGTTGACCGTTAAAACAAATTTGAATTGCCAACTCATCAAGAGGCCCAGTCGCAGTTTAGCCCAAACAAATAGTCGTTTTTCTATGCACACACTATTGACCATTAATAATAATATTAAATTCGTATTTTTAGCCACAACTTGGTTTTTTCACAGACGCAAATGGCGTCTTTCTGGCTTAGGCGTTCGCCGAATTGAAAAGAATAGCAAAAATAAATGGGTTCTAAATATTTTATGATTCACCAACAGGTTAACACACTTTTTTTTTTGCTTGTTCTTAGCAACAACATAACAAGTAGGGCTTTCCGACGCTTAAAATTTATTTATGTTATTTAGTTATTCAATCTTCGAGATTCTTGCAGTGTCTGGAATTGACGTTGAGTATAAACAAATAAATATATGCATATATATATAAGCACGCATAAAGAATAATGGGACTAGAGTCGCAATTGTTTGAATCATTTCTTATACGATATATTCTTGAAAAATGCTGTAAATATGTTTGTTTGTTTTGTTGTTGCCGATGATGCAAAAGTCTAAATAAAAACGCAGACCTAATTTTCAAAAGCCGGTTTTTGCAACTGTCGCTGTTATTTAAATATTTTGTTATTATTTCGAATTGCTTGTGACAAATGACGAGCTGCGTTGCCTGACTAAACTTAAATACAACTAAATATTTAGAACCAATCGAACAACTTGAACTCTGCCACTTTCACTGCTCGAACACAAGTTGGGCCCGAGTTATATTTGAATTTCTTTTGGCAGCTGCCAAATGTATAACATAGGAAATTAACAAATTGCTCAAAACTTAAATGCAAACAACTAACTCAAACACTAAGCCAATTGCCAAGCGCACTGAGAGCGCCGAGAGCTGGGCGAGCACCGTGAGCCAAGTTGGCCAGGTGCCCGCCAGGTAAACACACGCACACCACAAATGGCTCCAAAGCAAACAACACTCAATTACACACAGGGCTCGAAGAAAGAAAAAAAAAACAAGCAAACGCAGCAGTTGAAATAAGTGCGAGAGACAAAGCGCGGCCAAAACCAGTGCAATACCAAGCGACTGCCCGTTCGGAGCTGTCCCCAGTTAAGTTTCCCAAAAGAAAATCAACCAAAAAAAAAAAAAAAACAAAATAACAAACAACAAATATGCGCTTGGAGCTGCAGCTGAAGCTGCTGCTGCTGCTTTCGCCGGCGCTGCAGGCCGCAGTTGTGCCGCAGCTGGAGCAGCCCGTGGACGCAGTGCAGGAGATTGGCTATCTGGAGCTGAAGCCGAATGGCACGTTGATCTTGCGACATGCCGCCAATCAGAGTGGCGGCAATCTGCAGAATTTGCTGCTACTACGCAGCGTGTTGCAAGCACTCAAGCTGCAACCCGGCGAGGAGCAGTCCAAGCTCAACTTCAGGATCTATGGCGACGGTGTGGAGCAGAAGTTTCCGCCCCTGCTGGAGAACATAATACAGCGCATACAAACATTCTTCTCCATCTACCGCTACACGGACACCAGTCGACCCGTGCGCAAAGAAGAGCCCACCACGGAGCAGATCGTAAGCACGCGAAGGGCTGAAGATCCGAAGGCAACTCAAGTGCCCCCACAACAGCAGGAGGCCTGATTAGTTGTGGGCGAGGATTGGACTGCGGATCGACTGAAATATGAGAGATATTATATTTATTTATTTGGTATTTACTTTGGTGTTTAGCTTAGCGATTGACCAGCAATAAAGGCCACGCTCCACGGACATTGTAACTGTAACGTGGTGAGGCGCCCGCATTTTGGCCAGCTTATGGCTGGGCACGTATCCACGGGTACTTAGTATGCGTCGCCGTGCGTGGAGCGCGATTTATGTTTAACTCTGTGTAATATGCGCAATATTTTTATGCTGCGGCGAATTACTGGGACGCGTTTACGGGTTCGGCAAATTGCATAAGTGGTATATATATTGTAGATGTACATATATTCGATTTGGGGTCAGGCTAATCCCAAGTAGTTGTGGGGCAACAGCTTTAACAAGTTCTTATTAGTTACATATTATTCAAAATATTGATTAATATATAATACTAAACAGGTCACCAAAAACGTTTCGTCATATTTTTCAAAATAAATACTTACTTATTAGATCAATGCTCAATGAATCGAACTCGAAGACATTCACTGCGTATATAGATACACGACAAATACATTCTATATATGCATGTGTACGCATGTATGCATGTATGTATGCATGTATGTATGCATGTATGCATGTATGTATGCAGGTATGCATGTATGCATGTATGTTTGCATGTATGTATGTATATATGCATGTGTATGTATGTATACATGCAGGCTTGCATGTAAGCATGTATGTAAGCATGTATGTATGTATGCAGGCTTGCATGTATGTATGTATGCAGGCTTGCATGTATGTATGTATGTATGTATGCATGTGAAAAAGACACCCTAAAATATCGCATGTCAAATTCAAAATTTCCCACTCCCATAACTCGGTCAAATCTCATCCGATTTTCATAAAGTTTGGCGTTTTGTTCATGAATTGACCTGCAGTTCAATTTGGCATCCAAATCCGGCAACATTATTTTTGGTCGAAATTCATGTGGAAATGGTACCGTCAAATATCCTTTTTAGACATAGGTCGAAATTTCCCACTCCCATAACTCGGTCAAATCTCATCCGATTTTCATAAAGTTTGTCGTTTTGTTCATGAATTGACCTGCAGTTCAATTTGGCATCCAAATCCGGCAACATTATTTTTGGTCGAAATTCATGTGGAAATGGTACCGTCAAATATCCTTTTTAGACATAGGTCGAAATTTCCCACTCCCATAACTCGGTCAAATCTCATCCGATTTTCATAAAGCTTGTCGTTTTGTTCATGAATTGACCTGCAGTTCAATTTGGCATCCAAATCCGGCAACATTATTTTTGGTCGAAATTCATGTGGAAATGGTACCGTCAAATATCCTTTTTAGACATAGGTCGAAATTTCCCACTCCCATAACTCGGTCAAATCTCATCCGATTTTCATAAAGTTTGGCGTTTTGTTCATGAATTGACCTGCAGTTCAATTTGGCATCCAAATCCGGCAACATTATTTTTGGTCGAAATTCATGTGGAAATGGTACCGTCAAATATCCTTTTTAGACATAGGTCGAAATTTTCCACTCCCATAACTCGGTCAAAACTTAACCGATTTTCATAAAGTTTGGCGTTTTGTTCATGAATTGACCTGCAGTTCAATTTGGCATCCAAATCCGGCAACATTATTTTTGGTCGAAATTCATGTGGAAATGGTACCGTCAAATATCCTTTTTAGACATAGGTCGAAATTTCCCACTCCCATAACTCGGTCAAATCTCATCCGATTTTCATAAAGTCTGTCGTTTTGTTCATGAATTGACCTGCAGTTCAATTTGGCATCCAAATCCGGCAACATTATTTTTGGTCGAAATTCATGTGGAAATGGTACCGTCAAATATCCTTTTTAGACATAGGTCGAAATTTCCCACTCCCATAACTCGGTCAAATCTCATCCGATTTTCATAAAGTTTGGCGTTTTGTTCATGAATTGACCTGCAGTTCAATTTGGCATCCAAATCCGGCAACATTATTTTTGGTCGAAATTCATGTGGAAATGGTACCGTCAAATATCCTTTTTAGACATAGGTCGAAATTTTCCACTCCCATAACACGGTCAAAACTCAACCGATTTTCATAAAGTTTGGCGTTTTGTTCATGAATTGACCTGCAGTTCAATTTGGCATCCAAATCCGGCAACATTATTTTTGGTCGAAATTCATGTGGAAATGGTACCGTCAAATATCCTTTTTAGACATAGGTCGAAATTTCCCACTCCCATAACTCGGTCAAATCTCATCCGATTTTCATAAAGTTTGGCGTTTTGTTCATGAATTGACCTGCAGTTCAATTTGGCATCCAAATCCGGCAACATTATTTTTGGTCGAAATTCATGTGGAAATGGTACCGTCAAATATCCTTTTTAGACATAGGTCGAAATTTCCCACTCCCATAACTCGGTCAAATCTCATCCGATTTTCATAAAGTTTGGCGTTTTGTTCATGAATTGACCTGCAGTTCAATTTGGCATCCAAATCCGGCAACATTATTTTTGGTCGAAATTCATGTGGAAATGGTACCGTCAATTATCCTTTTTAGACATAGGTCGAAATTTCCCACTCCCATAACTCGGTCAAATCTCATCTGATTTTCATAAAGTTTGGCGTTTTGTTCATGAATTGACCTGCAGTTCAATTTGGCATCCAAATCCGGCAACATTATTTTTGGTCGAAATTCATGTGGAAATGGTACCGTCAAATATCCTTTTTAGACATAGGTCGAAATTTTCCACTCCCATAACTCGGTCAAAACTCAACCGATTTTCATAAAGTTTGGCGTTTTGTTCATGAATTGACCTGCAGTTCAATTTGGCATCCAAACCCGGCAACATTATTTTTGGTCGAAATTCATGTGGAAATGGTACTGTCAAATATCCTTTTTAGACATAGGTCGAAATTTCCCACTCCCATAACTCGGTCAAATCTCATCCGATTTTCATAAAGTTTGGCGTTTTGTTCATGAATTGACCTGCAGTTCAATTTGGCATCCAAATCCGGCAACATTATTTTTGGTCGAAATTCATGTGGAAATGGTACCGTCAAATATCCTTTTTAGACATAGGTCGAAATTTCCCACTCCCATAACTCGGTCAAATCTCATCCGATTTTCATAAAGTTTGTCGTTTTGTTCATGAATTGACCTGCAGTTCAATTTGGCATCCAAATCCGGCAACATTATTTTTGGTCGAAATTCATGTGGAAATGGTACCGTCAAATATCCTTTTTAGACATAGGTCGAAATTTCCCACTCCCATAACTCGGTCAAATCTCATCCGATTTTCATAAAGTTTGGCGTTTTGTTCATGAATTGACCTGCAGTTCAATTTGGCATCCAAATCCGGCAACATTATTTTTGGTCGAAATTCATGTGGAAATGGTACCGTCAAATATCCTTTTTAGACATAGGTCGAAATTTCCCACTCCCATAACTCGGTCAAATCTCATCCGATTTTCATAAAGTTTGGCGTTTTGTTCATGAATTGACCTGCAGTTCAATTTGGCATCCAAATCCGGCAACATTATTTTTGGTCGAAATTCATGTGGAAATGGTACCGTCAAATATCCTTTTTAGACATAGGTCGAAATTTTCCACTCCCATAACACGGTCAAAACTCAACCGATTTTCATAAAGTTTGGCGTTTTGTTCATGAATTGACCTGCAGTTCAATTTGGCATCCAAATCCGGCAACATTATTTTTGGTCGAAATTCATGTTGAAATGGTACCGTCAAATATCCTTTTTAGACATAGGTCGAAATTTCCCACTCCCATAACTCGGTCAAATCTCATCCGATTTTCATAAAGTTTGGCGTTTTGTTCATGAATTGACCTGCAGTTCAATTTGGCATCCAAATCCGGCAACATTATTTTTGGTCGAAATTCATGTGGAAATGGTACCGTCAAATATCCTTTTTAGACATAGGTCGAAATTTCCCACTCCCATAACTCGGTCAAATCTCATCCGATTTTCATAAAGTTTGGCGTTTTGTTCATGAATTGACCTGCAGTTCAATTTGGCATCCAAATCCGGCAACATTATTTTTGGTCGAAATTCATGTGGAAATGGTACCGTCAATTATCCTTTTTAGACATAGGTCGAAATTTCCCACTCCCATAACTCGGTCAAATCTCATCTGATTTTCATAAAGTTTGGCGTTTTGTTCATGAATTGACCTGCAGTTCAATTTGGCATCCAAATCCGGCAACATTATTTTTGGTCGAAATTCATGTGGAAATGGTACCGTCAAATATCCTTTTTAGACATAGGTCGAAATTTTCCACTCCCATAACTCGGTCAAAACTCAACCGATTTTCATAAAGTTTGGCGTTTTGTTCATGAATTGACCTGCAGTTCAATTTGGCATCCAAATCCGGCAACATTATTTTTGGTCGAAATTCATGTGGAAATGGTACCGCCAAATATCCTTTTTAGACATAGGTCGAAATTTCCCACTCCCATAACTCGGTCAAATCTCATCCGATTTTCATAAAGTTTGTCGTTTTGTTCATGAATTGACCTGCAGTTCAATTTGGCATCCAAACCCGGCAACATTATTTTTGGTCGAAATTCATGTGGAAATGGTACTGTCAAATATCCTTTTTAGACATAGGTCAAAATTTCCCACTCCCATAACTCGGTCAAATCTCATCCGATTTTCATAAAGTTTGGCGTTTTGTTCATGAATTGACCTGCAGTTCAATTTGGCATCCAAATCCGGCAACATTATTTTTGGTCGAAATTCATGTGGAAATGGTACCGTCAAATATCCTTTTTAGACATAGGTCGAAATTTCCCACTCCCATAACTCGGTCAAATCTCATCTGATTTTTATAAAGTTTGGCGTTTTGTTCATGAATTGACCTGCAGTTCAATTTGGCATCCAAATCCGGCAACATTATTTTTGGTCGAAATTCATGTGGAAATGGTACCGTCAAATATCCTTTTTAGACATAGGTCGAAATTTTCCACTCCCATAACTCGGTCAAAACTCAACCGATTTTCATAAAGTTTGGCGTTTTGTTCATGAATTGACCTGCAGTTCAATTTGGCATCAAAATCCGGCAACATTATTTTTGGTCGAAATTCATGTGGAAATGGTACCGTCAAATATCCTTTTTAGACATAGGTCGAAATTTCCCACTCCCATAACTCGGTCAAAACTCAACCTATTTTCAAGAGACTTAGCTCTTTGTACTGGGTTTGGCCTCTAGATTAATTTCTCTTTTTATATATAAATATATACTTACTTTACTTAAAGTCAATATAGATCTAGAATAGTGTTAGCTGCTGGTATACTAAAGTATTTTTCAACAAGGTTTCGATTGAAAGATCGGCATACTTATATATTTGGAGGCGTTCGCCATTAATATGGAATGGCACGTTAAAGTTCGTTGCTGAAGTCTTTTGTTTTCATCTTGCGAGTACAGCAGAAAGTTGCACGCAGCTCATATGCAAGTTCGTCGTCGAAGTCTTTTGTTTAATATCTACCACCCATCCCCACAAACAACTTGTGAAATGAAGTTAGCAGCATTTTACATTTTACATTCACTTTTTTTATTGTTCTGTTTTACATTTTCAATTGTTATGGTTATGAATATAATGAATGATGATGATGATTATGAACGTGTTCTCGATGATGTTTGCTATGAATGAACGTATATGCATGTAGATGTTTGTTTTGTTTTATTTTTATTTGATTTTTTTTTTTAATATTTTCTTGACGCCTTTTATGCTGTTAATTAATGTCGGAAGTCGGAAATCGTTTCTCTGTGACTGTGTTAGTAACTAAATGTATTAACCCACGGCCTGGCCAGAGCCTAGGCACGGAACAGATCGAGTTGTAGAATACCAAAGTTGCCCATAGAATATGTGTATGAGTGTGCGTGTATGTGTGTGTCTGATGTGATCTGGTATGGTGTGTATGAATTGCGTTTGTGGTCGTGCCTACTTAGGCCTCTGGCGCCTGTGCAATGGCTGGCTGAGCCTCGGGCTGTGCCTGTAACTGCAACTGCGGCTGCGGCTCAGGCAAGGCCGCGGCATCGGCAGCGGGAATGGCCTTGATGAGTGGCTGCTCCTCCTGCAGTTTGGCTAGTACAAAGACAACAAAATCAAATACTAGTTCAAGTTATATTCAGGGAGTACTCACGTTCTGGCTGGGTGGCCTCATTGCTGGCCTCCTTGAGAGGCTGTTTGATGCCATCTAGGCTGGCACTCTTAAGGGTCTCCTTGAAGGGCTCCTTGATGAGCTCCTGAATGGGCTCGCTGCTGGCCTCCTTGCGGGCCTCTAGGTAGGGCTCCTGACTGTCCTCCTTTCTGGCCTCCTGAGTGGCTTCCTTTCTGGCCTCCTGGGCAGCTTCCTTTCTGACCTCTTGGACGGCTTCCTGGATGGCTTCCTTTTTGGCCTCCAGAATGATTTCCTTCTTGGCCTCCTGAGCGGCTTCCTTTATTGCCTCCTTGGTGGTTTCCTGGATGGCCTCCTTTCTGGATTCCTGAATGGCCTCCTTGATGGCCTCCTTAAGGGTCTCCTTGGCAATCTCAGCGCTTGGCTGCTCCGGTTTGATGGCATTGCTCTCCTCCAGCTGACGTGCTGCACTTTCAGCCTTCAATTCACTGGCCTCGACGGCTGCAGGAATGATGGTCTGTGCCAGCTGCTCCAATGGCTGTTCCGACTGCTCCGGCTGCTTCTGCTCCTTAAGCAATGGCTGAGCCTCTGGCAGCTCTGCCGCTGGCTTCTCCTCGGGCAGCTGTTGCAGGGCTTGGATGGGGGCCTCCTCGGTTTGAATGCTGCGTGCGCGTATGGCTGAAATCGGCCACGAATAGACAGGGGCATGCACCACATCGACAACGGGAGTGTGATACACCTGGGGCAGACTGTAGAAATGACGCGCCTCGGTGGCAGCCAGCAGTGGTTGGGTATTGGCAGGAGTTTCAATCAGTTCCATCTTCTCGTTCTTCAGCTTCTCCTCGTTCTTGTTGCTCGCATCTGAGGATGGGAAGAATCCGGGAAAGAAGCCAGCGCCGGCAGCAGCAGCTGCTGAGGCAGCCTCACCGAATTGACCGCTTGCTATCTCGACGACCTGTTGTGCCTGTTGCTGGATTTGGTTAATGTTCTGGGGAAAACCCTCGGATTGCTTGGCTGGACTGCTGGCACGGCCGGTGGACACGGCATCGCTGACGGTGGGCACCACAGAGGCCGTTGCTCCAGCTGGCACATAGACAATGGTCTCCTCATGATGCGGACCGGAGACGCGCGCCAGCGGCGACAGGCCATGCACGTAGCGCAACGCTGGCTCCAGATGCACCTGCGCCTGTGGCGTCACAATGACAATATGCTGGGCTGGCTCCACGACCGGCTGCAGCGGCTTCGCCTGGCTACCCACTGCCAGCAGGCAGAACAGCGCTAAGATGAACATGTTGCTAAGTAGAGGGGGAGGGGCGATAAAACAAAGCCTTTTTAGCTGCAGTTGTCTATGCTCCTGGCCCGCGTCGGGCTGCAAACTGGTATGGCCAACGATGGCCTATGCTATTTATAGTTGGCCAACCAAAGTCCATTCTAAATTTAAACTTTATAATTGCGATTGTCTGCGTGTGTGTGTGTGTGTGTGTTTGTGTGTCTGCCACAGGATGCGAACTATTAACCGGTTTGCTGTTTGATTGGCTCTTGGAAAAGCTCCGAAGCAGCCACTTCTGGTGTACACATAAAGTACCACCGAGACTGGCTGCAATCCGGCTACAATTGCCAGGGGCCAAGTTCTTGGCCAACTCTTTTGATTGTGCGCGCGGCTAATAACTGGTTTTCCGATCATATCTGAGGGCATCAAATTCCCCCCAGGTCTTATTACTCGCGCATATTCTATTTAAAGTTACCCCCTCCCGCCCCTTTCTACCCGTTCTCCTGCCATTTACAAGCAATTTAGAAACTGCAGCGTTGAAGAAGTTGCGCATAGTTCAGAGGTTTGTGGAATGCTTTGGGCGTGTTTTCTGGAAACTCAGCTTACCATAACATAATTGCGAAATGAAAAGATTGCAACCACTAATTGTAATGGAAACCAATTTCGTGCTCAAGTCGAGCTAAGTTTAAAAAAAAAACTATCCTAGTAGACATATGTCTTATCGGGGAGAATTGTGAAGCTCAAAATTGCTGTGCGTGTTCATTATATCTTAAAATAGAATAACTTTCCGTCACAAAAACCCTTTTTCCCCCTTTTAGACCGATTCTTTCTATAGAGATTTTATAGATAATAGAAGCTTATATGCATGGAGCATAGGTAAACTAATAAGTGTCAAGCTTGGTCAAGAAATCTTAATAAGAGCTTCATATCAGATCATTTATATGACAGCTATATGATATAGTGGTACGATTAATATGTTCTTCAATACAAGGACGGACATATGTCAAGAAACAGGCAGACGGACAGACGGATATGGCTAGACCAACTCGGCTGTTGATATTGAACAAGAATATATATGCTGCATAAGAAGAATAAATATATATATGAAAGATATTTCCTTCAATGCATTACAATTATCATGACATATGTAATAATAATAGAGTAGACTCCTGTTAAATGTTGAGTTACGATAATTTATTGAAGACTTCATATTAGACTAAATTGCAAACAGGAAGGGGCAATGCTCTGAGCCGGAAAAAAGCAACAGACCTAAAGGAAGAATTGCTTTAAACTAGGAAACATTTTTGAGTTAATGTTGTAGGTTAGCTAAAATGAATGCCTCCTAATGTACTCATAGATATATGCAAAGCATTTTTCGTATAATCAAATCTCTTGTAGCTAATGTTCCCATTAGAGGTAGAGTAGATAAGGCAACCCTAGCATCCCTGTCGTATGTTCTGCTTAATTTCATATTGAAAGGCGATAGAAGTGTTGATATTTTCTATCTAATAATCAGCGGATTATTTTCTGCAGCTTAATGAAGCCAATGATTTATGACAGCAAATATTTTGAATAGTCTTGCAAAAGACGGTTGTGGCGAATGAATTATAATAATTTTTACAGTAGGCAAATAAAGTCAAATGGTATTATTTATATCAGAAAATAACTATTAAAAAATATGCAGCAAGCTACATTTACCACATATTTTAAATGTCTGAGCGTAAAAATGATTAATACTAGCCAACTAGTCAGCGATTAAACTGCTTCCGGTCTCTATTAATCACACACGATCATTTAAATGGAATATGTTCTAGATAGACCGTTAAAAATATATAAATTATATAAAAGAAAGTAATATAAGTCTATATATTGATTTTTATGAATTTAATATCAAACTTATTAAAATACATAAAATTGACATATATTTTTAATTAGACTCTGGAAATCATTTCCATATTAATTATAATATAAAACCCTTGAGATACATTTTGCTTTACTTCAATTATCCTTAATTAACTTATAATTTCTGCCAATATAAGAGATCTCTAGTTATCTACACAGTTTTATCATCATCATCTTCCGCGACAGCTAATTTCTTTAATTTAACGACAATCGTAAAAAGAGTTTAACAACCAGCTCGGCTCTTATTTTCGCTTTCCTATGCCTGACCCACGCCCAGCGTGCCAAATTCATGGGCACAGATGACTTTCTAAACGCTCAGCGTAATGTTGGCTTAGGGCACGAACTCTTGACATAAAAGCACATTAAGATTTGTGAACTTACCTGATGGCAGCTGCGTCTAGCTCAGTTCTATGTGTGGTGGGACTTTCGAAAAACCTGAGCGCACTTTAATCCGGATCACAAAACAAAGCTAACTTATATGAAATGGAGCACAAGAGCTGCTTGAACTTGGCACAAATTTTGGCTAGAACTGTGGTGGCTGAGTGTGGTTTGGTTGGCGGTGGTCTACGTCTTCAGTCTTGACACGGCGACCACTTCAAGGAAACTGGTGGCCAATGCTGGCTGCGATGGGCCTTTTATAATGTGCCGGTGCCTAACTGACCTAGCGCAAGAACAAAGAGATCACAGCCCGTTGACGAAGAAGAAGACAACGACGTCGACGACGAAGCTGAAAAACAAGCTGAAAATGTTGCAGCTTCCCGCAGGAATAAAGGGGCGTGGGGGGTGGGTTGTAGAGGGGAGCTGTGCGCAGCCAGATAGCCAAAAGGAGCACACGCAAAGCAGGCGGCAAATGACCAAAGTTGGCTAAGCAAAAGCGACAACAACAACAATAACAAGCACTCATGCCACATACTCACACTCACACTCACATTCGCACTCACACTCACATTCACACTCACTATTCGTACTCGTTTTGCACTTGCAGGAGGGTTCTGGTTTCCAGGCAGCCAACAGCTACCAGCTACCAGGTTCTGGCTGCGGCAGATGGTCAACGTAGATGTTGTTGTACGTGCTGCATGCCTCTTGGTCTTCGGCTTGGACTTGCTCTTGGTTTTGGTTTTGGTCTTGGTCAAGCTGTGAGTTTGTTAAACCTGCATTGTAATAGAAGTCAAGCAGCAACCGCATTGACAGCCGCTCACACGACCATGATGGGAGCCCTGGCTTTGGCTCTGTCTCTGGCTTTGGCTCTGGCTTTGGCATCGGCGTCGTCTTCGTCTTTGGCCATGGCTAGAAACTGGGAAACTGGTTCAGGTGCAAATTGAATACATTGTGCATTGCATTTAACTGCGCCCCGCTTGCTCCCCCCGCCAACTGGCCAGCGCCTGGCCCATTGGCTAGATTTATTTTTATGCTGCCTGCACCGCCTGCTGGCGGAAAAGATTAATCAAGATATGCGCTTGCCTGCGTACTTATATCTTATATCTTGTAGCTCGGCTCCTCTCTCTGTCTTTTCTCCCTTATTTATTTTTATTTTTCTAAAAATTTATTTCGTTCTAAAATGTAATCACAGCCTGCTGCCTATTAGATATGCATCTCAACTGGCCTCCAGCTCCCCGCCTCCCTTGCTGCTGCGCCTGCCGGCAGGCTACACAAAATCGAAATCCAAGCGGTTCAATGGCCGCGAATTCAATTTGATACGCACATTTTTTTTATTGCCAATTTGATGTACACAGAAAATATCATGTTCTTAGTTCTGCAGCGGATGCAGCGGATGCAGCGCTCTCCACTTCCTCTCTACTCATGGTGCAGACGCCGCTTGGGCGCAGCTCGTATGATCAGCTTTGGCTGCGTCTGCGTCTGCGTCTGCCTGGATCTAGCGGCATACTCCTCGGCAATGGCTACACGCCATTTGTCCACCAGAGCGTCGGCACGTTGCGGCGTCTCGCGTACGCGCGGAAAACTGGACACAGCCAGCGGCACATCGCTGTAGTCGTAGTCGTCGCCAGCGGAATTGGGCGTCTTGATGACGAGCTGGTTGCGTGATGGCAGCGTTATGCTAAATGCCGCTGCCTCCTCGGGCGTTACGCCGGCAATGGCTGTTGCCTTGGGTGAGGCCACCGCCAGGCCGTTGCGTCCAGAGAGAGCGACCGCATTGGGCTTGGAAGAGGCGACGCCGCCCTCGCCGGCTATGGAGAGACCTAAGGCAGCAAATGGTATATAGAGATTACGTATGCATCCAAGTTAGCTACTGGCTGGGCACACTTACCCACGGGCTTGGCTTCGGCGACGGCTGCATCCTTTTTGGGCGTCAACACGGCCACGCTGTCGTTGACATCCTCGAAGTGATCATCGTTGGGAGGCAGTATGTCTTCGGGTGATAGCTGCTGCTCGGTCACCTCCTCGTGCTTGTGGTCATCGATCTTTTGCTCTGCCGGATTGTTGGCCTCCAGGCCCAGATTGGAGGGCTGTTTCTGTGGTGCACCGAACAGCTCCGGCTGCAGCAGCACGCTGAAGTCCTTGATCTGCCCGTTTTGCTGCAGCAGCGCCAATGCTGTGGCCGCCTGGCCCAGCTCCAGCAGACTGTTGGCATAGACCTTGTTATCCTCCTCGCTGAAGGCGCCCTTCCGCTTGGCCAGCTCCTGTATGGCAACCAGACGAGCGGCCGCCTCTTGAATGCGATTGAAATTGCTGCCGCTGGTCGAGATCGGGATGTCGTTGGCCACAGCTGACAAGCTGGCGGCCGATATGGAAATGGTGTCGTCCGCATCCCGTGGAATGCCGCGCAACTGCGGCTGCTGCTGGCGCTGCAAGACGCTGCTGCGAATGCTGCCGTCCTGCTGCGGTTGCAGCAGCAGCAGCTGGCCACTCAGGCCGCCATAGTAGGGCAGCTGGTCCTCGAAGATCAGCGGGCCTGCTCTCGCAGCCGATCTGTGTCTAGGGTTTATAGAGTTGGTTATAGTGCTATGATGAAATGGAGAGCGGCATTTGCCTGAGAGGTTGGGGGACTGTGCGTGGAGCGCGGTATGGACAAAGCGTGGGATAGCAAAAGGGCAACAATTTCTACGGGGGATTAGAAAGCAACTAGACGAAGTGAAGAAAGGCAGATAGTTTACTACAATTTTATTTACACCTAGAGCTGGGACAGAGAGACAGGCCCAACTGCTCTTAACATAGGAACACACTAAACTACTTAGCTGGAGGAGAGATGCCTCCAGTGGGCAGTCGCCACTTCAGTTGAACAAGTCGAGCTCCAGGTCGGCCGCTGCGTGCGCTTTGCCGCCCACTCCCGCTATGGCTACCGATTCCGGATTGAAGTACACATTCGTGGGCACACCCTTCTTGAGCAGCGCCTTGGAGATGGGCGTGGATATGGCTGTGCCGCCATTGCCAACCACTGCCTTGGAGTGCGGCTCTAGTATAAGCGCCGCCTGCTTGCGTCCCTGTATGGCATGCGCCCGTATGGGACTGTAGGGCAGAAAATAGCTGCCGAAGGGTATCTGTGGAAAATTGCTTGAGCTGCTGCTGGTGCGTCCCGTGGCCTCCACTTTGACTGGTGGCGAACGCAGCTTGGCGCTGCCCTTGCGCAGCTTGACGGCTGTTGCCTTCTTTAACTGCTGCTTGGCGGAGCGAGCGCCAGCTGTGACCTGGCTGCTGGACGACAGCACATGCTTGCCCGGCACGGACACAATCTCTTCTATTACATAGTCCGAATTGATTCGGCTGACGGCTGCGCGAAGGCGGGCATCGCTTTTTAGATCGCCGTCGGTTTGTGTATTCGCTCTTAGCTTTTGCAATGTTTCAATGGTGTCGTCTTCTTCTTGTTCTTCTTCTTTGGCAACTTCAATATCATCTACGGTTGCGGGCTTCGCTGTGCTGGTGGTTGTTGTACGGGGCGTTGCAGTGGATGTGTCCACAGATGGCGCCACATAAGCGACTGGCAGACTGTAGGCGGCGTAGTATGGTGAGCTTATCAGCAAAAGGTTGCCATGTGTGGTGGCTTGCAAGGCGCCATAAGGCGTTAGAGTTTCAAATTGGGCTTGTTTTATAGTTTCAGCTTCTTTCGCTGCTGTAAGCTTCTCTGTCTGCGACTGTGTGGCTTGGTAGGCTCCATAGGGTGTCAGGGCATTATCCATAGCTGTGGCAGCAGCTAACTTCTCTGACGCAGCAGGCGCCACATAGTTCACAAAAGGCTGCAGTCGACTGCGCAGTGGCCACGTCTCAACGCTTGTGGTTTGCCAGTACGTGCTCGCACTTGATAAGATTGCGATTAGGATAGTTGAGTGAGGAAAAGGAGTTGTCATAGGAAATGTAAGAGAGTTGAGGATAGCAGTTAGTGTCGAATATATATACAGCTCAAATTGGGATTAGTCTTAAAGCTTATGGTACCATTCAGTGCATGCAAAGCGTTTGTTTGTGATGTTAGTGGGCGTGGCATGTCAACTATTAAATTCACCTTTATACAGATGCGTACAGATATGAAAGCAATGCTCAAATTACAAATACAAACATTTATTACCAATACTTAGGCGCTATACAAAAATACTAACAGTCATTAGGTTTAAAATCGAACATAGCTAACGGCAGCCGCGTATCTTAACTGTCTGGCAGCCCTGCAGATCGATTACCGAAAGTTATCGAACGGTGTCGAAGCACAGGGTTGCTAAAATTCCCTAATTGAGTTTACAGTTAAGCCGGGCTAAAGCAACTGCATCTCAAGCGTCGAACTCCTGCTCCTCCTCGTTGTCCGCGGTAAAAGTGCCTGTGGGCGGTGCATAGTAAACGGTGGGTCCAGTGGCCACCACTTTGCCCTCGCGTGGAAAACTCTTCGCCTCTACGTCAGTGCGCTGCAGTGCATCCTTTAAATCAACGTCGGCAGGTATGGAAATGACTTTGGCGCCGGGGCCTGCAATCGTCAAGCTGCGCGGGTGTGTCAGGGCATAGCCGCCGGGGCCCACAATCGCTGTACCGCCGCTACCCGCCGTAGCCACGCCTCCGGGCCCCGCGATCGCAATGCCGCCCTTGCGCACCTTCAGGCGCTGTATAATGATGCCGCCCTCGCGCAACGCCTGCTTCTGCGTGTCCTGATGGGCGGTGGCCACTGTGCCGATGGTGTTCATCATTGGGTGGACTTTGTGCGCAAACAGGTGCTTCTCCGCAGCGACACTGCCATCCTGTTGTTCGGCGGCGGTGTTCTCTAGTTGCTCGACGGTATCGTTGTCGCCGTCGCCAGCACCTTCCCGCTCATCATCCCACTTGTAATCATCCTGGCTATCCTGCAGCGAGTCGCTACTTTGAAGGTGAGTTGTCTGTTGTGGTCCGCTCTGTAGTATAACTGGTTGGGCGGCCGCAGCGCCCGGCGTGGCAATGGGCGTGCGGAAGGGCATTTTGAATATATTCTGAAAGGCGTTCTTGATAGCTGTCGAGGTCTGATTCTGCATCTCGGCCAGATTTACGTTGGGCACGCGGAAGACACTCAGTCTATTGCGATTGGGCAGGAGTCCGCCCGCCGGTGGCAATGTGGATAACTGATCTGCCGAGCTAATGTGGCTGGGCGCAGAGGTCACCTTGATGCTGCCTGAACTGGCGTGCAGGCCGCCGATGGGCAGTGCTTGTTCCGCATCCTTGCCGCTGCCACGCAGCGGCTTGGAGGCGCTGCCAACACTAATCCGCTTGCGATTGCCATTCACATCTGGGGCGACGACGGCGGGCATGCGTGAAGGCTGTGACTGTGGCCTATTCGTTTGCTTCTCACGCGAATCCAAACGAGATTCCTTGCTCGATGTGGGCATCTTGGTCGTGCCACTCGTCGTGCTTGTGCTTGTCGATGTCGGCTTGCCGCGCTTGGGCGTGCCATCCTCGTTCAAGGCCAGCTCCCTGGGCAGAAAGAACAAATGGTATTTGGGCGTTGTCTGGCCCTGCTTCTTGGATTTATCGTGCAGCATAGCCTTGGCCTTGCCATAGAAGCTGTCCACATCGCCAATGATCTTGTAGCCCTTGACACGATACTCCTGCGGTGCATGTTCCCTCAAATACTGCTCCTTGTTCAACTTGTACAGATGCACGGGTATGACAAAGTGGGCGGGCAGCTGCTCTGCCTCCTGGGCCGAGCTGGGCCGTGGCAGCTGCACCTGATTGGGCCGGAAATATAGCTGCTGCTGCTGCTGCTCCTCGCTGGAGGCGCTACTTAGGCTTGTGCGTAGCTTGGGCGGCACATTATATGAATCCGAGACATGTCTTGTCAGCTTGACAGCGCGTATGGAGGGCTCCAGCAGGGTCTGCCCATTGCTGCCCGCGAAATGATGCTGCTGGGCGTGGAAAGGCTGCTGGGCGGGCTTGGGGAACAGATACTGACTGGAGTCGAGTATGGGCGGCAGCTTTGGCTCTGGCCTCTTCTTCACATAGCCAAAGGCCTCGTTCACCTTGGCAATCTGGTCGAGTATGCGCTTGGCCTCGTCCGTCTTGTCGGACGTTGGCGGCGCCACATTCGGATCAAACTCCTCGGGAAATTTGACCAGCCTTTGCTTTTGTATTCTGCAAACGAAAGTTAGGTTTGTTTTTGGTCTCTTCGTATTGGTATTATTAGTAAACTAATGCTGTTGGGATTAGGAATTAGCTATGTACTGATAATGAGAGGCTTAGACACAGTTTATTTATTAATTTTAATATTTTTAGTCACAATACAAAGCCGCGTGCTGCAACTTCTACTGGGCAGGCATTCAGTTGTGGCAAGGCAAGGCAAGGCAGGGCAAGGCAGTTGGTTAATAGAAATTTCTTATAGAGTTGAGCTACTTACTCGACGCCATCCGAAGCTTGGCCAGCGACCAAAGAGGCCAGCAAAAGCGTTGTCAGCTGCAAGAAAAATGCGTTTTATTTAATCAGGCGACATAGATCAAGTGCCTAAATGCTAGCTGCATATGTCAAGGTCTAAGAATGCGGTCAAACACTTCAGTTCTGAGCAACTCGGCTAGGCTTCAGCTGAAAAGTGAGAGCCAAGCCCATTTAACCATACTATTTTCAGCTTTTCACTTCAGCATTATTATCTCAAGAGCCCGAAACAGAACCAGAACCAGAACCATAGAACCCTAACACAGCTCGTGCTCAGGCAAATATTTGCTCGCCTCTTTTGCAAATCAATATTGACGCAACAATATCTCTGCCGGAGCTGCCCGACTGCCAGCTGGACCGTTAGCTTGTCACCCGCTAAACAGCCGCAATCAGAGTCACAGCCAGAGTCACGGCTCGTCCATTTGTCAAAAGCCGCAATGTCACTGAGCTTCGCAGCGCGGCGCCGGAGTCGCGTGTCATTGACCCAGCGACAAACATTTCTCATATATGGTATTCCGCCTAAGCAATCTTTTTTTTTTCGTCTTTTACCAAAAACGAGCTCTGGACCAGCTGGTAAGAATTTTTGTATTTGCAAGTTTGGCTTGCATTCAGTCGGCCCTGTTGACCAAGTTGTATTTGTCTTTGCTTTCTTTTGGCTCTGGTTTATTTATTACACATATTATTTGGTTTGTTCTGGGCGTGTTTCAACCACATGCAAACTGGGTTAATGGCCCGAATGCAGAGCGAGAGAGAGAGATAGGGAGAGAGTGAGTGGGAAAATAACTCAAAATGCAAATGATTTAAAGAAAAGTCTTAAGTTTAGCTGCAGCTGAAGTTGTGCTAACAAATCTCTTAAATTAAGGCTGATTGATGATATTAGGAAAAGGCGGGGCCCACATCTAAAAGTCTGTTGATTTATGTTGTGCAATCGAAAGCCAAGAATTTTGATTACCCTGTTGCATGTTTAGTTTTATGGGGCCATAATAGAGAGCTGTATTCTTCTCGGGTATAACAAAGTATTCCCTTGTTAGGCTGCCTCGATAGTTTCTGGTGTCTAGCGCTCAATTAATTTCGAAGAACTATATTTCACTGTCATTTATCATCAGCTCGTATGGAAGAGCCTAGCCTACGCTTAGAGCATATTGATTTTATATATGCTTCGTAATTAAAATATTTTTTGGGCTTTTCATGCGCTTATTAAATATTCTTTTTGTTGTACTCTTAATTTTGTCATGCCTGCGAGCGGATGCTGACGCACTTGTACTTTAAAAGGGCGTGCTTTTTTTTATTGATTCAAAAAGAACATGAATAATGCAGTGCGTAATAAGAAGAAGTGGAGGACGTGTTCATTAATTTTCACTTTTCATTATAAGCACACGTATAAGCACGTATTTTCCATGGAAATTTACATATATCATGGCATTTATTCAATTTGAAAAAAAACTCGTTGATTACAATGCTCTTAAATAGCTGATTTATGGAGTTAAGCTTCCCTTGTTACCTCTTTCTTCAGCCAACAAATTGGTTTCTGATGAGCCACATAAGGCTTGAGCTTAGAGCGTGTTTTGTGCGACAGATTTGCATATGGGCCCAAATGAAATTCAGGCTAATTTCACGGCAAAAGAATCTGGCGAAAAGAATCAACCAATTCGCGCAGTGAAAGTTGCGTTTCAGCCAGAGTCTGAACGTAAAAGCAAATTAAATACGAAAGACTTAAGGCACGAACTTGCGCCAGTTAATGACTTCAACGGCAGCCAACGCTAATAAATGATTAATTGCGGTCACATACAGCACAAAAAAGAAAAACTAAACTAGTTTTTTTTTTATTTCGATTTGTAAATTAAAAAAGTCAATTTTTGCTTTTTGGTATTTCTTTTGGTACTTACAACAATGAGACGCATTTTTGCGCGTAGTTTTGTGTTGATATTTTTGAGAATGCTTTTCGTTGTCAACGCTGTCGCAGGCTAGCCTTGGAATATATCCTTGAACTGCGAACGAGACAAAAGGCGATGTGTTATCACGCGTAGAATCGTGCTGAAAGCGGACACAACACACACACACACAAGTTAAATGCCAATCCTGATGAGTTTTAAAGTTTAATTGTTTATTTTTTTTTATTGAAATTTGTTTTTTGTTGCTTGCTGCTTGCTGCAGAGCACAACAGGCTTAAGGAGCACACACACACAGAGACACGCACTAAGCTCCCGAGCTGAAGCTGAAACACTTGACGCACCTCTAGAACCCAACGAGGCAACGACTGAAGATTAACTGATTCGTGCCCGTGCCCAGCGCGGCTGTTTTATAACATTTCCATTAGCCGACGGCCCCAAAGAAATGTCCAACCTGACCGAGGGCAGTTGTAAGCGGGAGAGAGCAACAGCTAGAGAGGCAGCGTATGCCAGCGAGTGAGAGCAACAGCTTAAGAGAAACTCGCGTGTGGGGGGCACGTACGCATGCGCCTTGGCTGTGTCTTATCAATTGGCGGGCATCTGTCTTGTCCCCCAGCTGCGGTACTCTTTCCCTATATCGCAGCTGGCCAAACCCACCCAAAATTGACATTCACGCTTAACAGGGCTGATTAAAATCTCGTCTACATTAGATGAGCATAACTAAAGCACGTTTTTTTGCACAGTTTTCGGATTTCTATTGTTTTGTTTTGTGTATTTCTTTTTGTAGCCTGGGAACTATTGACAGTATAGCAACAAGTGCTACTGTTCAGTCGCGCTGACGTTGATTAATTAATTGTTCGCCAATAGCTTTGATTGAGTGAGCAGCATCTGCTGAAACAGACCCAATTACATGTGAAGTGAGAACGAAAGACTTAAGACACGAACGCGCGTGGGCAGGCAGTCAAGACATGGAGGCTAAGCAGAACAAATTGGCTTGACGCTGCGAAAACGAATCTTAAATTGAAACATAAGCCAAATTATATATATACATATGCATATAAAAGACTTAAGACACGAACTCGATTATGGTTCAATGAATGAACGCTGCGGTTAATTGACAAAATGTTTGTTGTCAGCGGGAATGATATTTAAATTTAGCCCACTTTCAATGTAGAACATGTTAGAAAGTTTTGAGTCCTCAGTCGCTGGGATTCTATGTGCGTATATATCAGCTTGCGCCCTTAATTCATTTACAACGTGAAACTCTTAAATTTCCCGTGAACGAATGACAGATTTGCGTATAATTCCAGAGCCCATCAAGTGTGCAGCTTAAGCAGATTAGTTGGCAGCCACAAAGACTCACCTAAATAACTTTGCACTGGCGCAGCGCCTCTTTAGAAGCCCGAGCTCAGTTGCGCTGTTATTGCTATTAATTAAGCGCTCTTTAGGACTATTTTTAGAATGCCTAACTAGCTGCCGTATGCGAACTTTCATATTGTTATTATTTCGCTTTTGGATAGTGGAGCACCAGAAGATTTATGGTTTCAGTTGGGTTAATGGTGGCCCGAGTGCAGGGGCGCATACAAAATGAACAGCGAAAACCCAAACTGTGGACTGAGGCACACTTTGAATGGCATTAATCGAAAGTCGACAAATCGATGCAGCAACAACAGCAACAAAAATACAGCTAGGACTGGCAGGCCAGGCATGCGCCAAAGAGTTCAACTGTATGCGAAACCTTGAAACCTATTTATATAAATATACAACGGCATACGGAACTGGGGCCTGGTGTTGGCTTTGCCTTTGCCTATGCCTGGACAATTAAGTGCGACCTTCACTGGGTGCATCAGGAACAGAATCGTCAGAATGAAGGCACATAACTGGATCTCTCACTGCCTCTCTCTATCTCTTCCTCTCCCTCGCTGTCTCTCTCTCTCTCTCTCTGGAGCTGTCATTGTTCTGTGCGCTTGCACTATAATGAAGAACTTTAATGCAGAGGGCATTATCTATGCAATTATGCCAACCCAATTATGCAGCTGGGCTGGGCTGAGCTGGCCTGGCCTCAGCCAGTTCCCAGGCCTAGACAAAATGTATGCACTCTGAGCTGAGAACTTGCGCTGTGAAATGGCTCAGAAATGCGTTAGATTCGTGTCAAACCTTTTTTATGTTATTCGCTGTACTTTAATAAATCCAGTCTAATAGAAAGTTGTCGAGCGCTGCAAATGAAAACTTCTTAAGCTAATTTTATGGTCAAACGAGTGAAACTTTGCCTTTGCCTAGCCATGAAAAGGTTGCGACAAAATCTTTTGAATAATTTTGCTAAAAACTTAAAAATGAAAACAACAGCAAAAATACCATAAACTTATTATTTATTAGCCTCTGCTGCGTTGTTGTTATTATTGTTTTTTTAGTTTACTATTATTTTTTTTTTTTTTTTTTTTGGTACTTTGCACTGTTTTCTTATTTAGGGCACGCGGCTGCCGCCAAGGCTCAACGTTCGATTCAAATTATTTGGCAAGTTCGGGCACGCAGCGCACATTTCAAATTTTAAGCGCGCGCCTCCCCCGAATTATAAGAAATACCACAGCCAGAAAACAAAGTTTAACTTCGGTCGGTCGGTCAGGTTGGGATGCAATTGGCCCGGCAGCATAACAAATTCGGTAATTGTTGAACTGTTTTGTCAGACACAAAAACTATTTAATGTTTCGCAGCAAATCAATTAGGCATTATAAAATGCATAAATCGTTTTAGGTATGGGTACACAGCACGCGCCACGATTATTCATTTAAACAAATTAGTTTTATATGGCAATAGCTCGTTGTAAATTATATTCCTACATTCCACAGCAAAAACTTGAGAGTTGTATGTAATATCATATTGTGCATGATTTGAAGCTAAAACTGTCGATTTTTAACAAAATGTTGGACTTTGTATTATTACAACCAACTTACATTTCTTGTCTTCTTTATTTTTAACAATTATTTTACTAGGAATTGAATACTTACTCATAAAAATGTACGCCGAAGATTTAATACCCTTGCCTTAAGGGCTCGCAGATATGTCGAAAGAGTGAAGCTCGTAAATAATGATTGATGTCAGAAAATATATTGATAAATACAATGTTTTGTCATACAAAAATGCATTACTCCCCGAGCGATTCCTCCTATGGTACTATATAATATATGAGTGCGCTTTTTATAAAATTTGACTCATATGTAAGCAGCATAGTTTAACTAATGAATGTCGGGCTTGGTAAAGATATCTTGATAAACAATAAAGTTTTTTCATACAAGAACCTACTCTTCTTCCGATCGTTCCTAAAGCAACTATGTGATTTAATGGGCAAATATTAATAAGTTCTTGCATATATGTTAGGAGCTTAGTGAAACTTCTAAATACCGAATTTGATCAATTGAGCTAACAAAAAAGATTTCCGTACAACAATTTATGTACTTCTCCAATCGACTTATCGCATTTATGTGATATATGTCTCGGTCTGTTCTAATATATGTACTGCCTACAACAGAAAGTCGCACCTATGCAAAGTTTAAAGACGTAAGTTTTAAAACTGAGAAACTAGTTCACTAAGAAACAGACAGAAAGACGGACTGGCAGAGGCTCATTGATGTTGACATAGAATATATATGCTTTATGTAATCGGAAATGTCTTTATCTATGCGTTACATACTTCATGACAAAAGTATAATACCCTCTTCAGGTGTTTACACAGTATAAGCAAATTTTAATGCTGCTTTAACCTCTGCAAAACCAACTAGATTAAAGTCGGAGTTTGATTCAAGCAAACATAAAAATGTTATTTGAAATCGAATAGCCAAGTATTATTTATGTTCCGCTTTAGTTGAGCTGCCAGAGCACGTAGTCTTTGGGCTAGTTTCGAGTTAGTTGGAAAGTCCTTCGAACGGACGAATTGGAAATCAACCACAGGTTCAGGGAAGTGTCAAAAAATCAGTTAACTGCAGTAGATTTTATTGTCTAAGAAATTGATCAATAACTATGCAGGTTGGCAACTGTTTGTCCATGCGTTTGTTCCGTTGGCTTTGCCAAATTACCGCCCATGACCACGAAGCCAATGCCAGCGCCAGCCTTATAGCTGAGCTCGTGATAGCCAGCGGCATCGTAGTACGAATACTTGCCCAGCACAATGCCAGAGTCATCCGTGTGCTGGGTATGCGACATGTGCTGCGTGCTAAAATCAATGCCGCGGGGCTGCTGCTGAGGTGCAGGTTGATCCCAATCCCATTGCCTATTGCTGTGGGCGATGCGATTCCGGGAAGCGCTAGCGGGCAATTGATGAACTCTAGCGTAAGGCCAGTGCTTGGACTGCTGCCCGGGCAGCTCATAGTTGGGCGACAGATCGTTTACTCGGACAGCTGCATCCGTATTGTAGGCGTACTTCTGGCCATTGAACTCCATGTAAACCTGTGCGCCTTGCGCCACACACAAAAGGCAGCTTAGACAAAGGAGCAACTGCACTCGACGACAACTCATCCTAAAGACTGAAACTGAAGGCAGCCCAAACTTTGTTTAAATAACCAACCAACCGACCACAATCTGTGTGCGGCATCGATGTCAACCACTTGTGGAGCAGGTATTGAAGGTGTACACATGTATTTAGCATAAATAGGGTTACAGTTACGGTTACAGCTGAAGTCGGGCCCGACCGCAGTTGACACTGATTCAGTTAACTTAGTTGCGAGCGCTTACTTAACTACAACTACAGCTAGATCTGGGGCTGGGGATCGTTGTCTAGTGCTCCCTGGAGGCAGCCAGCTCGGCCATCTCGTCCTGGCGCAACGCCTCCGATGGCGACAGCGTGATACGACCGCCCAGCGGCAATATGTCAATGTTCTGGACATGGGCGCGCACACTCTGGCCGGGCGGCAGGCCCACATACCATTTGCCCACATTCTTGATGAGCGTGGAGTCGCGATGGCGCTGCACCCACTCCCGATCCCGATCGATTTCCAATATGCGATGATTGGCTGTCACCAGCGGCGGCAGCGAGCTGCCCACATCATCGTCGTTCAGATTGTAATTGTCGCCCGGACCGCTGGCCGAGCTTGTGCCGCCCGCCTCCGCGGAAGAGGCCCCACCGCCCGCGCCACTAAACCTGTTACGATTCCGTGTGCCGCTGGCATTGAGACGACTCGTGCTGCTGCCAGTTCGTGTGCCGCCGCGATTTCTGGTGCTTGAGGCGCTGCTCGAGGAGCTGCTCTCTCCGTACCCACCTCCTTCTCCTCCTCCTCCTACTCCTCCTCCTCCTCCTCCTCCTCCTCCTCCTCCTCCTCCTCCTCCTCCTCCGCCTCCGCCTCTTCCTCTTCCTCCTCCCCCGCCACCTGCCCCGTCGTATCTGGTGCTGCCACGCTGCGAGCTGCCCGCCGCGTAGCCCCGCCGATCTTCTTTACCACGGTCAGCCGCTGAGGAGCTGCTCGAGCTGCTGATCAATCCACTGTCATCTCCGTTGTCGTCGTCATCAACACCATTGCCCTGTTTCCTAACATCTATTTCTTCCTTATCGCCTTCCTCCCCAGCCCTGCCCCCAGCTCCTGTCTTTAGGTAGTCTGTATCACCGGCACGCCCCCTGCCCCCTGCACCGCCCCCACTTGGCCCGGAGCCTGCCACACTGCTGGCCGTGCTGCCTCTGCCGCTGGCTCCACCCAGGCTGCCGCCCGCGCCCCTGCCAAAGTCATTAGCCAGTCGGAAATCCGTATCGCTCAATCGAAAATCCGCCACGGAGGGATTTATGTGTGTGCCGGGTCCGACGCGATTGTTGACGACTCGGTAGCCAATGCCCGCGCCAGCTATGTACTCGACGGTGCGCTGCACGCCCTTGTCGTCCAGGAAGGAGTAAGTGCCGCGCACCAGGCCATCAGAGCCGCGACTCTCGGCGCGTCGATGATCCGGTCCAGCGGCAATCAGTTTGTAGGTGCCGCCGGGGCCGCGCTGCACGGACATCTTGCCACGCGTCTTGGGATGTGCCTTGTACAGCGGACCGGAGTAGCCTACGCTGGCAGGATTGTCGGGCACAGCATTGGAGATCTCAAAGCCTGTGCCAGCGCCGGCAGCATAACGCACGCTGTGCCGCTCGCCCACATCGTCCAGGTAGGAGTAGAGGCCTAGATGGACAAAGAACAGGAAATATGAGAGGAAATATGAGCTGAATCTAGTTGAATCCGTTGGCTATCCACCTCTGATTCTGTTCGTGGCATCGTTTTCCTCGCTGCGCGACTGATCCGGCGTGCGAAAGCTGAAGCTGTACGAGGGATCATCGTAGGGATCCGCAAGCGGATCATCGGGGCTGCCACGTGGACGCACCGGATACTGTGCCAAATCCATTTTGCGATGTATTTTGGGCCCATTCACGCGAAAGCTGTGTGAGAGCAAGTGGCGATCAATTAGCTAATTAGCTTACGACTAATTGCTCCGGCTCTGGGAACTAATCAACGGCCAACGCCTCGTTCTCGGGATTGGGTAACCCAGCTGCCTGTTAAAATCGCTCGCCTGCTGTCCGTATCTGATGATCTCGCACGTCATCAATTTTGATTACTATTGCCACAGATGCAGCACGCTCTGTCGTATTCCATTCAAAAATTAAACTACTTTTATCTAACGCTGTGCATCTTAATGAATTTTCCGAGTGCCATGTTTCACTTACAATTTGTTAACAGCTTTTTTTTGTTTGTTTGTTTCTTTTCTCAACTACCGGAGATTGCCAAAAACAAAAAAACAAAAACAAACAGTTGAAATGGAAGCTAGTCGCAAAAACAAACGTTTAGGCAACAAAAACAGCCCCCGCTTCCTCCACTTGCCTCCAGCTGGCATGTGTTAGAACCGTTTCGACTTCAACTTTGACTGTGAGTTCGCCCCGCCTCCACCCCAATCCCCACCGCCTTCTACACGCGTAACGCTTGAGTGGCGCGGCTTCTTGGGTCTGTCGTACTACTGATATATGAGCTCGCCGGAAGGCGGACCGAACCGATAACTCACTTTGCTACCGCACTTTACCCAACTATCTGCGGTTAACTCTCTTCCTCTTCAGCTACCTTGCCAACTGTTTCTGTTCGGCTAACTCACCCACGTGGTCCGGCTGTATAGACGGTCTCTTCGATCTGGCCGCTCGCTGGACTACGCGAACCATAACGACCTCGCACGATGTTGTCTGGAGTGCCGGAGGCGCTATGATAGTAGCCGCCAATGTCATCATTTGCATGTCTATCCAAAGAGTAATTGCGTGTTGCCCATGCGTGGTAAGGCAGAGAGGAAGACAAACAGAGCGAGAGAGAGAGAGAGAGAGATAAATACACACAGTAAACAGTTAGTCAGCATTCGTGTTGTGGGTATTGTTGCCATTGCAAAATGGCATTAAAATAGGTGTTAAATGTGGCAAAGGAGCCAGAGCGTGATGCGCACTTTTGTTGTTGTTGTTAAGGTGTTTAAAACACAGTTGATTAAATTATTTATTTTAATTATAAGTAAAACGTTTACGTAGTATTAGATCTTCAAGTTAGAATTTAAAGCATAAATAATTGATTGATTAGTTGAGGCTGCTTCGAGATTGCTATCAGAGAGCATGGTTTGTCAATTAAAGCTATCTGTGCACAGATCAATCTCAAGTAGCCCAAAGCAAAGCCTTCATAAGACACAACCAGCCCAGCCCATGCTGGATCCATGGATGATGCTTTGTCTGAACTTTCATTTCAGCCCTTTCTTTTGCATGGCCCTAGCCAAGTCTTCTTATCCTTCAATTTAAATTACCATTGAACAGATTGAACAAATTAAAAAACAAAATTAAAAATATAATATATTATAAAATAATAAATAATATAATAGAAAATCTAGCTGTGTTCGAATCTCCTGTTCCTTTCTCTTTATCTTTTTTCTATGATATATATATATAAAATTCGTATTGATCAGTTCGAAATAAATATCTAAGGAAGTTATAAAAATAAAAAATCGAATTAAAAATCAAACTATATTACTAAAAATCATAATAAAAACTATAATACAATTATATAAATATAAAAGATAAAAGATAGCTACTTTCGAGCTTCCTCTTCTAATACCAATATAATTTTTATTGTAATTTCTTGTGTTTTTAATGCTCTACAGTAAAGTTGCATAAAATCCTTTGCGATTCGTCTGAGTAGCAAGTTATTTAAACAATTGCAAGGGGTGCATTGGTTCGAATCTCTGCCTAGTGTTTGGCTGTAGGCTTTGTCTTGGTTACACATTAATATTTGCCAGCTAGCAACTATATCCAATATTTTAGTATATATTCTAGACTTAAAAAAATAAAAATAATAATCTTTTCTCTGTCGTCTTAACCAAAGGCATATTGGTTAGAGTTTTTTTGCTCCACACAAATAAAAAGTTCATATTTAAAGGCTTTAATGTCATGTTGTGATTAAATTATAGAACTGCACAGTTGGCATCTTTAACATCTTTTCTAAAAGGCTTCACATTTAATATAATTGTTGGTTAAGCTTTTTTCTAGCTGTGCTTTTCATCAAGCAAAGCCTTTTTAATCAAGCAACACTTTCTTGAATAATTATTATAATTTACACCAAGTCTGTTGACAATTTAAGCTTCAAGGGTTATACCGAAATTGAAACGATCCATCCGCATTAATAGTATTATATTCGATTTCGGCAAACACGGGATCACCAAGTTGGCCAAATGCAGCGCATAAAAGCCAAAGCAAGCGCAACATTTCCATAAATTCTCAATTTAAATGCCTGTGCTAAACGACTTGTGTCTGTCCAATTAGAGGCACATCCTGCACACACACAAACACACACAGAGCTACAGGCAACAAGCAGTATGGTGGACACACGTATCAATGCACAAACGGATCACAGATTCGAGGCGTTTGGCTGGCGGCAAGAACAACGCGGCGACTGAGGAGCTGGCGACTGAATGCGCCCAAGCGTTAGACCTTCGTATTTAAATACGATTCTCAGGCGAGTCAGCGAACGGTGGCCAGCTTTTCAGTTCGGCTCGGCAGCAGCAGCAGCAGCAGAAGCAGCAGTAGCAGCAGCTGCCACTTGTCTCACCTGACCACCCACCAAAGTGGCAGCCACGAAGATGAAACAACATTTGTGTGCAAATTGCGTTACAAGAGATGTTCAGCGAGCGAGCGAGAGAGACAGAGATAGAGATAGAGAGAGGGCGGTCGGGCACGTGGGGCAGGTGAGAGAATTTGTTCTAATGATGGACACGCAAGTGACTGTTTGTTGTTCTAGCTGCATGCTGCATGTTGCGCCATGGCCAACAATGTCTGGACGGGCTCCTTGTTCAGTAAATTGCAAACAGAACAGGAGTGGAAAAAGTCGTGGCTGCCAGCAGCAGAGGCTGCAGCAGCAGCAGCAGCAGCAGCAGCTGTCTGTCAATTAGTTGAAGCTGTTTCTGCTGTCGTCGTGTTTCGCTTCCTGTTGCAGCCGCATTGTTGACAATTTTCCAGCGCGTGATCTATGACACCGCGCAAATTTCCTGTGCATTGAACTCTCGTGCGGCAATTACCAATGTGACACGCCCCCATTCAAAATCTAACAGCAGCAGGCACCGTTAACCGCCCCCCATCATCATCATCATCATCATCGGCTTTGGCTATTATAAATTTGCCGCGCTCCGGAGTCTAGGTCAGTGTCTTAGCTGCAATTTGGTTTGTCTTGGCCGCGCTGCATTATGCAATTAAAGGCAATTACGCGGCTGCTGAGGAAGAGTTGCCGTTCTCTGTTCTCTGTTCTCTCAGCGGCCACAATTTCCGCCTAGGATGTGGCCCAAAAGTTTTCCAACCTTTTTAATGAGCCCAATTAGCGAGTGCAGAATACAGCCAGGCCCGACCAGGTTATTGGCCATTGTTCTCGTCTTACAATGAGCAGCAGAAAATATGTCAAACATTTTGATTAGAACATTGAGCTGTGGGCGCAGCTAGAACGAAAGACTTAAGCCACAAACTTGCCCATCGCTTGGCTGCCTTTGATTTATCTGACCCATGTGTGTGTGAGTGTGTGTCTGTCTGTGCTTTATGACTGCCGTATTTGAATATGAATATAATATCTTGATTTAGTTTACTTTAGTTTATATGCTAATTTTATTAGATTTAGGAGCAGCAACCAAACAAATGCGGAAGACCCTCGGCCAATTGTGCAGCAAAATGGAGCAGGGCTGAGACATTGAATTGAAATGAAATGGAATGAAATGAAATGTGATATGTGCAGATATGTGACAATGGAATTGAAACAAGCAACGCCACTGGCACAGTTGAATTGCATTATTAGATGTAAGGACAAGTTTCTGGCTGACTTGGAGGCAATTGCACGCATGGGAAATGTGCAACCAGTTGTTGCTGTTGTTGTTGGTGTTGCTGTTGTTGTTGCCATTGAACCACATACCCATAGAGCTAAAAACTGGAAATTCATATGCGTTTTCACTGCCAACAACAGCCACGAAACGGAGAGCTGGAGAGGAAGGCCAACAGCACCGGCAAAAATCCTGCCATTTGATGGAAAGTGAAATTGCTTTCGTTTTCATTTGAAAACTTTGCCAAACTCCATTCAATTGTCGTTGGCCAATCCGTTCGGTTCGTTGCGAGCGCATCAATCAAAATGAAAATTACACAACTTTTGCATATTTTCTTGTGTGTTATCACATCCATGGAAGCCATGGGCTATGGCACGAAGAAGGCGCGCTGCTTGAATCCGCCGCGCACGGCCAGACGCGTCGAGTCCGTCATCGGGGACTGCCAGGATGAGGTCAAGAACAAGCTGGTCAATGGTAAATGGTCTCGCAGTGTAACAATTCGATATGAACATTCGTCTAACTGCAGAGGCATACCAGATACTCAAGGAGCAGGTGCAGCAGGAGCAGCAGGAGCAGCCCACACTCCATGCCGACGACGGCGTGGAGTTCATTGACTCGCTGCAGTGGCCGCCCGTGCTGCAGCAGGCGAGCCATGAGGCGCCACCCAATGCCAGCCGCTACGAATACATTGTCTACGATGAGCCGGAGCCGCGGCGTCGCATGGCGCGCCTGGTGCGCAGCCTGAAGCGCCTGGATGTGGCTAGCGCGGGCATCTATCACCCGACGCTGGTGCCGCTGGAAGACAAGCGCATTGCGGGCGTAAGTAGCTCCAACCCGACTCCCCAGAACCGCCGCCAAAAGATCTGTCTGCAATTAAGTTCAATGGCAGCCCAGCCCCGGAGAGGTGCAACAAACGCTGCGTCGACTTTGGGCTGTGCCATGCCGCCTGCCATTGATTTGGCGTGTGCAATTAAAAACACGTAAGAATGTTGCAGTCGGGCTTAACCGACTGTGCAATGCTCTGTTAACAGTCGGAAAACTCTTAGATAGAGGCTTGATTAGTGCAATGGGGACTCTAAAACTGTGGGTGGCTTTCAAACTGTACGACTTTATGAAGTTTTGCTCTTTGCAGTATTTAGGAATAAAGGTTTCAATGATAAAGTGACTCTTAGACTGTAAATCCAAAGCAATGGCTTTCAAACGGTGTAACTAGGATATGTGGGAATGGGAGGTTCAAATATTAAAGTGGTTCTAAGACTGTAAACATTGCTTTGCAATGTCATTCAAACTGTTTGACATTGGAATAGTTTGTGGTGACTGTAAAACTGTAGATAAACCGCAGTGGCTTTCAAACTATGTGTAAATTTAAATTTCTGTCAACACGGGTGGGGTTGGGGAGGCTTTGGAAGAAAAACTGACTCTCAAACTGTGACTGGGAAATAGGGAATTCTGCAGCTTATGAGGGCCGCTGCTGGCCAAATCTCCACGTTCAGCTAGATGAACCCCAATATACTAAGCTTCTTATTCTGAACAGAGTATACAAAACACACCGCACCTCCCCTCGCCCAAATCAAAAGTCAGGGCTGCGATTTTTGCTAGACAATTGAAAGAAAAGCGCAGTTGCCGTCGCAGTCGCAGTCACAAGTACAATTTTTTTTTCACACACAACAAGCCAAGTTTTATGACTGAAAAGTGCATTTTATGTTTGCATTTAATACACATTAACTGCTTTTTATGCATCAGCAAATTGAATGCCGCCTACGAATACATTTTTGATTGTTTTTTTTTTCGTTTTTGTTTTTGGTTTTCTATGGCCATTTTCTATTTTCAGTGTCTGCTGCACTGCGTCTATGCGAGGAACAACGCCATTGACAAGAATGGCTGGCCGACACTGGACGGCCTGGTCGGCTTTTATTCGGAGGGTGTTCACGAGCACGGTTTCTTTATGGCCACATTACGTTCGGTTAATCTCTGTCTGCGGGCCATGACCACCAAATACCAAGTAAATCGCCGGCAGCTGCCGCAGAAAGGCGAAAGCTGTGACTTGGCATTTGATGTGTTCGACTGCATATCGGATCAGATAACAGGCTATTGCCTGGATCAATATAGCAAGTATTAGTTGGGGCTATAATAAAAACATCCATACTTATTTTTGCTTTAAGATTTTTATTACTATGTTAACTGTGCTAGCGCCATCTACTGTAGTGTTTTTCAACCAAGTAGTGACTATAAATTTGCCCAAAGATGGCGCCACATTGCTTTGTTTGCATATGTTTGCCTCAGAGCTGTCACCCGATGCAAATTTTAAACAACCATTGTTGTAACTGTAAACCGCATAAATAGTAATTCTGAACTAAACGCTATTATTTAAATGAAATTCAGAGTGTGTGTGTATACATTTAAAGCGTTTGTTTAGCAGTAAAACTTAGACAAAGTGCGCCAACTATTCAAAGCATGTACAGTGTGGCCGTTTTTCTAGTATTAAATCGATAAATTTGCATGCGGTATAATTCATATAAACTGCTTACGGTCACTTTGGGCCGCGAGTTGGAACGCGAGTTTGGAGTTGGAGCGCACGAAAAAAGTAATAATTTTATTTATGAACAAAGTGTAAATAACTAGTGATATATACAATACAATACATTAGCATAGTTGTATTACTGTTACATATATCAGGTGCCTTAAGTACATTTTCAATTATGATTCAAATATGGCCATCTTCCAATTGAGGTCAAATTCGTGGAATAACTGTAAAACTACAACTACTTTAAAAGTTATTTGCTGTAAACGCGTTAACCCAGTGAAAACGAAAGAAAAACACGCAATTTCAAGTGCAATGTTGCAGCTTAAATAACAATTTTCCTTGGCCCTCAATTTGATGGCTTATATAATGCAAGTGGGCGTCTGCTTAATGCGCCTGCGCTTGCCTGAAATCTAGAAAAGTGAAATTTCTCAATTCATTAAAGTTGCGTCGTCTGCGGCTGCCGGCCACACTACGTCACATGCTTTAGTAAATGTGAATATTGCAATGATGACGCAATTCTGCGTTTTGCCCAGTGCCGCGTGTGCTTTTTGTGCCCGTGAATCATACAACATCAGCGCTTGCGTTCGTTGTTGTTGTTGTTGTTGCTTCGTTTCTGCGTAAAGAGCGGCCGCATTGCCAGCATTTTTGTATTCCGAAAGTTCCCCTAAGTCCGAGATGCGCAACAATGCTGTGATATTCTCTAGCTGTCACTGTTTATTGAGCAACAGGTATCGCTCCCAATAAAGTGACTAGTCACAGCCAAGTCACAGACTCAACTCTAGTTGTTGCTACTCAATGAACGCACGCGGTCTTCCAAACTACAAATGCTTGTTTGCATGTGTGTGTGTGTGTGTGAATGTGTGTCGTCCACTTCAACTGAAGTTGTTTTTGCATTTTCGATTTCTTCTTTTGTAGTCTCCACAGCACAGTTTTTCTGCGGCATTTGGGGGCTCGTCTAGTCTCCACATGCGGCTGCAGCTGCAGTTGGCCTACCCAACTGGTTCGTGTCTTGGCTAATTGGAATTTTTGCCCATTTCCAATAGAGCAGCTGATAAATTGCGCGTGTTTGAACTTGAAATTGATATTGATTAGCAAGTCCCGCAATATATGCTTGAGTATGAATGTGTGTATAACCTGTACTGAGTCATATGCCTGCATAATTGAAAGCTCTCCTGTCTCTTTCACACTCACTGTGTGGGCGGCAAATTTAAAAAGCAATGACGAACACTGCCAAATTTTATTTGATCATAGAACGGACTTTGAAATAGCTGTAAATGAAATTTCCAGCCAAAAATGTAGCCTAAATACACACAGACATACACAAGCAGGCACGTCTGTAAAATAAGTGATAAGCGCATAACGTACGATAAGTGATTGTTATCAGTATGCGCTTGGCCCCTTTTGCTCAGCTCGCACACACACACACACACACGCATGTACGTACGTGTTTTTTATCTAGCCAAGTGTCTCAGCACAATGTATATTGTGCGTTGTCATGTGCCTTTTTATCACACATTTTGTTTTTCAACGTTTCGTTAAACGTAAACGAAACAAAAACAACAACAAAACCAATTCGATTTCTAAAAAAAAAAAAAGAATGAAAAGATGTGTGTATTGTTTTGTGTATTTTTTATATTTTCTACTCTGAACGTACGACCGTTTGGGGTCGGGTAATCTTTCGGGTGCTCTGCGCCGCAACGTTCAGTCGACGCGTAGCACTCAACACGAACAAACCGTTTGGCAGCGTATCTGTAAGATACGACGTGACGAGCACATATATTCGGTTCGTTTTTCCAAAGGCAACTTATTTAAGTTATGCACAGTTTATGGGAAAAGTGCAGAAAAGTGCAGTAATACGAAAATATTTGTAAAATTCCAAGCAAACACATTGAAAGCCCTCGTGCGGCAATTGCCAATCGGAAATGTGGCATTAAATTGTCATTAAAAACAGAAAAAATAATCTTAATGGGCAAAAATGTATATTGTTACGCTATCATTAAAAAAATGATGACAGAATTCTATAATGCTGGCCCAACTCTCACGCGAGTTTTTATGTGTTTTTTCTTTTCTTTATTTTATTTTTTGCACTTATGTAATCTGTTTTCGTAACCAAAGCGCCGACGTCGACGTTGTTTGCGGGGCAGAAAAATAATTGCAAAGAGAGAAAAAAAAAAAGAAAAACAGTTTGTGAGAAAAATAAGGCAAAAGAAGCAAACAGATAAATAACGGCACAAACACAAACGCAAACGCAGACAGCCAAATGCTAGAAAGAGACGCAGCTATGCTGCCGACGGCCAACTAATTAAATTGAATTGTTCAATTTGTTGCTGTTGTAATCGCTGCACTTTCAAATACACCCCCCCCCCCCCCCCCCCCCCCCCCTACTTCACCCTTCACATGTATGACAAGCGTTTAGTGACCGTTGCTCCAAACCGGTTTCCATACATGTGTGTGTGAGTATGTGTGTACTTCTCTTTAACCCACATATTATACATATGCTTGTACGTATGTGTGCGTGTGTAGAATTAGCTGAAAAATTCGAGTGGCTGATCAGTGATTAAATTCGTGGCGTTCGCCCAGGCACAGGCACAGACACAGATCCCGAGTCGGCAGTCAGCATACCACGCGTCGCTGATAAGCGCATGTGACCTGTTCTTTCGTGCCTTGCCACGCCTTTTGCGTAGGGCGTGCCATTTGATAACATTGGCAGACGCACGCGCTGGCTGGCTGGCTTATCAAGACTACAAAATTTCATGAATTAATTAAACTGTGTGCAATGCACCTTCAAGAAATTTTAACAATATTTTATGACTTGAGTTTAGATTGTGTCTGGGCTGATATTTCAGTTTATCAGATTTGCTCAGCTTTAATCAACTCCAGACAAATAAAGCAACGAGCTCTGATTATTGTGTGCGAGCAAATACAGGTATACGAAATCATAAAAGTCAAGCTGACAATTGCGCAGCACACACAAAAAAAAAAAAATAAAAACAAAATAAAAAACAAGCAAAAATAAGCCATAATCTACAGCAGCATATACAATACATGCATATATATATGTATGTATGTATATGTATATGTATGCATATAAGTTGGTATATGTATGCATATATAGATATACACACATTTCACCACTGTGCAAATGAGTTTTTGGCAACCTATCAAAAAGGCGAAGGCGAAACGTCGAGCGGCAACCGACGTCATCAACGATCAGTCCGTGGGTCACGTGCCTGCGCCGGAGGGAAGGAAGCTGCCTCCATTGTTGCCCCCGTCTGGGCTAGACTTAAAGATAACACACACACACACACACACACACACAGAGTTGCATGCACACATATGTATGCATGTATATTTATGCTAATCGTTGGCCCGCTAACTTGTTTATTTCATAATCATCGTTAGTTGGCAACAAGTTGCAATCAATTTTGAGACTTTCTGGCCATGACGTAAAAGCAAACAAAATATGCTTTAGCGTATGTGTGTGTGTGTGTGTGTGTATGTGTCACTTGTATAACGCGACTGCATTATCTTATCAGGCAATTACAAAAGCGAAGGCGTTGCTGCTCGTCTTCCGCCTTGACTGCGTGCCACTTGTCCAAACACAACAACAACAACGACAACAACTATTTACACTAGGCTACATATTTGTCAACAATCAACGTCTCAGTCTGTAATTGGCTTATCGATACACAGAGGGAGAGAGAGAGAGCGGGGCATACTTTCAGACTGCCTGCCTTTTAATTGTCTATATGTATTTAACTTAATATTCTGTTTATTTCGCTTTTGCAGTTATATTTTGTAAAGCTACAAAATGCATAGAGCACACACGGCCTTCAGTCTGGCGTTATCGCCCATGGCGCACAAAAACTTTGCCACATGGCTGCTCAGCAGCAACAGCAGTCAAAAGGTAAGCGAATATATATATATAGTTTTTATATAACAAACTAATCGCATGCATTCATTATTCAAACAGCTGATCAAGGCCACCGCCGCTGCCGCCGTGCGCACCTACAATTCGGCGGCCGCCGAGCCTTTCGCCAATGGCAGCACCGCATCCTACGTGGAGGAGATGTACAATGCCTGGCTGCGTGACCCCAGCTCTGTGCATACCGTAAGTGCGCAGCTAATTAAAAAACAAAAACGGGGCAGTTCAATTGCCTTGCAGTGTTAATTTAACGTGCTTGTTGGCCTTAAAAACAGGTTTAAATGCCTTTTGCTTAAATTGAAAGTAACATTTGTTACTTTGCCAGGCCAAATCATTTATGGTCCAGTTTAAAGGGCCTTTCGAAACTTTTGAAAAAAAAAAAACTAGCTGATAAAGTTTTTAGTCGTTTTTGGTACATGTAGGTCAGAAAACTAATTGAAGTCAAATAATTCTTAGAAACTCTTTGCCAAAACAAGTTTAACTCTTTATACGGCCAGGTTGTTGAACTGCCTAATGCATGCATATCTATATATATTAATATTTGATTCTGATTGAATTGATATATGTGTTGTTTTGCAGTCCTGGGATGCATACTTTCGCAGCAACTCGTACGTGAGCCCGCCCAATTTGGCGCCCGTGCAGGCGAACACGCTGCCGCTGTCGGCTTTCAATTTGGGCGGCGCTGTCAGCGCTGCGCCCGACTCCAAGACCATTGATGATCATCTGGCCGTGCAGGCCATCATCCGAAGCTATCAGGTATGCTTTTGCTGGGTCCATAGCGCTTCCTCGCTTCCCCGCCCGCCCCAATTAGAGTTGAACAGTTGAGATTGCAGCCGCAAAGCGTACTATCTGTTGGCGCTTTTCGTTCGTTTCGTTCGTACATTATGTTGTTATATATTTATTTTTTTGTTGTTTCATTTAGGTTTCTATTTAATGCTTATGTTTATGGTTTCATTAGAGCTGCCCCCCTTTTTTGTGTTTTCCATAAAAGCAAAAGTTCAGATCATACACGAGTAGCTTAGAAATCTTTTTATGTTTTTATATGTTTAGTGTACCAATCCAACGCCCCATGCCCCACGCCCCACGCCTTTCCGCCATGCGTTTATTGTTTACATTGTAGTTTTTCTTTCTTGTATGTGTACAATTAGTTTGTTTGGAAGGTTAAGTACTCGGGCATTCATGAGTAGCTTCATCTTTTTCAAAAGTAGCTGATCTCAGGACATTAATCTCTTACGTTTTGTCATTAATTTAGCACAGTTTCTACAGTTGTTTATCATATGATGATCTATCTGGTTTATGTAGCCGCAAACTGTCTCACTTTGCTTTATTTCCTTGCACCGCATTAATTTCTTTCAATATCTTTTGATTCTCAATGGGTAGCTAGCTAAATCTTAATCTGAAACATGAACAACATAATAACCATGTTAATATTCAAAAATATATACTCTACATGTGTGTATAATCAAAACTATTTATATATATATATATATAATTATAAATATATATATATATGAATATATATGTACTATATATAGTCACGTGGTCATTTGGCATCTGATCTGGATCCGCTTGGAATTTTAACACGCGAAAAAACCGTTTGCAAGGATGGTCTTGCACGTCGCGCTAATGAGGATGTGCTCAGGCAGCATTCTGGGTTTTTGTTTGGTAAATTCCTTTTTTGCAAAACTCTTTAAAAACAAAAAAAAAACACCTGTTCACATTTAACATAGACACCCCCGCCCTTCAGTTGCACCCATCCAATACCATTTACACACAACACGCATACGCCAAAAAAAAAAAACAAAATACAATTATTGTAATCGTTTTAGCGCTTTGAAGCCTTTTTAACCCACCCATTTGATAATATACTTATATATTACATGAAATTCGGAGTTGATGAGAGGCACAGGCAGGCAATAATAGTTATTGACTTACATTTACCTTTTCTAGACCTTAAGTTAGCGAGTTTTCTTTAGTTGAAATACGTTCTCATAAGTGTAAGTAACTCTCGGTGTTTGGCTTTTACGAATTCTTATATCTATATATCTATATCTATAACTGTTCTCCTAGTGCACCATAGCGTTTTGTTCCACTTGCTTTCAACGTTCTATTTAATCAGTCTGTAAACCCGGCCATAACTAAGAACAAGCTCATCTCAATTATACAATTATTTGTCGCTCTAATGCTGCTTTCTTTGTGCTTTTTTGTTATTTGTTTTTTATACAATTTAATTAATTTCGTTTATGCTATAAAACTTATTAATTTTTCTTCTTTTTTTTTTTCATTTATTTTTATATTTAAATGCTTCCTAACCCGTCCCCAAAAAAATATATATATACATATATCTAAAAAAAAAAAAAAAAAAAAAAAAAAAAAAAAAAAAAACTGCAATCAAAACGCAATTCGTCAATTCATATAAACAACGTTTAAAATTCAAATCCAAATTCTCTCTCTCTTGTATTATGTGTGTATTGTGCAAATTAAACAACGACAACAACAACAACGACAAAAATATACATAAACAAAACATTGTTAATATGTAATACTTTGTAACCACAACACACAATCTACACCAACCACACACAATACTGACACACACGTTAGATTCGAGGACATAATATTGCTCACCTCGACCCACTCGAAATTAATACACCAGATTTGCCTGGCAACACCTCGACGAAATCCATTTACGCTAATTTCAGTTTTGGTAAGTAAGCTTAGAGGCTGCAGTTGTTAATAAACAAACAAACAAACAAAAAAGTGGGTGTGGCGCATGCCGTATACGCCCCCTGCCCACCCGCCCACCAACACATGCCACAACAGAACAAATCATTGTCCTTTGGTTTCTTAACTTGTGTTTTGTTCCGTTTTTTTCGTACTATATATATATATGTATATAAAACCCGCCAATACTACTTTGTTTTGTACTAGTAACCCCCATTTTGTACCTTTCATGCACACAATCAAACAAAAAACCCAATTTGAATGTTAAAAAAAAAACCCCCCTCCGATATACAGAACCAAGTAAATATCCATTAATTATAATTATATATATACACTGAAGAGTACAGTCTTGTATAATTTATCAAACATTGTTGTTATTTTTTTTCCTATTGTCATGCAAAACTATTGTTTTCAGTTTTTATTTTCTTTTTCCATCTTGAGTTTCCGATTAGATTGCATGTCGTCAATTGCTATTTGCATAGTAAACAAGAGAAAACACAAACAATTTGCTATTTGTTGTAAGAAAAAAATTATAATTTACACATGACATTAAAAATGTCGTTGACAGAAAGATAATAAAAGTGAAATAATCGAAGCAAATGTTGATTAACTATTCAACAGGCAAAATGTATTGCATGCCTTGGTGTTATTCAGATACATATATATGTGTGTGTGTGTATAAAATTCCCCTCAGAACAAAGAACAAGAAGAGAACTATGTAAATTTATATATATATATATACTATATGCGAGACAGATCAGCACGCATCTGTACTCATATTTATATAGTGCACAATTTACAGACCACAATCATTACACTCCGAATTTCAAATCGCTTACAAAAACTAATCAGCATCATTTCACGAAAACCACATACCAAGCACAAATACTAATAGTTTCCTTTACAACAAAACCACACACCCAAACCCGAAATAACAGGCGAGCAGGACATGGAGCGTCAGTTCAAGTTGCCCAGCACCACATTCATTGGAGGCGATGAGGCTTCTTTGCCCCTCAAGTAAGTCAACCTAAGTCAAATTATCCAGCTCTTGCAACTAGTTATTAACTTTTCCATCCCAACTCTCTTTTAGGGAAATTCTGAACCGTCTGGAGAATGTTTATTGCAATAAAATTGGTGTGGAGTTCATGTTTATCAACTCCTTGGAGCAGTGCAACTGGATTCGCAAGCGTTTCGAGACGCCGGGCGTGCTCAACTTTACGCCAGAGGAGAAGCGCCTGATTCTGGCACGTTTGACACGTGCCACAGGCTTTGAGGCCTTCTTGGCCAAGAAATACTCATCGGAGAAGCGTTTCGGTTTGGAGGGTTGTGAAATTATGATTCCGGCCTTGAAGGAAATCATTGATGTGTCCACCGAGCTGGGCGTGGAGTCTGTCATCATGGGCATGCCACATCGTGGACGCCTCAACACGCTGGCCAATGTCTGCCGCAAGCCATTGAATCAAATCTTTACCCAATTTGCTGGCTTGGAGGCCGCTGACGATGTGAGTTCTTAATACCCACCAAAATTTAGCGGTAAACTTCAAGTCTTCTTTTTGTTTTAGGGCTCCGGTGATGTCAAGTACCATCTGGGCACATATATTGAACGCTTGAATCGCGTGACTAACAAGAATATTCGTCTGGCCGTTGTGGCCAATCCCTCTCACTTGGAGGCCGTGGATCCTGTCGTCCAGGGCAAGACACGCGCCGAACAATTCTATCGCGGCGATCAGGAGGGCAAGAAGGTTATGTCCATACTTATTCATGGAGATGCCGCCTTCTGCGGCCAGGGTGTTGTCTATGAGACGATGCACTTGTCTGATCTGCCCGACTACACGACTCACGGCACCATCCATGTGGTGGCCAACAATCAAATTGGCTTCACCACGGATCCACGTTTCTCGCGCTCCTCGCCCTACTGCACGGACGTGGCGCGTGTCGTCAATGCGCCCATCTTCCACGTCAATGCTGACGATCCGGAGGCCGTGATGCATGTGTGCAAGGTGGCCGCCGAGTGGCGTGCCACCTTCCACAAGGATTGTGTCATTGATTTGGTTGGCTATCGTCGCAACGGACACAACGAGATCGACGAGCCGATGTTCACGCAACCGCTTATGTACCAGAAGATTCGCAAGCACAAGAACTGCTTGGATTTGTATGCTGATAAACTGATTGCCGAAGGCACCGTCACCGGCGAGGAGGTCAAATCTGTGGCCGCCAAGTACGAGAATATTTGCGAGGAGGCGTTTGCGTTGGCCAAGACCGAGACGCACGTCAAGTACAAGGATTGGTTGGACTCGCCCTGGTCTGGCTTCTTTGAAGGCAAGGATCCACTGAAGGTCGCGCCCACTGGTGTCAAGGAGGAGACTCTGATTCACATTGGCAACCGTTTCTCTTCGCCACCACCAAATGCCGCTGAATTCGTTATTCACAAGTGAGTAGCCAACCGTGGCAGCAGCTAACTTGACCCAACTAATCCACAAACTATTCTCTTTCGCGCAGGGGTCTCATGCGCGTTTTGGCCGCTCGCAAGGCCATGGTTGATGAGAAGGTCGCCGATTGGGCTTTGGGCGAGGCCATGGCCTTTGGCTCCCTGCTGAAGGAGGGCATCCATGTGCGCCTCTCTGGCCAGGATGTTGAGCGTGGCACTTTCTCGCATCGTCATCATGTGCTGCACCATCAGCTGGTGGACAAGGCCACCTACAATTCGCTGCAACACATGTATCCGGATCAGGCACCCTACTCCGTCTCGAACAGCTCGCTGTCCGAGTACGCTGTGCTGGGCTTCGAGCATGGCTACTCAATGACCAATCCCAATGCTTTGGTCTTGTGGGAGGCGCAATTCGGTGACTTCAGCAACACGGCGCAGGCCATTATCGATCAGTTCATCTCCAGCGGTCAATCGAAATGGGTGCGTCAATCTGGTCTGGTCATGCTGTTGCCCCATGGCATGGAGGGCATGGGCCCGGAGCATTCGTCGTGTCGCCTCGAGCGTTTCCTGCAGATGAGCTCCGATGATCCCGACTACTTCCCACCCGAGTCGGATGAGTTTGCGATCAGACAGCTGCACGACATCAACTGGATTGTGGCCAACTGCACAACGCCTGCGAACTACTATCACATTTTGCGTCGCCAAATCGCCTTGCCCTTCCGCAAGCCATTGATTCTGTGCACGCCCAAGTCGCTGCTACGTCACCCGGAGGCCAAGAGCCCCTTCAGCGAGATGAGCGAGGGCAGCGAGTTTCTGCGCATCATACCCGACCGCGGACCAGCTGCTGACAATGCCAGCAATGTGAAGAAGGTTGTCTTCTGCACGGGTCGCGTTTACTACGATCTGACCAAGGCACGTACCGAGAAGCAGCTGGAGAAGGAGATCGCCATTGTGCGCGTGGAACAGGTGCGTCTCTCATTAAGTTCTTTATCACTTTGCATCTAAATGCATTTTAAACATTTGCAGGTGTCGCCGTTCCCCTTCGATCTGGTCAAGGAGCAGGCAAATCTGTACAAGAACGCCGAGCTTGTCTGGGCACAGGAGGAGCACAAGAACCAGGGCTGCTGGACCTATGTGCAGCCGCGTTTCCTTACCGCTCTCAACCACAGCCGTGATATCAGGTGCGTGCTGACCATTAAGTGTCTATCGAAGCAATACCAAGAGAAACACAGAAATCCGCCCCATGCCACAACAAGTCGCAATCTCTTTACTCTCTTTCTCTCTCTGTTTATATTTTCTCTCTCTGGATTTGTTAGCTGCTCTCTGCAGTTTTTTCTTTTTCGTTGGTTTTCTGTGATTTAAGTTTATTTATATTAATTCAACTGCACTTAATGCACCCTAATCTTTATTAGTCACTCTTCTAAGTTTCTCAATGTGCATTCTGGCACTTCGTTTTTTTTTTTTTTGGTACACTTTGTATTTGATTTGGTTCTCTCTCTCTCTCTACTGAGTTTCCAGTTTTTGCCTTAATATCACATTTGTTTTTTAATATTTAACTCACTCTCATCGCACTCAGCACCTGTCATCGCTTTAGCTAATCTTTTTTCCAGCTTTTACTAATTTTATTTTAAAAACCTTAGCCTGCCCAGAGTCTTTCTACTTGCGATCGTTCTCTCTCTCTCTCTCTCTCTCTCTGTCTGTCGCTCGCTCGCTATTTCTCCGGGAAAAGCCTTAGTCTTAGATCTCTTTTTCAAAACATGCCACATACACAACACACACTCACACACAGCTCGGCAATTGACGCATGTTTGAGTCCCGCAGACATTTTCATAAACTTATCCAAAATTGTTGCATTACAAAAGTGTTCCGCAAGCGAACTAGTTCATCTGCGCGAATTGGCTTCATGTGAACCGACCAGACAACGCACACACACAAACACACTCACACACAGATACACACTCGCACACATCGTATCACATGTTATAATTTGCATGGCTTTTTAATGATCTTTGATTTTTGATTTATCTCGAACGATTATCGTTTAGTTTTGTTAATTTGTTACTTAACTAATGATGTTGTTGAATATCAAGAATGTTTTGTTCCTTGAATTATCCTTATCCTATCCGTTTGTTTAAGTACCAATTGGCAAAGCAATTCAAATACGTAATATCCAATTTAAAAAAAAAAAAAAAACCAAGCAAAATCAAACCAAAAACTTGTCCTCTCTCTTTCTCTCTCTCTCTCTCTCTCTTCTCTCTCTCTGTGTATGTGTTATTGTTACAGCCAAAGCGATGAACAATCCACCTTCTCCAATACAACTACTACTACTACCACTGATAATACTAATCATGAATCCGATACCGACTCCGATTCTAACTCCGACAAAAAATCGAAACCGTGGCTAAGTCGCATGTTCGCCAGCGATAAAGGTGATACTGTTGCAACGGCGACAAGCGCCACGGGCGAGTTCAATGCCGCCAAGCATTTCGATTTAAAGAACGTACGTCACGATTTCAATAGGCCCGCGGGCGATGCGGCCGCGCCGGGCGTGCGCAAGACAAAAACCGGACGTAAAATTAGGTGAGAGGGCAGCAATCAAAGATATCTCGTAATACTACCTGCATACTCGATCTGCGCGTCAATTGAACTACCCACCTAACTACCTAACTATAACTATCTAAATCTAAATCTAAAACTATCTACGATCTAACTAAATCCGCAACCAACTATCTATCTCTCTCTCTCTCTATCTATCTATCTATCTGTATCTGAAGCCTAAATTCGAACAGCTCCCAATTAATCTTGTTCATTTCAATGTTTGCTCCGTCTCTGCCCCTCCAATTTTTGGGAGACTGCATTTTATTTTTAAACACATTACCAATTTGCGTTTCTTGTTTGTTTCTGTTGTTCTCATTCAAGCGCAATTTGGCATGTCTGTTGATTTGTATGGGTTCCACACATCGAATTCATACGCTATACGACTCCGATACTTTGTCATAAGCCAAAACTAACCCAATCTTTCTCTCTCTCTATAAATACCTCCTACTATCTAACTTTCTAATCTTATTGCAACTATTTTTGTTCGAATTCATTTTAATTTCTGTTCGTCGCACGCGCATTTTTTGTATGTTTTTACTTATTTTTTTTTTACTGATATTACGAACCCAACCAAGTACGTATACCTTACTGATCCAAGAACGTTACGTTTTGTATGTTTGTTCAATGTTTGTCTTTTAACCAAAACAAACAAACATACACCACCGAATACATATACACTACAAAATACAATCTTTGAGAACCCAATAGACAGACCGTATTTCATCCCAGCTGCTTACATTAAGATCCCTATGGAAAGGAAACTCCTTGTAGACCAAACAGGTTTTATTTGAATATTCATGAATTACGCCAACATGCATTATATTTTTTATTAAGGTTTGGGTTTTGGTGTCCTGTTCACATCTTCTGTGCTTGTGTTATCCTTGGGGGTTATCCTAGTTCTGGCCCAGGTTATCGAAGTACGCTGCATTATACTTGTTTACGCATCATTTCTAATACTGGCTAAAACTCATTTCATGGCACATGCCTGACTAACTGAACTATCAGCTAAATATATTATATTAAGTGCATGTTGTCTAATCAAATCAAATAGTCAAATATGTTATGTGTATTCACTTTTGATTGTGCTCAAATGGCCAAATAATATTGATTAATATATTGCTGCAATCCTGACTATCCGCAGCTATACTGGACGCGCTTGTGGCGCCTCCACGGCCACCGGATCCAAGGCCCAGCACATTCGGGAGCTGAACGCGTTGCTCAACGATGCGATTTCGACTTAAGGCGCCAACTGGGAGATCTGGCTAGATGATGATTATGAAGAAACAGAAGAGCAAGAAGCAGATGCAGTTGAAATGAATATTAATTATGATTATATATATTTTGTAATAGAAACGTATGCAGACTCTTTGATACGATTTTTTCTGACGAAATTGTTAAGTGCATTGTGTGAAAGTAATGAAATTTTAAATATTAGTTTAGTGAAATTGATGAAAATGATGAGCAAAATCCAACAAGAACACGAAATGTTTAGTGTTTAGCGTAAAAACAAATCCAAACAAACAAAAAAACAAAAACAACAACTTAAATCCAATCACAACAAATCTTTAAAGTAAAGAATTCAAATTCTAGTAGATAAAATACAAATACAAATACACACAACACACACACACTCGCAAACATATATATATAGAAAAGCAAAAACATTTTCAAAATGAATGTAATTTTATTTTACTTTTATGCTTAATATTTATTTTATTGTATTATATATTAATTAACCATCTCAACAACTTATGAATTGCAAGTCCTTGTTGCAAAACGCAAAAGAAAGAAATCATTAAGTGTTTTTGTTTGCCTTTGTTTGAATAAAAGTATATATATAAACATATATATATATATACATATAATATATGCGCCGACATATACAAGAATTAGTTGACTAATCAAAGGGGCGGAACAACAATATTTATCAGGGATGTTGCGACTATTTTGCATCGTTTATATTATAAAGTGTATCAACAAATGTAATGGGAATGCTTTAAGTATTTGTACTGTCACAATTTTTGAATGTACTTAGAATTAAACGATATATACGATATGCGATACAGATATATACATATATTTTTTGTTGGATTACCTTTTTACATTAAACCAAAAAAAAAACAAATGAAAAGAATCCCGTGCACGATTTGCAGCACTTGTGCTATTATTTATAATGTCTATCAAATGTTATAGTAGCCATATAACATAATGCACCCTTTTCTCGCACCAATATATGATATTGAACGTAGCGTGATAATTGAAAAAAAAAACTTAGGCATACAACTTTTCCAACAAAACCTTAAAAACTTATACTAACTAACGACCCACAACCAATGAAAGAGTATGATTATGTGTGTGTCAAGAACTCAACTTTTAATATTGCTAATCCTAAAAATAAAAACTCACTTTGCATCAGCGACAAAATTTGCTAAAAGTTAAAGAGTAAGTAGCATGTTAACAAAAAGTTAAAATTTACTAACAAAAAAAGAAAGAGTATGTATAAATCGGTTTATGAATAAAGTATATATACACAAATAAGCATACACATAAAGATCTTTGAATGGGCTTACATGTCAAGAAATTACTCACTTAGTTAAAGATAAGCTAGAACTAGAACTCGTAGATAAAAAGTAACCCTGAATGGATTATCTAATAAGCTCAAGCATTTACTTAGTTTTAGTTATTTTGCTGTGCTTCCTTTAAACAATCTTAAGTTTATTTCTGGGCCAAGTTTAAAGCCAATGCAAACAAGTTTTACAACTTCTCTCTCAGTTTTTCCTAGTTTTTCATAGGAAGTGACGCAGTGCATTTTCCATTTTCCCTGCCATTCTAGCCTATTCTTTTTCGCAGCACTTTCACATCATGTTGTGTTCCTCTGCCGCCTGCGACGTCGATCTTCCTGTCTGACAACTTGGACGACACAAATTGGGCAAATAAAACGCTCACTTTTGGCCAATTTTCACACAGGTGGGCAGCACTGGCCGATGGGCACACACACACACACACACACACACACACACAGAAAGCAATTTCATTGAACATCTTCGAGCGTTTTACTTTACTTTCTAATGAGCGCAGCATTTCTCGTTTTGTGCTGATCGAACCCCTTGGGCGATAGAAAACAAAAACAAAACCAGCTCCATGTAAGTTGTTAAATCTGCGGCCATAACGTGTTTCGCATTCTTTATTTGCTTTTTTATTGACACAAGTTGTTGTTTTTTTTTTGCCGAAAATGGGCACAGTTAGCAACATTTACCGTTGCCTGGTGAGCAGCCCTGCGCAACGCATGAAAGAACTTCACGCAAAAGCTCTTGCCAAGCTGCATGCTAATTGGCTGCTGGGTAAGCTGCGCAAAGGGAACACCCTGTGATGCGCAGCTGTTGCTGCACGCAGTCGCTGCGCCTGTCCCTGCAGCGCGGCGCAGTTCGCCTGAAAGTTCGTGCGAGGCGCCAGAACTTCACGCAAAAGCTCTTGCCAAGCTGCATTGGCTGCTGGGTAAGCCGCGCAAAGGGAACACCCTGTGATGCGCAGTTTTTTCTGCGCGCGTTACTTAATGCACGCAGTCGCTGCGCCTGACCCTGCAGCGCAGCGCAGTTCGCCTGAAAGCTCTTGCGTGGCACCAGACTTATTAACTGCAGTCCAAGCTCTTAAATGACGCTCTCCAGTCCATTTCTTTGTGTTGTCGCTTCGTGCGCTCTGACCTCCTCGGCGTTAAAGCTTCAGCTGCAAGCTTCGTGTCGCTGGCGTCGGCAGCGTGCGCGCTGCTTTAACTTTAGGTCTCGCTCACTTTTCAGTCTTGTTGTGCCCGCGGACGCGATCGTAAGAAAGCAATAAACCAGCAAACGGGTCGCAATTGTGTTCGGATTCCGATTCGGATTCGGTGTCGGTTTCGGTGTCCGTTTGTTATCGAAGCCAATTGGCATTGTGCAACCGCGTTGTGATTGATCGATTGTGCGGCGCTGGCAATTAAAACAAAAGTAAAAGTGTGCGCCACAAAATGTGGCAAGTGCCACAGCAACAGCAACAGCAACAGCTGCTCAGCCGGCAACGGGAAAGTGCAAAGCAAAGCGTTTGCTTTAAATAATGCGCGCTCGATTTGTATATGAAAAGAAGTCGCATAATTAGATCAGTTTATGTAACAGATCCGACACAAAGAGTTTCTTATGACCAAATAGAGTGTTTTTTTTTTGTTATTGTTGAAATCAAAAACGGAGTTACGAAACGCTTCAAAATGTAAGTGCATTGATAAGACAAAGCTTATCAAAATAAGAAAATGTTTCTTTATTGGGAAATTTGTTTGTTAATGGTTTGGTAATGACATTAGCCAGGGCTAGGGCTACAAATATATAAAAGACATGGATAGGTTTATACATAACTGTTTTGTTTATTTTAAACGTGGGTGCTTTTTTTATATAAACATAATAATTTTAACAAAGGAAATGCTGTTCCGCTTGTTTTTAACAATACTCCAATTTAAACGAGCGCCTTCTTTTTATACCCTGAACCCAATAAAAATGGGTATAAGGGTATATTGTGTTTGTGCGAAAGCCAAATGTATGTAACAGGCAGAAGGAAGCATCTCCGACCCCATAAAGAATATATATTCTTGATCAGCACCAATAGCCGAGTCGATCTAGCCATGTCCGTCTGTCCGTCTGTCTGTCTGTCCGTCCGTCCGTCCGAAGATGCAGATGCTCCTAGTTCCCACGCAGATCGAGTTTGTTTCCGATAATCGATTACTTGCTCCGTTTCCAAGCAATCGATAAAAATATCCTATCGATATCCTGTTTTGGTAAATAATAAGGGCTAGAGTCAGCAAACTTGACATATAGCTTCTAAAATAGAATATATATATGCATTTGATGTTGGAATAAGAGGCTTCAGGGTATCCCCTAGTCGGGAGCTACCGACTAGAACCTTTTACTTGTTTTTTATTGCATTATGCCGATAAAAGTGCGCTATGGCTGCTCTTATCGGTCGTCCGTTTTCTCAGAAATACATATATATATATATATATATATATTGATGTGTGTGTGTGTGTGCGTATGTGTGTGCCTCCGCTGGTATCACATGTCAATGGAAACTCTCTGATTCATGCAAATTGTATTTGTTTTTCAGATTTGCTCTACGTTTATCTGAGCCACTTATTACGCACTGTTATTTGAGTAATCCATGAGATACACACACACACACACACACACACACACACACACACACACACACACACACACAGGCACACAGAGGCACACATTTGTAGAAACAACAACAAATTGATTTGTTTGTTTATTCTGGCTTTTTACGCCCTTCTTTGGCAATTTACTTGATTTTAGAAAGCTGCTAAACACAAATAAAGGTTGGCAACGCGTTTCGACGAAAGTTTTGAGGCTCGTCTACCCGCAATAGATCAGCTCAGATGATCAGTTAAGCTGATCAGTCGGCCAGTTGCGGAAATCTTGCCACTTTTTATCGAGGTGTTTTCACATACATATTTGTAATACTCTCCCCACACCCTTTGGACGCTTCTCAGAAGCACTTGCTCGTTGTTTATTGTCTTAAGTTATTTAAAAGTTCACTTGTGATAGTTACAGTTGCATATTTGATTACACTGTGCAACAACAGTTCGAGTAAAGGGGGGACCTTAAACTAAATTATATAAACATTACCTATAAAAACATTTAAGTATGTGGCTATTACTCGAATTCATGAAAATCGCATAGAAAGGCGACTAAAAAGGATGAACAGAAAGAGACAGAGAGAGAGAGAGAGAGAGAGAGAGAGAAATACAGAGGCAGCGAAAGTAAATACTTAAAAATATTTAAGTCTGTAGGTATGACTGTCTTTTATGAAAATCGCATAGAAAGGTGACCATGAAAAAATGGAGAGAGAGGGAGTGGGAAGGAGGAATTGAGTAAGAGATCAAGTAAGAGGCAGAAAAGAAGTATAAGCACAATGAGTCAAAGGTATTGAGAGTCAAAACAACTTTCTTAAAAGGTCGACTTTCTGACCGATTTTTATGCATGAAAAATGCGTTCATACAGGTTTTTATGTCAGACTGAGAGGAGGAGAGAGAAAAAGGAAAATGGAATAAAATGAGAGTGAGACTTCAAAAAATGTAAGAAATATATATTATAGAAGAGAGCTGGAAACAAGAGTGTATAGAGCATAAAATAATCATAATTGATGCCATGAGAATCGCATAGAAAAGCGACGCGCGAATTTGCGTGCGAACACTTTAGTTTTGTCAAGCTTGTAGCACAGTGTTGTTTGTGCACAATTGTGTGCACACAACAATTTCTTCCTGTCTCATTTAAAACAAGCTAAGCATTATGGCAAATATGTGCAAGAGAGACAAGAGTCGAGTCGAGTGCCTTAACTGGCGGCCAGTTCATGTGTCTGGTAATGTCAATGTAATTCTGTAATAAACACATTCGCCAGCTATGAAAAATTAACCATAATAATATAGTTATGCAGACAATTATATAGTACACACAAATTGACAACATCTGCCGAGAGAGTTGAGCTGAAAATAAAACACTTTCCATTTCCAGCAGGCGATGAAAGCCAATGGGAATGGGAACAGCTCGTGTGCACACAGCTTCTTCTACATATTATTATTAGCTTTTTTATTATTTAGCTCATGATTTGCATAACAAATTGTAAGCAGATATGCCAGTATTATTTGGCCACAACGTGGGTGGGTCTGGGCCCAAAGTATTCGGATAATTGTTCGTAACAATAACAATTCATAGTTTTTCTTTATCGTATCTCATAGATGCACATAATTTGTAGGTGGGCGTGCTGACTCAACGTTCAGTTTAAGATCAAATTGGGCTTATGCTAACGATACACTGGAGAAAATGAGGTGCTCAAAATTGTATAAGATATGAAAGTTAGAGGGCGCTAGTCGGATCTGCCCGATTAGGGTATATCAAATTAAGGATACTACTCTAGCAGCTACAGGCTACATTTGGAGAGGGAAATCCTTAAAACCTTCGAGATTTGCTCAAAAAACAGAATTTCGATATCGAATTTTATCGATTGCTTGAAAACGGGACAAGTTATCGATTGTCAGAAACAAACTCGTACTGAGCTGGCTCTAAGAGACGCTAAGTTTAAGAGTCTCTAGTCTCAGGTCTCTAGCTCTTATAGGTTCTGAGATCGACGGGTTTATGCATACGGATAGACGGACTGAGGGTGGACGGACGGGCGGACAGGGCTAAATGACCAGGAATATATATACCTTATAGGGTTGGAGATGATTCCTTCTCCCTGTTACATACACAACCTATGTAGCCCTTTGCAATAGATTGAGATTTTAACAAGACATAATTAATTTCAAGAATTTTATGCAAGCCACATAAACAATACAATTGTAATTTAACAATAAATTAAAATCAAGTCAAAGCACGTACGCGCATGCGAAAGTTAAGATTAAAGACAATACAAAATTTATTACATATTCCATGTAGAACAGCGACAAGTTGAAGAAGAATTCAGTTTCAGTTTAGATTCGTTGAATTGAGTTAAGATTAAAGACAAGATGATATGTAAGAAATATAGGGTCTATAAGAATGCGAATCATTTCGCTTTACTTAAGTTTTCTGTTTGAAAATGTCAGATTCGTTGCATTTTCTGAGTTAAGATTAAAGACAGGATGATATGTAAGAAATGTGGTCTATAGGAATGCGAAACATTCCGCTTTACTTGAGTTTTTTCTCTTATTTCCTGTAAATGCCAGAATATGTAAATTTTATTACTTAAGATTAAAGAGGGAGAGAGAGGGAGAGAGAGAGAGAGAGAGTGAGAGAGAGAGAGAGAGAGAGAGAGTTGCTCTCCAAATTGGGCCTATATAAGTTCCGCTTTAGCTGAGTTTCTGTTTTTTCCCCCAGTAATTGTAAATTACGGAATTTATGAGGTTCTTTTCCTGAGTGTAGATCCCAACCCAAACTGACCCGGTTTTTTCTCGCTCGGCTTTAGTTTGCTTTTTTTGTATGCTGCTTTGAGGGGCATTCCTGTGGCTCTGACTCACGCGGCACATGCCGAAGAAAGCGTCAAGTGGACCACGCTGGACCCAAGAGCCGACGCTTCCAAACCCGTTCGATTACAGTGCCGCACAAAAGTCTGTCGCCACGCACGTGGCGGCCGTTCGGCGCGCTCTTCACAATTTTGGATGCCTGGCAAATTGTGGCTGGCAATGCATTTGTTGCGCCAGCCAATGAACTTTGGCTGCGAATGTTTTAAACATTTCACATCAGCAGTTTTTTAGCCTCCCCCCCCCCCACACTCCCCTCCCCTGTGTATATACTTATGTGTTTAGCTGGAAAAACACGTAATTGCCGCGAGTTTTAACTAGTTTCTGACAACGCAAGTGCTTCGCTGATCAGTGATCGCTGATCAGTGATCAGTGATCGCTGATCGATAATCATTTAGCTGTCAACGTTAATGATCATCACCTGTTTTTATTCTTTTTCACAGTCCCCAATTTATGTTCGAATTTTGTGAAATTCCGCATCGAATTTTTGTTTTGTTTTTTGTTGTTTTTTTTATTGTTTTTGTGCTCATTGTTATGCATTTGGCATTTGGTTGTTGCAAGTCGTGCGACAATGATTTCACATTGAACATGCTTATGGTATTCTATATAGTTCAATGTTGTACATTTTGGCAGCTCCGCAACGGTGTCAGGCTCGTGGGCGACTCGACTTGAACGTGGCAGCCGCAGACCCAAAATGTGGCCCAGAGAGTTCAATCAAAGATGAGCTCACCTTTTTCTTGTCCTCCAATCGAGCAGAGTGTGTGTTTAGAGAGGGTATTGTTTAGTTGAAACTATTCACTATTCGGCTCAAATGCGAAATTGCACTTGTTATTCATATTCATATTGAACCGAACCTTGAACCACATAAAAACTCACAAACCTAAGCTCGAACTAAAATAAATGCTATCTTCAGCACGCCGAAGTTTGAATATCCTTGGCCTAATGCTTTGTGGCTTGTATTTGATAACAGAAAACATCGTTATAGTATCTCAGTTTTCGTCCGATGTTATAGTATTCCGATCTTGATCTGACTCAACAAATATCAAGTTTGATTGAGATTAACTTGAATAACAAAAGAATTGTTAATCCTATGATAGCTCTATGATATAGTGATTCGATCTGTGTGAGAACTTTGGATCTATGTCGATGTCTTTAAGCTCGAGACATAATATATGTAGATGCATTTGGACTATTGGCTATT